CCCCGGCGGCCCAGCACACCGGTGACCTACAAACCCCCACGCCAACCTATGCTAAAAACGGCCAGCTGCCAATCCAACCTCCAAGCTTGCTTCACCACAGCTCACCACCAGTCCTGCCCGCCCGATCCTCCCCCCGAAACCTCGCCCATTACAAACTCTCTACAGCAAAAAGGACAACATAGGACAATCTTGTCCACGCTGCACCCTCAGCAATGGCGAACCCTGGCGAGAGCTCGTCGGTCGACGCCCCGCCCGCAGACGTCCGCAGCGAGATCAAGAAGCCTAAGAAGAAGAAGGTCTTGCTGATGGGCAAGTCAGGCTCGGGAAAGTCCAGCATGAGGAGCATCATCTTCAGTAACTACATTGCCCGTGACACTAGACGATTGTAAGTCTTGCCGCCCCCCTCTCGCCTGCGCCGTGAAAAGTCGCTCGCTAACCATCGGCATGCAGAGGAGCTACCATTGACATCGACCTTTCGCACGTCAAGTTCCTCGGCAACCTGACGCTGAATCTATGGGACTGCGGTGGCCAAGAAGCCTTTATGGAAAACTACCTGTCGCAACAGCGAGTCCACGTCTTCTCCAACGTCGGCGTCCTCATTTACGTCTTCGACATCGAGTCTCGTGACGTGGACCGTGATCTAGCCACATACGTCTCCATCGTTTCCGCCCTCCTCCAATACTCCTCCTCAGCCAAGATATACATCCTCATACACAAGATGGACCTGGTGGTCCCTACGGCTCGTGAGTCCGTCTACGACGAGCGCGTGCGCCTGATCCGCCAAAAGACAGCAGAGTACGTCACCTCTGTGGGCGGCGACTTGAGCACCTCTGATCTCACCCCGTTTGCAACGTCCATCTGGGACCAGAGTCTCTACAAGGCCTGGGCGTCCATCATCCACGATTTGGTGCCCAATCTTTCGGTTATTGAGCGGAACTTGGCCAATCTCGGAATGGCAATCGAGGCAGAGGAGATCTTGCTCTTTGAGCGCACCTCGTTTTTGGCAGTGTCATCATGGACTTCGGCAGAGGGCCTGCGAAACCCGACTGAGGATCGACTAGAGCGCATGTCCAACATTATGAAACATTTCAAGCAGAGCATATCCCGCTTCACAGGAACACCGCGCAACGCTGAGCAGTTTGTGCGAATGGAGCACAAGGCAGGCATGCGTTTCAGTTTGTTCATCTTGAAATTCACCACCAATACCTATTTGATGGTGGTCCTGCCTCCGGGTGAGGCTCGTTTCAACGCTGCCATGCTCAACTGCCAGATTGCCATTGAGCACTTCAAGTTCTTGGATGCTCCAGCACTGCCCCCAGCCCAGGCTTCGGCGTAAACCAGGCTGCTAAAACCTTTATAACAACAATAACAATCACCGAGGCGTCTAGGCGTTAGAATACCATGATTTATAGTTTAGAGATATCACATCTCACAAAGTAAAGTTGGTAAATTACTTGTATATTTTTATGGGCAACGGTTCATCCTTTTCGTCGTATTCAATTCTAGTAGCATCTATCTGATGCAGTCATACTTTTACAGTCATTCAGCGTGCTTGCATCCATCCGGTGCAATTCTTTCTAAACTACTCCTTATTTTTGGCTCAAGTCCACTTAACCACAGCGGTTCCTCCTTTCTTAAATTCAGGCATCTCGCTGAGGACCAAGCTTTCATCGCTGTGTTGCTTGTTTGGGAATGTCGTAGCCAGCACCCACGAACGATCCCTAGTTTCCGCCGACGCATTGCGAACAAATGCATATACATCTCCAACAGTGTTCGTCGTGTTAAAGCGAGCCGGAAGTCTTGTTCCATCAGGAAGTTGGATTCTGATAGTAACAGTGGGCTGCGATTCGTCGACGTTCGGGGTCGTAGTCGACGCTGGGGCCGTAGTAGAAGCAGACGGTTGAGGAGTCGATGTGCCACTTCCTGGAACATGGCTACCCAGGCGGTTTCCAGCACCTGAGAAGGGCTTGTATTTCTTAGGAGGTGGGGTGAATGGCTCATCATGCGGCTGCACCTTCAGGTCGACAGCCTGATCGTGCCGGACATTCATCAGATGAAGGGGCGCTCGGCCTGATCGGATCATGCGAAGATCCTCCTGGTTAGCAGGATCGTCGAATCGTCGGAGTTCGCCATCGTCAATGCTGAATCCATCTTGCCAGAGGTGCAAAATTCTTTCCTGCGGTTCTCCGTGGCTAGGTAGATGCGCCAAAGGATCTGGTATGCTACGGCTCTCAACACCATCACCTCCTAGAGTCATACCAGTTCCACGGAATCGGTCGGGTTGAGGTTCGCTATCACCATCCGCGTCAGGTCTGGCTGTGTTTCTATCAGGCAAGTCAGTGCGACCGTTTTCTTTCGTCATTGGAGTATAGGGCTTACGCGTTAGCTCTAGCGAGAATGTCATCGATGACCTTCTTAGGGCGACTATCTTGAGTAGGATCTTGGACGGCTAGTCCAGATTTCTCGCCTCCAGCAAACAGGTTGCCTCGACCTTCGTCTTCGTAATCAGAGTCCGAATCGTCGTCGTCATCGTGGCTAGAGTGGGCATGGCTAGAGCTAGCCATGGATCCCAATGTGGCGATGCCCTTCTTCTTCTGCCGGGAAGAGGAGCTTGGTGCCGCCCTTCTGGCAGTATCGGGAGCAGGTCGGCCGTCTAGCGTTCTGGGCCCGGTGTATGCATCAGCAGCCTGAGGAGCAGAGGCACCATCACCTTCTTCTTCGTCCTGAAAATATGATGTTGTCGCAGAGGCGAGGTCCCAGTTGTTTGCTTGCAGGTATTGAGTGGCCTGTAAAGCGATTAATCACCTGCGTCCAAGAAGTCTTGCCTGAAAACCTACCTGCTCTGGAGATGCACCACTGATGCCACAGAATTCGCTTACCAGCGCTTCGTGATCCACGCTATCGGCCATTTTTAGATTAATATCTTCCGGGTTTCGAATATCTTTTGATGTACTATCGCGGAATGTGTGAAGACCAGTGTATAGGCTTAGTTGTGTTGGAAGAATAAAAAAGAATTGCGAGGATGCAGTGGCGGAAGCAGGCAGCGCCCGTTGTTCGTCATTACAGCTCTCAAGCTCCCGCTGTAGCGGGGTGACCACCCCACCGGAACAGCGATCTACCGCCGCCGATGTAGCGCCTGGAATCTTACGTAAGGCACTAATTAGCATACGGCGCCCCAGGAGCTTAGCACTCGCCAAACAACGCAGCTCCAACGTCATAATACATTTCAGACAACAGGCTGGGTTGCGTTCATTTGCAAAAATTAGCACAACATGGCAACCATGGCATTGGACGATGTGAACCCGCTTGCGGAATCAGGCATCACGATGCACTCAGACAGCGAGCAGTATGGCCAAACCGAAGACATATCGACGTCACCGGCCTCGTCAGGCTCACCTGTTATACTATACAGGCCAACATCGATATGGACAATAGTTAGAGGCGCTGCAATTAACTTGCTTCTGCCGTTTATCAATGGCATGATGCTGGGATTCGGCGAGCTGTTTGCCCACGAAGCTGCCTTTAGATTAGGATGGGGCGGTACCAAGGTATGACATTTTCTATGGCGACGTTCACCAATTCACGTCCACGAGTCTATCAGTTAGGTATAGTCCAATGTTTTCTGACATTATCGCAGGTTTTCCCCATGTCAAGACGAAGAGTACACCCTATGGGACCGGGTGTCGAAATCCGCGAGCGACGCAGCTCCCCTCGCCCCGGCTTTGACGACATCACGAGCTTGGAATAGTGTATTATAGCGTTACATACTTTGACTTTCTCTGCAAAAGGTTCATGTTTTATTTTCCTTTGTTTTCAGCCATCTATCGTCGATATCAACCGACACGGTCTTTTGGCGTTATCGCAGGTGTATGCACTAGTTAGCTGGTAATGCATATATTTCGCCCACGTACATACGCTTCTTAATCCTCCAGCTTCATATTCTCTCTTTTACAATCCAAAACATCATTATTTGACTTTTAATCTCTATTTTTTTTATTGTACTGTGGCCTGCCGTTATAACACTCTCAAGCATATATTCGCGGTAGTCTCCTGTATCGGCGCGCCTGGAGACACGCCCCGCCGATATTTAGCCGCGTCCAGTATCCTAAAAAAGACGGGCCTAAAACTTCGAGGACTTTCACATCCAGATAGCGCACTCGCCCAACCCGCAACAAAATGCTTTCTAGCAGGGGAATTCCGCGGTCTGTTAGTTCTGCGATGTCGCAGAGACTTGCCGCTGGTCGATTGGCCGTACGTTCTACGTTTGATGCTCAATGCGTCCAGCAACTAACCACCTCCTTTCAGAGCGGCAACGCACCCGCGGCCTCTCGTTCTTTCGGTACCTCATTCCGCACTTCGAATGGCCTTTTGTCGACGGCCTCGCATATCCGCACAAGATCGATTGTACCAACAGCCACCGTGGCATCCGTCGCTGGAGCCCGTCATCTCTCCCTCTGGGGATGGGGATGGGGTGGTAAGAAGACGACTCCCGAGGCCCCGAACGCCGCGATCGAGACGATAAAGGAGGCCGAGGAAAAGGTTGCTGAGGCTGCTGCCACCGTTAAGGAGAGTGTTCCTGATCTGGCCTCTGTTACCGCCTCTGAAATCGATCTTCAGGCTATCAACGACATCGTCAATGGCCAGGATGTTCTGAACATGCCTGAGCAATTGGGCTATCTCCATGCTCTTGGCTTGGACTATGGCTGGGGACCTACCTCCGTTATGCAGTGGATTCTCGAGCACGTTCATGTCTGGACAGGGCTCGGCTGGGGTGCATCCATTATCGGTACTGCCGTCCTTCTCCGTGTCGTCATGTTCTACCCTCAGGTCCGCAGTCTCCGATTCAACGCTGTAATGCAGAGAATGAAGGCCGACCCAAGATTTAACGAGGTCATGACCCTCCAAAAGACGGCGTTGCAGAACAACGATATGGAGGCCAACCAGCGAAGTGCATTCCTGCGCAAGGTTCTACAAAAGGAATATGGTGCCAGCAGCACCGGCATGCTCTGGGCTTTCATGCAGATCCCCTTCACCTTCGGTCTCTTCCGCATCATTCGTGGCATGTCGCAGATTCCTGTACCAGCCTTGGAGAACTCTGGCTACCTTTGGTTCACCGACTTGACTGTTGCTGATCCATACTTCGTCCTCCCAGCCATTGGTACTGGTTTGATGAGCGTCAGTTTGCTGGTAAGTTGTCTCTGGGCAAGTACGGTTGATATATAACTAACATGTATTAGTTGAACATGAAGCACAGCCCACCCGCCCAGCACAAGATGATGAAGTTCGCCATGTACGGTTTCGGTGCCGTTGGTTTCGTTGTCACGGCCTACATGAGTGCCGGTATCAACCTCATGACAGCCGCATTCAGTGCCTCGACTTGCGTCTCTGCGTTCATTTTGAACAACGATTCTGTCCGCCGTAGCCTCGGCTTGGCTACACACCGTCCAGCCGATACTCCCCAGGCACCAGTTTACCAAGCACCCCGCGCGGTGTCTGAGGCCAACGCTGAGGGTATCCGCGGCCGCGCAAATGGTGCCCTGAAAGACCTTACTTCTGGTTTCTCTCAGCAAATCAGCAACATGACTGGTCAACACGCTGCTACCGAGGAAGAAAAGGCGGCAAAGAAGCGCCGCGAACTCATGCGCAAGCTGGAGCAAACACGCAGAGAGCAAGAGCGCGAGGAGTTTGACAGAAAGTACAAACAGTAGAATCAGCTCTGGTCGTCCCATTTCTTGTACAACAAAATTTCATCTCTTGGATTCGAACATTTGCCTGCCAGGCATCATGCTACAGATTTGCAATTCATCTGGCACCTCTGAAAGGGTTATTGGAAGGTAGAAAAATTGTATTATAACGTTCATCAAACCTTGTTATGTCGGTTCATATATCATACTATACTAAGGCAGCTTCCCCAAACTAATCTCTGCTGCCAACGTCGACCGATCCTTTGCTAAAGTGAACATAATATTTCGCATAGAGGGTGCGAACTAGCGGGCTTTAAAAGACGGTACCATCACTCTCAATCAAAATGGGCGGTTCCTTGGTATTTGGGCGGTGAATCTCTGCAATTTCTCGTCCACCCTAGTGCGTGTTAGCAGATCACATCTATGTTAATGGCGTTGCTTCCGAGCATGTAATCACATACCTTCCAGCTTCCAGCTTCCAGCAGCTGTGGTAACGTCAACTCGTTCCCAGCGAGCTCAGTTTGAAGGGCTATATTAATCTTCTCGCAGAGTATGTCAAGAAGGCCAACGGTAACAGCTCTCCATTCCACAATAACGTCATCGGAGGGTTCGAACATTGGTGCAACCTCCACTGGTTTGGTATTTTTACGCCGACAATAGTCAGAGTAGTTCTCAAGACCACGGTCAACGTCGTGTTTCTTCAACGACAACACGCCCAGGTCTACAAACAGTCCACCATTTCTGTACTCAGGTAAACCCGTCAGCAATTCGGCTCCAGCAAAATGGATATTCAGCAAGGACTGCATCGGTTGCATTAGGGAATACGTGAGCCACTGTGTGAGCTTATGAAACGGTACGATTGTTTCCCACTGAGCATTGAGGTGGCTCGTAGGCATCGATTGACAATGCCAAGCATCGCCAAGCGAAACACCATCAATGGTAGTTCGTGAGGGGGGCCATATTGGGCCTAGACCGTTCATCAGAATATTCCAAAGCACTGGCAGAGGTGCAATAACCGCTGAAGCGCATTGCGTTGAGGGATGGGAGATAATATGATCTATACTGCAATTAGCATCTCAATAACCCCTTCTCATAAGACATATCTTACCTATCATATTTCCTGGTCGTGCATCTTCACCAAAGAAGTCAGGCTTTTGGGACAGCGCTGTACCGAGCCTAATTAGAAGTTCAGTTCTGCCTTCAAGCCCTGCGAGCTCATTGCCCGCAGCGGATTGGAGACCAGATGCGAGATCTTGGACCTGTAGACGACCAAGACCAACGGCATCCACTTGGAAGTTATTGTCAGGGTTGCCAGAGAAAAGACCCTGGGAAAGTCAGCAGCTATTGTGGGATTAATTCGACGCCAATGTAACACGGACCTTGTTAAACATCTCCAAGCTGGCCACAGCCAGTCCTTCAGATCGACGGTATATCTTGCCATCCTCAGTACTCTTGTAGCTCCACTGGGTTCCAGCACCAGCATCAAGCAGTACGCTGACAAGGAACAAATCAATCAAGCGACGACAGCGCTCAGTGCGGTCAAGCTCCGCTGGCCAAGAAGCCAGCAAATTCGCAACGCGGTCTTTACTACCCACTGCAAAGTGTTGATATCTTCCATGTGGCGGAATGGAAGTGAATGGGGCGTCATAGTCTCTCTGAGAGTCATAGTTAGCGCTGGCTTCTGTCCTGAAAGGCAAACAGTTGTAGCTTACCTTAATTAGTCTAGAGACAAATGTAACCACATCTGAGAGCTTCTCCAAATCAGTATCAAAATGAGCCAGCTCATTTCGCATTGCTTTATCGAGTATGAGTTTGCTCCGCTCCCGGACTGCACCAAGACTGCGGAGGTATCCCGCAGGGTCCAGCTGAGGATCGGGTGGGCGAGGCAAGTCGACCTTTGGGAGCTTTGGTGATGCCATGCCTGATAGAGATCCTCCAGAAAATCCAGTTGCTGATACGCGATTGACAATATGTTGCTTGGAGGTGGTAGATCCAAAGCTAACGCTTGAGTGTGAGGGGCTGATGGGAGAAGAGCTGCCCTTGGGACTCTTGTTCCTTCTTGAAAAGAGACCCATTGCGGGGAAGGCTGCGGCCGCTAATTAATCAAGCAGATTACTTAATTGCGTAATGAGCCCGATGCAGTGTGCACGCCAGATTGTGACGAGCAAACAATGTCATGCGAGGAAAAGCGGGCAGACAGCAAAACGGCGGCAACGTCGAAGCGGGACTCGGCGAGCGGCGTGGAATGGCAGACCAAAGGTGGCAAAGTAACGGTGACAGGGACACCAGAGGCGGCCAGCTGGCGCAGGTGTCAACTAGATGAGGGCTTATCAAGAAGGAGAAAAATATAAGCTTGGATATTTCTCCTCTGTTTCTTGATTACAATGGCGTTTGCTAACAAATTGCTTTCAGCGACCAGTTATCGTCTCGTATCGGTTATCGGTTCAATCTCCAAACGTCGGTATCCTATTTTACAAAATTCGATGTCGATCAAACGTTGGCAAAAGAGCGGATGGTAACTGACAACAACCTTCTACCCACAGAGATGGCAGACCACGAATATATAAAGTGACACTACCACGATTCAGGATTGCTTTTCTGGTGCCACCTTTTGTCTTTTAAGGGGTCTCGTTCGCGCGGTCTACTCAACCACGTTGCGAGGGCCGCAGGGATGGGACGCCCCATGCTTGGAGCACGTTTGGTGTGGCGGCAAACGATTCATGGAGAGGGCCACGACAGAGTAAGACAACGTAAAATGCGGCGGGCCGGGCGCAAACCACTGGCTGTGATTGGAGATTTGCATCTCTGGTATCGCCTGACAGACAATCAGAAAAAGCAACAATCACAACACGGATGTGAGGCCAGAAACAAGTCAAATGGGCGTCCCCTTTGGCCAAAACCGCAGTCGCTCTCAGTCACTAGACGTACATCAACAATAGGGACCCTGCATACTCTGTTTATCCTTCGACACTAGCGACCGATACTTGCCAGGGCTCTTTCAATAAAAGCTGCGATGGGCTACCGGGACCGCAGCCGGTGAACCCACCAGCTTGAAAGATGCGCAAAAGCAAAAATAAAACGTCCATCATCTATTATGTTGCACTGGAACACGCCACGCGACAATCGGCGGGGCTTTCTCAGTGGGTTCAGTGGAGTATTGCCGTTGAAGTGGCTACGCGGAATGCAATAGTACCGACACTATCAGCAAAGGAGAGGCCATTCGGATTGCTTGGCTGATATCCGGTGCATGGTATCAGACACATGAAAATCAGCTTCCTTCTGCGTAGGGAATAACCACAGCCGTTGTGGCGTACCAGACCGAATGAGATTCTCACATCATCACTGAAGTCTCTACCCGCTACAATGGCACGCAGAAACAAGGGTGGGCAGGACCGGCGGCTTTCGTGTCACCACACAGACAACAGCAAAAACCCTCCGACTCAGCGTTTGGGCGACGATTTAAAGCGCAATTGTAGCCAATTGGCGGGTCTAGCTGTGCCCATACCATCGGCTTGCTTTCGATTAATCGATCACATTACTGGACGGCGGAATAAGCTCGCGCACAAGGCTCTGGAAGTCTGAGACTGGTTGCGCTGCCATAAGACCCTGAGTTCCCCCTCCTGCAAGAAACCTGGCATTATCACCAATTCATACCACCCGAGCCAGATTTATACCCAAACATAGTTGCTTTTCATCATGGAATTAAATATTCCCTTATTATTCAGTGTGGCCTTTCTCGTAGCCGCGGTTGCTGTGTTCACAGCTACGAAGAGTGCCCGATCCTATTCGTCTCGCTTTCCTGGGCCAACACAGCTGCCATTGATTGGTCGAGTCCATGATTTGCCAATAACATCAGCCTGGCTTAAACTGAAGGAGTGGGCTGATATTTATGGTCCAATTTATCAAACATCAATGATGGGTCAAAAGTTTATTATCGTTTCCAATGAAGACATGGCCCGGGATATTCTCATTAAAAAGGGCAACAGCTTTTCTGGGAGACTACAAATCAGAGCTTTAATTGACCACAAACTGGGTCCTACATATGTGGCCCTACAAGATAGAAACGGTATGTTAACCTAGTACTATACGATGTAGCGGAAGTATGCGCCCTAACAACTCTCAGAGACTTGGAGAAGACAACGCAAATGGGTTCATGCGGCGATGGTGGCTGCTCATCAAGAGCACTTTTACGGGCACATCGACAAGGAAATTAAACGATACCTGACAACTCTACTAATAAACCCGACTGAGTTTCACAGCTCGACTCGAGAGCTACTTGGTAGAATCATGTCGACACTCGCTTGGGACGATGCAACACAGGGTGAGAAATTCGGTATCATCGCAAACGAAACCCTCAGACAGATGTCCTTGCCGGGTCCGATTGTCAACGCAGTCACTCCCCTGTGGCATATCACAGACTTTCTAGGGTACAACCCGTGGCGCAATTTCGAACGAGCGCGAGAGGATAAGATGACATCTTGGTGGCGCCAACTCCTTCTACAGTCGAAGAAGCGCTTCTTGGAACAGTCCTTGCCGAAAACAAGCTGGGCATATCGATACTTTGAGCAAGTTTCTCAAGCCGGCAATAGCACATTGGAGCAGTCGTCAGACGAGGAGCACTTCGCTGCTTGCATGTTGGGCTTTCAGAATATGGTTGGAGTCGTCACCGTTGCAGGACCAATGCAGTATTTCCTTATGTGCATGGCACTGCATCCGCTATGGCAGATGAAAATCCAAAAGCAAATCGACATTGTGTGTGGCGACAGAATGCCCAACATAGACGACTATCAGGAGCTTCCGATTCTACGCGCGTGTATAAAGGAAACGTTAAGGTGGCGTTCAACTGTGCCTCTAGGTAAACCAACTTTAGCTCACACCCCAAATATCATACTAATATCAGCTTAGGAGTGCCACATCTATGCGAGGAGGATTCTGAATACAAGGGTGTCGCGATCAAAAAAGGCACGGTAGTCCTCGCTTGTGAATGGTAAGACCTTTCCATCATAGACCCTTCCTTCGCTAACCCAGAACTCAAGGGCATTAAACCGAGATGAATCTCAATACCCTGATCCCGAAAAGTACCGCCCAGAAAGATGGCTTGAACCATCGTGGCCAACTTTCATGGAACCGCTAACGAGATATCCTAACCTCCGAGAAGGTTATGGAATGCACACATTCGGCTGGGGTAGAAGAATGTGCTTGGGTCAAGCAATTGCTGATGAGGAGCTGTTCCTCATTGCCGCGAATGTCTGCTGGGCGTTCAACATGTCGATTCCAGATGACCCTCTAACCGGGGAACCTACAGTAGTAGACTCCCAAGCCACAAACTCGAACGTAATTTTAGAACCGACGCCGTGGCCAATGACATTCAAGGCAAGGAATCAAGTTAAGGCTTCCAAAATATTGAATGAGTTGGCTCAGGTTCAACATGAACTGAAGGTTTAAACATTACATATAACCCCCGAACCTAAGACTATCGCAGCATCATTCCGCGCGTAATGAATAAAATGAGGTGAAAATAAATATTATTATTATAGTAAACACAGACGGTTTCTGTTTCGTGAAGGAAAAAAAATAGAATTCATCGCCCAAAATGGCAAAAATAAGACTCCATCGCGGGGAATCGAACCCCGACCTTTACGGGCCCTCAAACAGAAGATGAAAGCGTAAAATCCTAGCCGTTAGACCACGATGGACGTGACCAACTCACACTTGTTACAGTGTGGGATGCGCAGTGGGGCGCTATTATTCCTTATTAACTATACGCGCACTAGAACCCGTTGGGATGTCGGTGTCCCGCCGCCACCACCCCACCATCATAGACCGGCCGGACCGCGTGCGCAACCATCCTCCCGAGGCCGGTCATCTTCTACACCTCCCGTTGTACATCTCTAGCCCTCTCATATATTCTGTTTTCCGAAATGGCGCAGTCTACAGCCCACCGTCGTTTGCTCACGGAATACAAGTCCATCACCAACAACCCACCGGATGGCATCACCGCTGGTCCCGTGTCCGAGGACGACCTCCTGCACTGGGAATGCCTGATCCAAGGTCCTGAAGACACGCCGTTTGAGGGCGGCGTCTTCCCAGCCGAGCTCAAATTCCCTAAAGATTATCCCTTAGCCCCGCCAACCATGAAGTTCCTCACAGATGTCTGGCATCCTAATGGTGCGTGTTTGGTCTCGTGACCGAGCCTAAGATTCCCAGCGGTTGGCTGATACGTTACGCATGCTAACTACGTTGTTGTCTGTAGTATATCCTAGCGGCCTCGTCTGCATCTCGATCCTCCATCCCCCTGGCGATGACCCGAACCATTACGAACAAGCGTCCGAGAGATGGTCGCCCATCCAGTCGGTCGAGAAGATCCTCATCTCGGTAATGAGTATGCTTGCCGAGCCGAACGACGAAAGCCCGGCAAATGTAGAGGCTGCGAAGATGTGGCGGGAGCGACGAGAGGAATATGAGAATGTGGTGCGAACAAATGTCCAGCGCATGTTGGGTTTGTAATATCTGTGGGACAGAGATGGTGGCGAGAATAATCAAAATCGTTATCGCGAATACAATAGACTAGTATTTCGGTTATAATTAGCGTCCCTGTTTTCGTTGCATTTCTTCAAGCTCCGGCAGGGGCAGTTTACTGCTTTGAATATACAGCATGACAAAACGCACATCCTTACGACGCTGGCCAGAAACAAAATACACCTTTATTGTGGAATCTATTTCGAGGTAATACGCTTCAAATATACGGATCTAGTTTACGATGCAATGCAATACTTTTTTTTTAAATTCCGTTCTCAGCCTTGAACTTGTCCCATGCTTCGTTGAGGGTGCTGAATACCAAGCCAGCAATCAATTTGACTTCAGTGTTGGCGTCTTGAGGCAGCTTCAGACGGTGTTAGTATATCGTCGTATTATGAAGCACGTTGGGTCGCTGGCTACATACCTTGTCTGGATGCGTCTTCGCAATGGCCTTCATGTAAGAGATCTTGACCTTATTGGCCATAACGAGCTCATGAAGGCCAACTGTTTTCCACCCGCTGTTCTCCCAGAGCACCTTGTCCATACTGGAGATGAGAGCACGGAGGTTATCACGCTTCCCGTCGCGCCAAGCGCTAATTCGGGCGTCAACTTTGTCTGTCAGAGCAAACTTCTCGTCATCTTCCTTGGCAGCTGCCTTATTTGCTTCACGCATTCGTGTAACTGCTTCTGAACTCTTTTGAGGTGCCAAGCTGGCCGCTGCGCTTGGTCTCGGCTGAGGTTTGGCAGCTGGCTTTGGCGCAGGCTTAGGTTTGGGAGCTAATGCGGCTTCGCATCGCTGTCGGCCCTTGATCGCTGTAGGTCCTCCAAGACCAGCTTCAACACAAGTCTTCCAAACAGCAGCGGCATCTGCCCACTTCTCCATTTGCTCCAAGGCTTCCGCTTTGCGGCTAAGTGCTTTTCCGTACAACTCCCTCATATCTCGTTGTTCAGTTTGATTATTATCTCCCACAACGCTAATGATTTCGCCATGCCCGTTGCCAGGGCCAATGACCTTGATCGCTTGGTCGGCATCGCTAACAGCTTGCTTTGGCTCGCCTGTCTTCAGCGCTGTCAATGCTCGGTTTGTAAGCAGAATGATTATCAGCGGGTGTGTTGGAGGTAGAGAGGAAATGGAGTTCGAGTAGAGCGTGTGAGCCATGGCAAAGTCTCCTCTCTTAAAATGAGCTGTGCCTTCAAGTCTGTTTTTATTGGATGCTTGTAGATCTGAAGTTGAAATGGCGGGGATTTGTCGTGTCGGTTGTACTTCTCTAACTGCAATAGGCTTTGGTGTAGGTTGCTTCCGTGTAGGTTGTTCTGGTTGCGAAGGACGTGCTGGAGCTGTCGGTTGTTGCTTAACACTGGTGTTGAACAATAGGTCGGGTTCTTCCTTTTTAACTTCTGGCGTCGCTGGTTTGCGCCGTCTATTTGCGCTAACATATGTGGAGAAGTCATCGTCATCATCATTAAACCTGCTGAGTTTCGATTTAGCTCCGGACACCAGTGATGGTGCTGCTGGCTGTTGTTGCCAGCGGGGAGCCGGGCTGTTTCGGCTCTGGCTGGTTGACGAGGCCGCTGGTGACGCGGTGCGAGATTGATGGGGGGCCGATTGATGGCTATCGTTTCTGGCAGGCTTCGGTCTTCTGTCACTTTCTAACAGCATTGCCTCGTTTGTTACATCTGCGTCTGGTCTCGCTGCCGGTCTCGTACCGTCCAGTTGAGCGTCACGCATCCATTTAGGCTGGTTGGGGTTACCTCCGTCACCTTGGAAGTCAGATACAGCCTGTTGCATCTTCTTTTGGCCAGATTTCCAAAGTGAATTGGCAGTCTTGAAAAGGCTACTGCCTACTGCGGCGGCAGACTTTGCGAAATCCGGCTCTGCTGTCTGCTGGCTGGAGCGGCCTCCTCGCTCACGTTCATTACTTTTCCCTTGAGCCTTTGCTTTCGATTTTCGATGAGCATCATCCAACAGCCAGTTAGCCGCAGCTTGAACATCAGTTCCAGCTCCACTCTCGAGAATACCACGTCGAGCATCCTCTGGGGAGAATCCATACGCGACAAGCTGCGCTACAGCCTTGTCAAATGGATCGCCGTTTCCATTTGCAGGTCGCTTTGTTTGCGCTTTGCTTGTCATTCGGTCGTCATCCGAGGATGAGGAATCGTCTTCAATTGGCTTGCCAGGCTCTGGTTCTTTACTTTGGATTCTGTTTTTGCGCACTTCCTCCACTGGCTTACCCAAATCACCTAGGAAATCGTCATCGTCCGCATTCGTAGTGGGAGCCTTGAACGAAGGCTTCTTTCCGTTCTGTTTTAATTCGCTGAGGCCAAAAGGATCGTCGTCGTCGTCAAATGTGTTTGCTAACTCTTGACTTGCATTGCCCCAGGCGCTTGGACTTGTAAGGTCCAAATGGGCCGTATTCTTTGGTGCCGACCCTTTGGATTCTGAAGGCGGTGGGAAATGGCTTGATTTATCGACGACGGTATCTTTGTTGAATGCGGCAAACAAGTCGTTGTCGTCTTGCAGAACATCTTTAGAGGGGGACGGTTGTCGCAGCGCGGGGCTCGATGTTCCAGTCCCAAGACTCTCCCATTGAAGTCCAGTGCCGAACTGAGCTTCCGTAAGTTTTCTTTTCTCCTCTTCCTTTTTACGTTTCTCTGCTTCAAGCTGAGCTTGCCTCTCAGCTAGCGTTAGCGTCTGTGCGGGTTTCGCTGATCCAAAGTTGACGAGGTTGCTGAAGCTGTCTTGAGCAGGTTTTGGCGCAGGAGGTTTGGGGAATTGGCTATTCGATCCTTGTACAGACGCTGGGGTGCTGCGACCTGATGCAGAGCCAAACGGCGACGGCGATGGTTGTAGGGATGGGAATGATAGGTTCGGGAGCGCTTGAGCAGCCTTGGGCTTCGACGACCAATCGACGCTGGATAGGTCGTCCATGGTTGTCGGATATATTATATATGTATTGCGCTATTCTGTTTCGCTATATCATGTCTCGTATATCGTAGCGGCGTGGGATGGATCGTGTATCTGTCTTAGGAGCCAACGGTATCTTCAACCATCGGCAGCCCACTATCCCTCACTAACGGGCAAGACGTCACGCAACGGGGGCCGGCGCCACATCACCTGACCGCGCGTCTCCAACTCGCCTAAACAAAGTCGCTGGCCTAGCAGCTTCGTCGCGTTAAAGCTATGTATGGTGTTGTACGCGTCTATGCTATCATTTTATGCTAATATTTATATTTATTGCTACAGTTATTATGCTGTATAGCTGATGCTATTTTTATTGTTAGATTAGGTTAACTTTGCTCTGGTGGCCAGTGTCATATCCGCCACAGTCATTACTCCCACCTGACATCGTAAGCTACTGAATCAGCATAGGATGCATTTTAAAATAAAGAAGTACAGCTTCACAAAATTATAATAGAGATACACTAGAGGACAGATATTTTAACCACTACAATTAGCGCATATTTCACAACAGCAATAGTATATCTAAATGAGCCTATTCCCATAAGAAGTGCAGAGAAATGTGTGTTAAGCAATGACTACCCTACACGCAAACATACGTGTTGTACCGAAACAGGCTGGCAAACTACAAGGTACAGGACCATTTACACAGTGGAATCGCTAGATATACGTCTGATGATACAATCAGAGCAGTATACTAATTAATAGTAGCCCGATCGCTCAATGACGTGGGACCATCCAATGTGCATCGCTACAAACCGTGCATAGCAGTTGCAGTTGCAGTTGTACAGTAACTTACTGTACAGTACTAGGAGTATCCAAACTGCAAGGCTTCTAGAAACACGGCTGTCTACCTAGCGATTGACACCTAGCAATTCCCAGTGACAGGGAATATTCCAAGGCCACTGCATGGCGCCACTGGCTGTGGGGTCACTGTGAAATTAAGGCCCATGTTTATGGCATAAGCTACCACCCAAGGTCGCGGAGGATGCACGACATCTGTATGTTGATCGCTATTACAAGCCCATGCCACCAACTCCGCTGCCAATTCAGCTTAGCAAACTGGTGAACGAGTCAAAGTCAGGGCTATATAGTACAAACAGTAAGATGCCGCTTTTACGTAAGGGCGCTGCCCTATTTCCCCCTACAAATTCAACGCGTCTTTTGTTGTATGGGGATGGTGGCGGGCCGGGCGGAAGAACAACAGACGGGCAGGTCTCGGATGAATCGGTGCCTTGGAAGAAGAAACAGGCATCTGAAGATAATAGCAATCCCTGAATAGCACATTTCCATTGTGGCATTCTGGTCAGGAACAGACGGCACCACTATGACGTAGCGGCAATAATTTGCCTATAGTGGTTAGAGTGAGGGAGGCGGGTCAAAGGGCAGATGCGGGCATGGATACCTGGACGCCACCAGCGGGGGTCTGAAACCCGTTTCATCGAGGCGCATTAGTGGTGTAGTTCATGCATCGTGAGACCGAAAGCTCTACTCGAGCAGTTGTGTGTACGGCTGATGGGCTTATTATGAGATGGGCCGTGCGACGATAATATAAGAGTACGAATGTACAATAGGATAAGATATAGTACTCGCAGTGGAACGTGGACCACTGCATAATGTATCCCGGCGCTCTGGTCGTCTCATATTCCCCATGTATTACTCGGTCCATGTTGGCAGTCTCCAGGAAAACGCATCTGGTTAGACAAGCTAAACCTTCCTTCTTCAGTATTACTCCACAGACGACAGGTTAACTATTATTGGTGAATCGGAGAATGGAGCAGGGACAAGGACACCGGCACCGCTCAGCCGTCTTGTCCAAGTATGTCTCGTAGTATTTCTTCTTTTCCACGGCAAGGCAAGCGTTTGGAGCGCCAAGTCGGAAAGCCAGTGCCGTTGCAGTGCTTGGTGCTGGACCTATGGCATTCCCAGGTAGTCATCTCCCCGCTAAAGGACAAAACACGCGGCGCGAATCCATTCTAAAGTGTCCTCTGTAGACTTAGACACCAGTAATGATACCGGCTTGGCAAAGGAGCAAGCAAGCAAGCAAGCGTACACACAGACACACACGCTTCACTTGCTGATTCACACTCTTACAGTACTTCAGGGACAGCATAGTATAGCTCAGTAGTTGATCACGCGGTGCATCGGATGACAGTAGTGTGACTGTGGCAAGCAAGCACGCAAGCACACATGCATGCAAAATCGAGTGTAGCGGCCATGGGGGATTCATGCTTTGCTTCGGCCGATGGGCCTCTTTTTGGGTAAAGCATGCGCTGCTGTAGAAAGCGCCAGTTCGTTTCATGCAACAATAGCATAGGGCGGACAAGCGTGACGCAATGGGTATTACCTGCGCTGTGGCAGGAAGACCACCAGAGTTTTCGATTCTCCGTTGGACAGGGTTACCATTTTGGTCTGCAGTGGCGCTGAGGCACAGGCAAGCCCCCAAAGATGCGCCAGGAACCCACGGCCAATCACGACACTCACTGCCTCATCAGGCGCGCTAGAGCCCCTGGCGAGGCGCCATGCCCCTAGCGCGTGCCAGAGAATGGCCAGTCACAGTGGCCGTGGCCAGTGAACTCCACCCCTCCTTGGCAGCCCCTGAACTTCAGATCTCCCTGGAATAAATAAAGGGAGGTGCCTAAAGGAGAAATAGAGAGGCGCTGGTAATTGGGTTGGGCCCTGGGCGGGCAGTCCTGGAATTTTATTGCCTATGCTTGCCAATGGCCGCACTGACGATCCGTTGGATTCGGCAGAGCTGCTTTGCTACGGGTCTGTAGGGAGCTGATAGCTGCCGGTACTAGGTACGCGTCTTGCCACACAAAATGCCTGCCTTTGGCTTGTAGCTCGTATCATGGTGGATCTTGTAGCTGTGCTATGACGAAAGACAACGCAGCACGCTACTGGCTTAGCATGCCGAGCACCGTCTGAGAGAAGAGCGCTGTACATGCTGCGCTGCTTTGCTTCTTTGGCCAGTCTCTCTCCCTTGTGCAAGTATTGAAAGAGGTGGATGACCCCGACACTAGAAGTTTGGTCTGGAATAAAATAAAATTTATCGACTTCATTTTGTTACACCAACAAACAAAATCCTTACACGCCAGGAGCACCTTAGCGCGCAAACACTCAACCTTTTCGGCCTCCTGTACTGTACCAAACTTGACTGACCACCCACTGGCCAGGGTCGCAGCGCCTAATTTAGCGAGTCTTCACGGGGGGTCGCAATCTGCTGAGCCCACCTTTTCCACCCCCCCCAATCTTCTGCTAGGCGTTCCTAAAGCTGCCCGCTGTGCCTGGACGGCCGCCCTGAGGGCCTCCACTGTGATACCCAAGCTGCTAACAAGTCACCCCCTGTCACCCCGTCCGTCAATTTCCAACCAGCGGCCACCCCCCAAGCGCTGTATCTCGACGGTTCTGCTTTTCTTCTACTGCTCTGCCAGCTTCGTTCTGCTTTCCTTCCTTCAACCACATTCTTTACACTCTTTTTTTCTTCTTACCACCGCGATACTTGTTTCTTCTCTATCTGACCACTCGACACTCTTTCAAACTTTCTTTTGCTTGCTTTCTTCGCGTTTTTCTTCTTGACGTCCCTACCTGATCGCCTTTTGTGATCATATACAGACGCCATTGTTCAGAAAGACTTACAACTTGTTCTACAACGTAAGTGTTTAAATTTGCATTATTTGGCCATTTCTGTTTGATCACACGTCCCCTCTCTTGGAATATGCCGTGTTTCAATAAGAGCAATCAAGAAAGCAACTTTGTACGCGGCGTACGGACGGCGGCAGTCTACCGACTACAAAGGTGCAATGCCACGATGTCCAGCTGGAATCAAGACAAAACGGTCTCTAGTCGAAAGCAGTTATTACCTGCAGACTAAGAAGATTAGTCTAGAAGCTTAGAAGCTCTAATTTCTCAGAGCAGAGACAAAAACACCAAACATATCATCTGGGGCTCATCACCGGACACAGGGCCAAGCCACATCTTCCTTACACTAGCTAACATTGCTCAAATAGGTTACCTCAAAAGGTTTCTGAGTTCTGAGACCAGTTCGCATTTCAGGTTAGTTTAAACTGGAAAGAATTTGCCCAGCAGACTTGTCGCGCGCCTCTGACAAGTAAACACCACTGGTACGTAACTGACGTAGTGACCTGGCCCTCTACTGGAATGCAAGTCGTCTCATAGTCCACCACAGCTGCGAAGGCTGGAGGGGCTGGGTGTGCACACGCATCTCTCTCCTAAAGGGATCGCATTTCCTGGGTCATTTTTCAAAATGGGTTTCTGATTCGATTTCTGCAGGTTCATCATTCTTTTCGCTTTACCATAATCGACACAAATCAAAGTTAACATAGTTGAAGCACGACACGTTTCCCACCGGCAACTAAGCCACCAGCCGACGACGCATGTAAGTCGAGTCTATTTGCAGCAAGTCGAAAGCAACAGACGCAACGTTTCAATGAGGACTTGGAGAGGTGCTTAGGATATCATCAACGTATCAACCCTGGGGAGTAGGAATCGCAACAGCCAAACTGCCACCACAAGTCTTGGTTGGCAGTGCCAGAGCAGCACAACAAAACCTTTGCCAGCTGGTGGCAGCTGGCAAGAAATTACGCCTGCAACAAGAAATATTGCTCCTTGGGAAAGCGCCTGGTTGACCTGATGATGACAAAGTCCACCTCTTCACTCTTTTAGTACTCTTTGCAACGCGCTGCTCTTGTCTTCGACAAATACGACTAGAAACAAACGCTAACATTGCCTTTTAGACAACCCCCGTCGTCTGCTCAACACTTTTGACCAAGAATAGAGCCTGAACATTCGCTTTCAAAATGTTCAAGTCTTACGCCGCCATTGCCCTCGCTCTCGCGAGTGGTGCCGACGCCTTTTGGCGCATGGAATGCCCTGGTGTCCTCGATGTTGCTCGAATCGACCCCATCGTCAACTTGGGCGATGCTTCCGCCCACGCCCACACCCTCTCTGGCTCCAGTGGTACGTTTCTGTGTTATCCGTTACTAATCTGATACCGCTTGCTAACTGGACTACAGCTCTGTCTGCCACCTCCAACTCTAGCGACCTTCTTAACGGTGACTGCACATCTTGCCGTGTCACCCAGGACAAGTCTGGTTACTGGACTCCTCCTGCCTACTTCCAGGACGCCAAGACTGGCAAGCTTGAAATTGTGCCCCAAATTGGCGGCATGCTTGCGTAAGTGTACGCGGATTCCTCTACTAAGTAGATACTAATATCTTCCAGCTACTACCTTCTCTACGGAGACAACATCAGAGCCTTCCCCACCGGCTTCCGCATGATCTCTGGTGATACTACTCGCCGCACTTACACCGCAGGCAACCCTAGCCAGCCAGACCCTCCCAAGTCTCTCTGGGCCAACCTCGGCCAGACTAAGCAGAGCATCCTCGCTCAGCGCGCCGTCGGATTCAACTGCCTTAACTACGCCAAGGCTCCCGAAGGAACTCTCTACCGCCACTACATGCCCGACCAGGCTTACCTTGATGCCAACTGTGCCCAGGGTATCCGTGTTGAGATCATGTTCCCCTCTTGCTGGGACGGCAAGAACCTTGACAGCAAGAACCACCGTGACCACGTTGCTTTCCCTGACCTCGTCATGACTGGTGACTGCCCCTCTACCCACCCCATTCGCCTTCCTTCTTTGATGTACGAAGTTATCCACGACACCAACGCCTTCAAGGGCCGCCAGGGTCGCTTCGTCTTCTCCAACGGTGACACCACCGGTTTCGGTATGCACGCTGACTTCATGATGGGCTGGGAAGAGTCTTTCCTCCAGAAGGCTGTCAACACTTGCACCAACCCATCTGGCAAAATTGAGGACTGCCCTCTCTTCAACGTCGTTGACCACAACACTGCCACCTCTTGCAAGCTCCAGAACCCGCTCCCCAAGGCTGCTACCAACGAGAATGTCCGCGGTCCTATGATTGGTCTCCCCGGTGGCGTCAAGATCACCTTTGCTGACGGCCACGAGGAGGGATCTTCTGCCCCCAAGTCTTCTGCCGCTCCCAAGCCTTCGCTTACCTACTCTGCCGGTGAGCGCCCCTCTAACGCTGCTTCGCCCCTGCCCGGCCAGGTCTTCAAGGAGAAGGCTGCCGCTGCTGCCGCCGCCGCTGTTACCTCTGCTCCTGCTGCTCCCGTTGTTACCAAGGCCCCGGAGTTCTTCAGCACCGAGTTCATCACCAAGGGCAACACCGTCAGCGAGATTTTCTGGAAGGAGCAGCTCGTCACCGTCACTGAGACTGTCGATGCCGTCGAGACTGGTGCTGCCCAGGCTGTGCACCACAAGCGCCACGCTTTCGGCCGCCGCAACTTCTAAGGATGGGAGATTTTTTTTAAAATTTTTGGGGACATGCATTGTGACAAATAGGCTGCGATTTATTTTTCTTAGGGGAGGAGGATGTTTGTAAATCTGGACAGGATCCAGACGAATCAGACTGATTCGAGTGGCACGATTTGAACAAATTTTACTGTCGTTTCGATGTTTCTTTCATTTCATAGAACAAAGATGATACTCTAGGGAGTCTTTGGCAACATAGGATTTAACTACCAAACGCAGCCTATTCACAAATACAGTGTGATTTTGTCCTTATGTCTAAGCAACTGTGTTTGTGGGAAACCCTGTGTGTATTTTCAGGCAAATGTCTCACATTTTGGTTACCGTACAGCGATGCTCATGTTTATTCTAAGAGCAGTTCCTCTGCCCTCGATCTAAGCGCCACCCATATGGATCGATCCAGATTGCTGGATGGGGCATCAGACGAGCAAATGAAATGACTATTTACTTTGTCGTTGAAAATATATTTTGTTCTATATTTCTGTCTTTGCAGGCAACCTATTCGCCAGGCCTCAGGCGATGGCGGTGATGTGGAATGCGTTGCTACCCACGACGCATTCCAGCTGAGCCAGCGAGGCCCTCACGACGACCAACACGGAACAGCATTGTTTATTGGATAGGGGGCAGTGAACAAAAGTCTGTGGATATGGCCTTACCGTAGTTTCGTGAAAGAAAATATCTTGGTACTCATCCCAATCGACATCACCGCCAGCAAACGCCCCCCACGACTCTCTTCGACGCCCGATAGCTGTAATCAAGTGCGTATTGCCATAAGGTAGGAAGTTGTGAGCAGCGTTCTTGTGTATTTACGCGACTTTGCTCTTGCTTCTGAGGTGATATTGTGAGGTGCAAAAGCAATAGCGTCGCCAGTGCTGGTTCTCACCACGTGTATTATTTTGACATCACCAACAAAACATAATCCGTCATGGATTCAATTACGGAAAAGAGGACGCTGATAGCCCGAGACTCTACAGCTCTCAGTCTAGGATGGATCGTTGGCATTGCCGTCTGCGGCGGCGTGTCGTTGTTTATCTGCATTGGCTTCCTCATGTTGTGGAAGATTCGACGAGGCCCTCCCATTGCCCGAAGAATAGAGACTGAAGTCCGAGTTCCCAATAAGGTTGGCGATGATGTCTCGTGTGCAACAAAAATTCAAGTCTCTCCTACGAGACTGGCCAAACGCAAGATGCTCGCCGCCCAGTCCGACTCCAAGCTGTCCACTTACCCTTCCAGCCATCTCACCAGAAGCCACTCGAGCCGCGTCTCTCTCAACGAGCCTGCTGTTCCTGCTATTCCTCCTTTGCCTTCGACTGGCTTTAGCCTCTTCAATATCCGTCGCAGCAAGACGCATCGCAGCCAATCGGAGGAAGAGGAGCCTTCCAAGAGACTTAGCAAGAGACTGAGCATGTCGACCTGGGTGATGCGCGATAGCTGGTTTGGTGCTCCAGATGCTATTAGAGATATTGAAGCTGTTGACCATGGAACTTCGGAAGGACGATTCTACTCAGAACCTAATCTTGGCACTAATGTCGCCATCCAGCCCCCAGACGCCGCGTATATCCAGGAGCAGATTGATGCTCAGCAGCAACAGGCATTTAAGCAATACTGGCACCAACAGGCTGCTGAGATTCAGCAGGAATACAACCAAAAGCGCGTCTCACAATCTTCTCAACGGCGTCCACTCTCTGTTGCCGAGTCTGGGCTTCGTGATATTTTGCGTTGCACCGACCAGCGCCTCAGAGAGGGTCAGACATCACCGTCTCGAACGCCACGCAGCTCGCTCATGCGCCCTGTTTCTCTGCGAACTCCTCGCAGTCTCAAGACCAACTCCAACTCCTCCCAGCAACCTCCTAGTCCTTTTAAGCGCGGCTCTCTCATCGAATCCAACACCTGGGCTACCCAAGTGGACTCTACCAACTCTATTGGCAGCGTTGCAAACAGTCTTATTGCCGAAGCCATTGAAGAGCTCCAGCTCCCCGGTGGTCACTCCAGCCCCAGCCGTCTGCGTGGCCGCGAGTGGGAGACACAAAACAACCAACATCTTGCCCAGAACCTGGCTCCCAAGAGCCCTGAACGTGCTCCCAGAAGCCCTCAGAGAAGCCCCCAGCGCAGCCCGCAACGCAGCCCTCAGCGTCGCAGATCCCAGGATAGCGATGCATCTAGCAGTCTTTCTACACTCTACAGTGAGCCCGAGGAGGACGACCCATTCGTTGAGAAGAACAGCTTGGCTGCTCGCTACCAGCCAATGAGCGGCCCCCGACCTTTGACTTCTAACTCTGACACTATGATCAAGACCACAGTCCGCGCTGTGCCGTCCTACACTCGTCCTCACTCGGACAGAGCCGATGGCAAACCCATCCGAGATAGCGCCCTCATTGACCCCAATAATCTGTCTATTGTTCTCCAGCCTCCTCAGATGAGCCAATCCGAAGAAGTCCGCCCCAAGGCTGGCGAGTTTGTTCAGATCTTCGAGGACCCTTCCCGCGAGACCTTCCTCAACTCTCCCGAATCATCGTATGACGATGATGATGATGAGAGCTTCGTCTCCGTCTCCGTGGCATCCATGTCTGAGGCGTCGACTCCCAAGTCCATGTCCCCAGCTGATGATGATACTCCCTCCAAGGATGTTATTACGCACATCTCCAACAGACGCCGGTCACCCACTGCCAGCCCCTTGTCGACGACCGGCGACGGAAACGACGACGATGCGGCTTCCAACGCCTCTTCTTCCCCCTACAACGAAGGCGATATTATCTCCATGCTCATGGCAACTTCTTCGCCCAAGAGAACCTTGCCTGCTCCTCCCACTGTCTCTGGCCCCGACGGCACTGTTGTAACCATTCTCTCTCCTCCTCCTCGCGAGACCATGGAGCGCAAGGTCTCGGACAGCAGCTCGTACTACCAGTCCGAAGCCCCCTCCAGCGTCCAAGGCAGCGGTGCTCTTTCCACTGGATCTCCTGCCCTTAAGCCCACCATCAAGGCCATCCAGGGCCTCAACAGCGTCAGCTGCATGGTTGCCGAGCTTAGACGCATGAACAGTCTGCGCAGTTCCCAGAGCACAGGCTCGCTTCAGTCCGCTCAGGCCAGCGAAACCTCGTCTACCCAGCACGCCAACGGCCCACGCATCGGTGACCGCCACTACTTCAACATGGGCAAGTCGCACACCAAGTCCTACTCGACTGGTGGACAGCCTACAAGCCGACCTCAGGGAGCTCGCCGCTACCCTGGCCCTCCTGGAGCCTCCAAGCTGCGCGAGGAAGTTGTCGAAGGCAAGGAGAACCAGGGCCTCGGTATCCGAACCGCGCTTGTCCGTAGTGACACTGCTGGGTCCCAGGGCCTCCGTGAAGATACTTCTGCCGCCAACCTTGTCATTGAGTCCCCTCGCTCGTCTCCCAAGCCTACTGTGCCCATCCGAAGCCCGTCTCGTCCTCAGAGCGCCGGAAGAGCTAGCCCACCCAAGGGTCCCAAGCCCATGCACCAGACTGTTGAGGAGCTTTCCAAGAAGGAACGTCGCCGCCAGAAGCGTGACAGCATGGTCATCTTTGACGGAACCAGCTTCAACCTCGCCGATACTCGCAACCGACCTTTGAGGATGTGATTCGGCATCTTTTAATACCTCTTTTCGATTCTTGCACTTACTTTATACCCATATCTTGTTCTGGTTGCGGAACAAGAACTTTCTTCTTCTTCTTTCTTCTTACACCTTTTTCTGTAATTTCATATACCACGGTCATAATATTGTTTTTGTTAGATGCATCACATATAGGCTGAAAGCAGCCTTTGGCGCCATTGGAGCATATCCTCTTTATTCTTCGTATTTTGGACAGACCAGTATAATTTTCAAAACAACTTTTTCTCTCTTTCAGAATACAGCCACTGTTGCTACTGTGCTGTGTAGTAGCGTCGAATTGGTAAAACTTTAGTCTTTCGATCTAATTTTTGTTAAAAACAACGTAATATTCCGACCTGAACGCCTCTTTTTTTGTTTGTCATCAACCTTTGTAGTTGATATTGTAATAGCAGACTGTGTTGTTTATTCAACCCTTTGTCGTTTATTCTCGGCATCAGCTTCGGTAGAGTGGCCATTGACCTCTCCGTTTTCGGCTTCATCTCTAGGTCTCACGCGGCCACCGGTGCCCTCGGCCTCTTCTCCATCGCCTTCTCCTTCTTCCTCGGGACCGATCCAGTTGCCGTCAGCGTCAAAGTATTCGTGGACGTTGTCGGCTGTAATCCAGCCGCCGCTTCCAGGCATAGGGGGAGGTAGACCACCGTCTGTTGCGCCTCGCATTACGCCGGTGAATCCCTCGAGCGCCTCGTGCTCTGCGCTGCCCTCAATGACAATGCGGTCGTAGTAGTCACCCTCTTCTTCGTCATCTTCATTCTCCGGGTCCGGGTGGAGGTTTGAGCAGTTGGCCACGGCCTCGTAGAGCTGAGATGCGGTACTGGGCTCGCCCTCAGCTGCTGTGGGAGGAGTGATTGTAAGCTCGATGGTTCCAAAGTCGTCGTCGTTTGCGCCGCCGTCGGAAATCTCGACTTGCATCCAGACAGCCTGTGTGGGACCGCCTTCACTGGTCGGCGTAACCTGCTTGATAGCATGGATCGATATCGAGGGGTAAGGGATCGTGACACCAGTTTCAGCTTCGGTGCTGAAGATTGTGAAGTTTCTAGAGAGCAAACTTGGTTAGCAAGGCGCAGGCAGGGCTACCACTGATTGTAGTGGGCATGTTACGTACGACGAGGTCACAAAGACGGCAACATTCTGCTGGACGATCTCTTCGCCAGTGCTGTCAGTAGTTGCAGAGGCATCGGCAGGAAATACGGCAAGCTTTCCTGCTTGCGACTTGGGAACTGAAGCTTGGGCGTCCGCAAGGTGCAAGTGAAGAACGGGCTTGGAGTCGGCAAAGGATTCGGGAGTCTGTGATTGGTATTCGGCAAGCAGGATGAAGTCGGCAATTGCCGGAGGCGTTCTAATGGTAGTCGGCAGCATTGTTTACGCGGGTGCAAGGAAACGATGAAGCTTTGAAGCAGTCGAGTTTGCGATGCAAGGTTTGGGTAGCGCGGGGCATCGCCGCTTTTGCACCAAGGCTGTCTTTGGTAGTGTTGAGCTTGAGGGAAAAAAAGGTGGGGATAAGGGCGCTGTAATTTTAGTGAGGATAGTGACTCGATTGCGCTGTAGTAAGCTGGCGACGCCGCTATTTTCCTGTGAGAATAGGTGGGAAGGAGAGCGAAAGTATAATTTGTAGAAATTGTGCTAAAATGTAAATGAGCAATTAGAGTGATAAATATGCTATTAAGACTTCTTTTAGTTGGAATTATCGATTGGATGGTACTATGCAGTATAGCATCCTACACCACACTTGCAAAGCCCAGGTCCACTGCCAGCTGCCAACTGCCTTGCGTACACTCATCACGTCACGCCAGCTGCCCACTTGGCAACCATTCTCACCAGTTTCATCATCACCAGCATCGCTTTTGGAGACATCACGTGTGCTGAGTGAACCCGGTAACAGCGGTGACTCCTTAATTGCTTATATTATACTTGTTGCTCGAGCCTGTAGCCGCAAGCAGTGGCCAATTTCTCATAATGTACAACAACAGTACGTCAGCTAACGTAACATCGAGTCTGGTGACCAGCTTCCCCAAACTGACATATCCTCCTCACTAGAACCTCACCCGCTGCTGGAACAGGTTCCCCTAACCGTCTCTCCATTTGTTTCCCTTCCAGCGGCTACAACACTCTCCTACAACTACAAGACAATGCCTTCCAACATACCGCCGTCATCGCTGGGCATTCCCACAGCCTCCGACAACCCGTCCCAGCAACCCAAACCCCGCTATGTGGTCTCCAACACAGGCCACGCAGCACACCCTGATGACATTATAGCGTCTTGTAAAGCACTCCATGCTCATGTTATAAAGCTGCAGGAAGATGCGGATCGTGATTTACGCGAGTTTGATGAGCGTATCAAGGAGAGGGACCTGGCGGAGAAGAGACGGCTTGCACCGGGATGGCTGGATAGCGATGCCCGGCTGCTCGAGCCCCAGAAGTCTGCACAAGAAAATCTCATGGATTCGGAGATGAAGACGTCGGAAGTAACACAAGCTCCTCCCGCACATGATCAAGGTGCTGAACTGGATCGTGCGTTTGGGGGTATGGAGTTGAAATGAGCGACCATATGATGACGACTAGGACGGCGTTACGGGAGTTATCTCTCTTCAATTGATATTCTAACAACATGTATATACAGAACTGCTACGATTATAGTCTATTCGAACAAGCCTTGCAATCCTTTCTACCATCTCCATTAAGCAGAAGCACGCGATAGCACAGTCAGGATTAGTACAATTGCTGCCCTTACATGACAAGAACCGCAAGAAGAGCACCGGCAGCAGCCAATGGAAGCTGCTGCTTCATAGCTGCAGCAGCACCGGTGGGAACGGTGGTGGTCTAATTGCAATGTGAGCCTTTGTTTCTCGTTTTGTGCAGGGTCAACTTACGCCGTTGTTGGAGTGGCCAGCACTGGTGGTTTGAGCCGGCTGACCTGCACTGGTAGTAGCAGAACGAGGAGCGCTGGTAGCAGCGGCAGAGGTAGTCACAGGAGCTACACTGGAAGCGTGGCTGGACTGCTGGGCAGGAGGGGCCAAGCTGGACGGCGCAACGGAACCAGCGTTGCTGCTGCTGCTGGCATTGCCGCCGGGAGACACAGCCTTGGGAGTAGCATCTAGACCGCAAGCCTTGGCAGCCGCGCTAACCTTGTTGCCATAGCTCTTCCAGATGTCGTACTGTAGAGCACAGTCAAGGCAGCCACGGAGCAAACCGAGCCACTCTTCATTCTTGCAGTAGTCGCCGACACCCTTTTGGATGGTGTATCCTGGTATTATTAGCCTTTGGCAATATGTTATTGGGATATATATGAAGTACGTACCACAATTGGCATGGCATTGGTAAGTGGGATCACCTGTCTGTCTCTTGTCGAGAGGCACGTTGTCCAGGAAGAAAGAGTCATCCTGAGGCGCTACCAGGGCCGAAGCCAAGGAGCTGAGAGCAACGAATGGGATCGCGAAGCGCATTTTGGTAATTTGGTGCGGAGTCTAGCGAGGGACGACTTTGAGTTGGACAAAGAACGAGTTTGGGTTGAGAGTGGACAACGAGCGGACGAGAGGCGCGGTGCTACGGTGCCTTATATGGCCGAGCAGCGTAGACAAGCTTTCCAGCAACACAGCTCGACAAAGGTACCTTGACAGGGTACAATATAATGTCCGCATTAAAATGGCATTTCCGACACCTCTAGTCGAGGACAGCCACACCGTGCAACTCGGCGGGCGAGCAGTCTTGTCCTCACCAGCCTCATTGCGTGGCCCAACTCGCCCGTCTTCGGCAAATCCTGCACGGTCTCGACGGCAAACTCCTTGCTTTTCCACCGTGGCTGGCAGACCAAGACTTGCAGAAAGCAGGCGCCACCGTTACAAGTGGGTAGGGACAAGGATGGCTAACGGTACTGTGGGTGCTTAGCCAATTGCCACACCGGTGGGCATCTAATCAGTGGACAGCACCCACCACCCATCTTATCAGATGATCTGATAACCCGCTACTGGCCCTCTTCGCTTGCAGCACCGCACCACACCACACCACACTGGCTGCAGCTGAAAAACGAAAGTTTGCATTTGGCTGCAAGCCGTGCCAAAAAAATACCGCAGGTTACATTGCGGCCGCCACCGTGCGGTTTGCGTTAGCCAAGACCACCCTTCGTGGTGCTAGAGTACTTATGGACCACTCGGATTTAATCGGTCACTATGCATGCGGATGTCTGCCGTAAAGACTGGCACATGCTTCTTTACGGAGAGTTCCATTTACCCGCTGTTTTCAATTGGGCTTGGAAGGATCTTGGCATAGAGAGGAAGCGAACGCAGTATTTACTTTAATAAGCCCAACGCGCAGAAGCATCCCCCTCCTTCACACCAACACCTACACTCACAACACTGACGTACTACTGCTAGTATACTACTGCTGGTATATTGTTTAGTATAGCAACATGCACGCCCTTAGTGTCATTCTTCCCTTCACGGCCCTTTTGGCAGGCCATGCCTCAGCGGCGGCCTTTGACAACATGGGCCCGGCTGCCTTTCTGTCACCACCAGACCGTCCTTGGTCTCCCGACGCAGACAACACTGCGCCATGTGGCTCTGACTCTGGCCCTGTCAATCGAACCCAGTTTCCTATGAGTATGTGGCTAACTCTGAACGGAAAATAGCATCTGCAAGTGCTAAACTGAATCCATAGGAAACGGCAAAGTCGCCTTTGTTGCGCAGGACGAGTCCTACGACATTGAACTCCGCATCTCGTACAAGTCGGGTCAGTACTCGAATACCTTTCATGCTCAAGATGTCATGTTGACTTTTTGTTCGTTGCAAAAGACCCCAAGTCCGATGACGACTTTACCCAGTTGATCAGTGCTGCCGCCTTCCGGGAGATGGACATGGGCCACACCTGCGTCAACGTTGCCGACGCCCCAGCTGCTGTCCAGCCTGGTAGCAACGCAACCTTCCAGATCAAGTACATTGCGGACTTTGACAAACCTCAGAACCAGACCTTCTACGCATGCGCTGATATCACCTATGTGAGCGCCATTGCCAACCTGGGATCCAGCGCGAACCTCTGCTTCAATGCCACCGAACCAAGCACGGGTAAGAACAAGCCTACAAACACACCTGTCCCTGGAAACAACTCGGGCCAGTCTAGTGGCGGTGGCGGTCTATCTGGAGGAGCTATTGCTGGCATCGTCATTGGATCCTTGGCTGGCGTTGCATTCGTCGGTGCCGGAGCATTCATGGTCTACCGCCGAAAGCAGCGCCGTCTCAATGCTGCACGACAGGCGCATACGGCCAGAGGTGTTAAGTGGGACAATCACTCTGCTAGAGACTCTGCATCACAGGGTAGCGTCCGTCTGAACGACCTCTCCCGCAACTAAAGTCTGGCCACCCAAATATGTACACCACGCTATGCTTTGTAACGAGATTCATGTTTTAACGCTAGTATTCCATTTTACGAGCAGATAAGAAACTAAATGATGATACTTGTATTTGAATTTCCCAAATCAGAGCTTCTTGAGCTGAGCAATGCGATTCTCCACATATGCCTTGGTTGCTGGGCCCGTGTAAGTCAGAGCCGCGCCCCAACCGTGAGGCAGGCCGGGATACACGTGGAATTCGACCTCGATATCAGCCTCAATAAACTTATTTACGTAGCGCGAGGTTTCTTTGACAAAAAGATCAATCTGACCAATGTCTACATACAGTGGAGGAAGCCCAGTGACGTCGGTTACGCGCGCAGGTGCAGCATAGATGGGGACGTTATTGGTGCCAAGTTTGTCACCAAGATATGCCGTCCAACCCGTGAGGTTGTCACTTTCAGACCACAGGGTGAATTTAACACTTTCAGGGAGCTTCTCCTTGTTTCTGTCGTCTAGCATAGGGAAAGCTAGAATCTGTCGCGCAATAGGAGGACTGAGCCCTCTATCACGAGCCATGAGCGTGAGCGCAGCCGCGAGACCAGCACCGGCACTTTCGCCCATGACGGCAATGCGGGCCGTATCAATGGTGTATTTGGCCGCATTGGCAATGAGCCATGTTAAGCCTGTCCAGCAGTCCTCTGGAGGTGTAGGGTACGGGTGCTCTGGCGCAAGGCGGTAGTCAACCGAGAAGATGGGGATGCCCGTGGCCGCAACGTATTGGAACAGCAGAGGAAGAGCGATGACAGGAGTCAGGAGGATCATGCCGCCGGCGTGGGCGTGGAGAACGGCGGGAGAAGGGTTAGCAGCATCATGCTTGGCTGTTTTATTCCAGACATGGTAGATGGGGAGCTTGTAGCCGTCCGGAGTCTCAGTGTGTAAGATCTCGTAGGCCACGTTGGGCGGGATGCTCTCTGGGGTAGGGGCTGCTTCGAGGATGGAGAAGAGCTGTCTTCGGAGAGCGACATCGTGGTCTGCTGGTCTTGGGCCGGCGAGGGCCATGGCGGTTTGCTCGGCGCTAGCCGCGGCGTAGTCTGGGTCGAGTGTGAGGCCCATGGTGGATGCTGAGATGGGGGGAGAGAGTTGCTTGTAGGATAAGAAAGGATGAGTTTTCAGAGAGTCTTTTTATATCTCAGCCGTAGCCTGATATTCAAATAGAGGGAACAGACAAAGAGAGGTGTTTTGGATGAGGAGGCTATGTCGCGGCTATTATCTACTTTGGGATTGATACCCTCGGCTATGGCTATGAAGAAGACGTGGCGGTAGAGTACGCAGCGTACATTTTTGTTTTTGCAGAAAAATAATGAAATGTATAATAGTAAACGAGGTTTCCGAAGCACACATCTTCTTGTAGGTGAAAATACGTGAGGCAGCATATTCCATTACTTTTCTTTTACTTGCTGTTTTGTCTGAATGGGTAGAGGGAGAGCCCTGAATCATGTAACCCCTCCCCAGAGCAGTCTGCTGGAGTCAGGTTCCGTTCCTTCTTCAGGGGAGCTGCCGCTGTAATGACGCCCAAACCCCGCTCTGTGAACTCTGCTTCTCTTCCACCAACCCACTGACCCCGCACAATGACGAAACGCCACGACCACTAAAAAGCCCAACCTGCAGCACTAGCGGCCATTTCAGAGAGCGGCCCACAAAGCCTGATGATCGCGGATGTGCTTGCGAGCCGCTCCACTGGGTTCGGGACTGTGTTTTACAGGCAGAAAGAGCGCTGCAGTAGCAGTGGAAGCGGGGGGAGAGGGATGGCCAAAGGTGGAATTAGTTGAGAGATAGTGGCCGGGATTTGGAATTTGCTGACCACGGGGTTTGTGTGTTTGTGTGTGTCCAAGAGCTAACTTTGCTACTCCCTGCTGTTGCTGCTATTATCAACTGCAAACACAAGCAAAGGACGCACCCCTTCCCAACAATGTCTGACGAAACACCACCACCAGTAACCGTCTCTGTCGATGTCGGCATCGTCGGAGCGGGCTTTGGCGGCGTCATTGCCCTTAATACCCTCCGCAAACAAGGCTTTTCCGTCAAGATTGTCGAGGCAGCGCCAGATCTTGGTGGTGTCTGGCACTTTAACAAGTATCCAGGCTGTAGAGTAGACTCCAAGGTGCCCTTCTACCAGCTCAACAGCCCCGAGCTCTGGAAAGACTTCACCATGAGCGAAAAGTATCCTGGCCGCGACGAGATTTGCAAGTACTTTGCCCATATGGATAAGAAGCTCGACCTGCGCAAGGACGCCCTCTTCAACCAACCCGTCAACAAGGTTTCATATGACAATGCCACCAAGATTTGGACCATACAGTCGGAGCATGGCCTCCAAGTGAAGTGTCGATACGTCATTCTGGCGACTGGCACAACACACAAGAAACATATTCCCCAGTTTCCTGGCCTCAACAACTACAAGGGTCAACTTATCCACCCGTCTCGATGGCCCGATGACTTTGACGCCACAGGCAAAAAGGTGGCCATTATAGGCCAAGGGTCGACGGGTGTCCAGATAGTCCAGGAGCTCGCCAAGGAAGACTGCAAGCTCACAATCTTTGTGAGAAACCCACCTATTACTTTCCGCATGGGCCAGCAGCAAACGTCCCCCGAACAAGTCGAAGCACAAAAGCCTACGTTTTTCGACCAGTACAATGGCCGCAAGTACGCAAAAGCCGAGCCGCATTACTTTACCCAGGACACGGACGAGCAGCGACAACAGCGTCTTCAAGAAGCATGGGACGGCTACTCTTTCGACTTTTTGGCGAAAATGTACACCGATACTGTGACAAACAAAGAAGCTAATAAATTCACGTACGACTTTTGGGCTAGCAAGGTCCGCCCAAGCATCTCGGACCCTATCAAACGAGATATCCTCGCGCCACTTGAAATGCCCTATTGGTTCTTCACTAAGCGACCCATCATTGAGCAGGACTACTATGAGATGGTTAACCAGTCCAATGTTGACCTAGTCGACTTGCGTAAAACCAAACTTGAAAGCTTTACCGAAAAGAGTATTGTTATCAAAGACGGCGACGAATCGCAAGAGAGAGAATTCGACATCATCATTGTCTCTACGGGCTATGACGCTATTACAGGCGGCCTTTACGACCTGGGTCTGCATGACAAGCATGGCACCCCGCTCAAAGAGAAATGGGCAGATGGCATCATTACACATCTAGGTATGATGATTCCAGACATGCCCAACGCCTTTGTCTTGTATGGCCCGCAGGCGCCGACATCCTTTACCGACGGACCGGTGTTTCTGGAGCTCGAGGTCGAGTATATCGAAGAGCTACTGAAGCGCATGAAAGCCGACGGCTACACGTCTGTCGAAGCTACGCAGGCAGCTTCGGAAGCCTGGAAAGCAAAATGTCAGGAAGGTTTCGACGCCACGCTGTTCAAAGAAACATCATCCTGGTGGACTGGCGCCAATATCCCAGGTAAGCGTGTTGAGCCTCTCCTCTGGTACACTGGCCAGTACTCGTGGCTACAGCTGTATAGAGAGTCACTGAAGAGTTGGGACGACTACAACGTAGAATAAAAGAAGAGGAACTAAAATTGTACATTGATATATTAATCTCAGAAAAACGATAGCGTAATTCATAATCCCAGCTTCTTCTCAACGTGTGCATCAATCTGTATACGGACTGTCCGATCCTATACCCCGTCATCCCTCCTATTTGCCTGCTGCAATCTCGACAATATTGCCCACGATGCCCGAGGACATGGGACTCAGCAGATACAAAATAGTATCCGCAACCTCGTCTGGCTGCAAGATATCTCTCATCAACCCCCGGAACCCAGGCGTATCTACATGCTGTGCAATAAACGTATCCATCATCGGCGTCTGCACCGCCCCCGGCGCCAGCGCATTCACACGAATCCCCTGCGCCGCCCACTCCATGGCCAGACTCTTAGTTAGACCCGCGACAGCATGCTTGCTCATCACATACGCACTCGCACCCGGGTATCCCTTGATGCCGGCCTGCGACGACATATTGACAATACAAGTGTCCTCATCAGCCGGGATATCCTTTCCGTCATCCGCACGGCTCTTCTGGTCCACGTACTTGTAGAACTCGACACAAGTGTTCCATGTGCCGTTTACATTGATGGCCATGATTCTGTCCATGAGCTCGTCGGCCCCATCGGCAGTGGCGCTGTGGAGTTGCAAGATCGCAGCGCAGTTGACTAGCCCGTGAAGCTTGGCGCTGCGCTCGTGGATCGCTGTAAATGTCGATGCCACGACTTCACGCGAGCTTACGTCTACCCCGGGATAGAACCAGAGCTTTCCTGTGGCGGGGATCTCGTCGGGGAACTTTTCGGCCAGATCGATGACGTGCACGTTGGCCGATTGAGCGAGGAGCTTGTGCACCAGGGCCTTGCCGATTCCCGAGGCGCCGCCGGTCACGACATAGGTTTTGTTCTCAAAGCTAATCATGTTTCTCTTGTTTGGTAATTGATTGGTATGGTAATTAATATGTAAAGAAATTAAAAAGCTGGGGTATGGACTGAAGAGTAACTGCCGAGAAACTCTCCGGCAGCCTTGCTCAGGACGGCCGCCATCACCCCGCAACTATGCATGAGCTTGCGATGGTGTGTAGGATTTGGCAATGATCGTCAAGGATTGGATGATTCAAAGGGTTGCATATTGTGCTTGTTATTATTTTGGTGATACAAGTACAAGAAACTATTACACACTATCCAAAAGTCGGCCACACTGATAAAGAAATATAGGACCATGGCTCTCTCCTACTCTAAACTCCAGGCTACGTAAATGCTCACAAAATAAAAAAGAAGGGTATCAAGACAGATATAAACTATAACGTGCCATCTAGGTTTGCGTCGAGTGCAAGGCCCTGGCGATTGAACTCGGTGGGATCCCATGTCTGGAACGATGCAGCAATGTTGTTCCAGTTCTGGTTCAAAGACATTTGCAGCGGCAGATGAATTGTCCGTTCTTCGGCAAACGTGGTCATGATGACGTTGCTCGTTTGTGATTTGAGATAGGTTGACGCAAGCTCACAGAGCGATTTGCAAATGTTGTATTGGCCGCGAACTCCTTCGTTGGTGGCAGCGATTTGGTCTAGCGTCTTGAGCACATCGGTCAACAGCTTCAGTGACGCATGGTCTGATTCTGCAATGCAGTAGAGAAATGTGATGATGAAAGGGGTGAATGAAGAGTATGTTAGAATCCTGTAAACCTGGTAAGCATGGGTTTCAACAAAATCAGAACAAGGGCTAAAATTCGTACCAGATGCCATAGTAATGAAGCGCCATTGGCCCAGCGGCTACGGCGATTGGGAAGCTGTGTAAATGAGCCTCTAAGCCGCTACGAGCAGCTTGGAAGCATTGGGGTGAGATCTCTTTGGGAGCCAGGGAGGTAGTACTTCCTCTGTATAACAAAGTGAGGACCGAATAGTACATAACATCGTTTGCCGGAAAGGTAAGCTCATAGATATGCCTGCTCTTGGCTTTTGAAAAGTCAATCTGCAAAGAATTTTGTCGCCATCGATCCATTTGCATTGCCAGATCGTCGACATATTGCTTCCGCCTCTCTGCATCTAGCATTGTAGATGCTGGAGAGTACAGCGTGCTGTAGATTTGCGATTGAAGCCTCGAAAAGCTCATGAAGAGCTCCAGTGTCTTGGCCCAAGGCACCTCGGATTCAACCGATGGCATGGGAAGACGTGGTGCGTCTACATCGAAATCAGGAATAAGAGACGCTCTACCCAGACGTAACGTTAAACTGGCTTCTGAGCTGTAAACGTGCCAAAAGAGGCGGCTTCGCCTCTCTGCTTCTGCAGGTGGGACGTTTGGTCTCGGTTTGCGGTGGTAGCCAAGCATGAGACAGTGCCTAGCGGCAACGGATATAAGAATATTCTGGCGCAAAAGGTTACCAGCGATTTGTGCGCTTAGTGCCTACATTATCATGTTAGTTCAATAGCGATCTCTTTTAGGACGGGGCTAGCAGGTTCTTACCCCCATACACAGTGCTGTAGCATTGTAGAAGCTCGGAATAGCGGCAATCTCATTTGTCTCAATTCCAAGCTCAAAGTTGGAGTTGCATGCGCGCTGGTACATCTCGAGGTCCTCGATTGGCTCGGTTGTTGGATGCTGACCAAGCTCCCACATCAAAAATGACAGCATACCGTGGAAGGACGTAACCTCACCGATTGTCAGAGGCTCAAGTGGAAAGTATATGCGCTGAGAGAGTCTCTCAAAGTCGGCAAATTCAGTGACGGGATGATATTGAGGGAGAAGCGACCCATGTTCTAAGTGCGGTTAGCATTGCATACTTCAGCTCTGCTCTGCATGAACCTACTGTACGCAGCACGAATGATCTGTAAGGTGAAACTGGATGGAATAGTCTCCATCTGAAGCATTTGCTCAGGCTGAAATGACTGGCGCTGAGCAGCAATACGCTGCTCGGCAGTTGTGATGGAATGTCTTAGGAGGCTGATTTGTTGCGTGACTTCTGCTACGGTTGGGTCATCAGAGGAGGCAAGCTGCTCGATACCACTAGCGTGCAGGCTTTGCTGTTCAAAAGTGGAATTTGCGCCGAGGAAATTAATATCGGTATCAGTCCACGGCTTCTTCTGCGTGACGGCAATTTGCGCTTGCGGCGAGGGTTGCTGCTGTGGGATGCTCCGGTCGATTCCCGCGGGCGGGGACTCGGACGACTTGATAGTCTGCATTGACAAACTGACGACAGCATTTTCGATTTTTTCAAGGCGGTCTTGCAGAGCACGCAGTACATTGTTACTGCTGTACACGAAGAAAGAAAAAAAAGCAACGAGTTAGCACAATCTGTATCCTTGCGGAGATAGGATAAGACCTGGTACTTACGCCGCAGGTGGAGGAGCAGTAGACGGCGCTCTGCCGGGGCGAGAAGACGGCTGGCATGATATATTGGATGTGAGGCAATTGGAGCATGGAATCTCTCTATTACATTTGATCTGCAAGGCGGTTAGTGTATGCAGTTTCGCTGGGCTGGTCTGCATGAGGCAAGACAAGACGCTGGGGTCACCCAGACAGTCCACTGCAGCCTGGTTCAGGCAACTCATACCTTTCGCACGCGACAGTTGTGACACTAAAGAGCACAAGGCACGTTAGCAAACGAACAAACACGCAACGATACATGCCCACCCAACAAGACGGGGATCAACATACGGCCCTGGGAACAACGCTGCTAGACTCCATTGCTTGCCACGCGGGGGATGCGGACTCCCGTTGGGCTGCCCCTGTGGTGGGATGATGATGTGTGGCAGGTGGCGGGATAGGTATGCAATCAATCGTACGAGGGTGCGCTGTCAATCACCGTTGGAAACGCAATCTAAGCGAGATGATTTGCAGATTTTCCAGGCGTTCCGTGGTTGATGGCGTTGCACGGAAAGCGTGGAAAGCGAGCAGAGTCAGGTTTTGGGTGGAGTTTGCGCAGGTGTTGGGGCAGCTGGCGGAGGTGCGCTGTCAGGGCAAAGCTGGCGGGGTACAGAGTTGGCGGTTGAGCAACTGCCGCGGAGCGTCTATTCCAGTGTCATAGCTCACTACAGAACCAGTTTAGTAGACACACAGAAAAAAAGCATGTGAAATGCAACATTGCACCCAAACGGTAAGTGTTGATTTGACTGCATAAAGAAATCGTCAACGTTCCCCAGAATCTCATCGCACGACGTCCAAATAAGCCCGCCTCATGTTATCCTATGTAGCCTCGTCACTGGATACTCATCGCCAAGCTCAGCACCATCGGCTGTGCAGGGGACTGCCTGACTCGCGGATAACCGATGACATGAGTCTATGTGAGATAATTAGGACAAAAAATATGATTTCAACTAGGAGCGAAACAAGAAATCAAATATATCAATGCGGTCTCCAATAACACTCGCTGCACTGAATGATGGAAAGCAATTGCTATGCGTGCTAAACTATTCCAGCAGGCCCTTCTCCGCCCCCTGCAACATCCACGATTTGTGGCGCTTGACCCTCGTACCCAAGCACCTTAAAAGGACACACAAAATTGCAAGAGTGAATCCTACGGCGACAAGCGACACTATCGATTTGTAATGCTTGCCAATGGCCACAATTGCCGCTGCGTCCCATCCGTGCCAGCTACTGGCTCCGCCGTGTGCCATGATTGGGGTTTGCACTATGCCGCGCAACATATGAGGTGCAATATCGCCCTCTTTGTCGGCCAAAACCATGACGCTTTCAGTCTCCTCTCCGGAAACATAGCGTTCCGCATATTTGATCCACTGATTTGAAAAGAACATGCATCCAGTGCTGAGCATGTTCTCTATATACGGAAGCCGCATAGGTGCAGCCCATGCCAGATCGTGGCGTGGGATCGCCGACAGTAGCCTTTCAAGAAAGCTATGACCAGGTTGTGTGAGAATAAACGCATTATTGACACCTGCAGGATGGGCTCCAGGGCTGACAAAAGGCAGCTGCGTCAGCCCGGTTGCTTCTAGCGCAACCAGACAGGTAATGTCCAAATCCAAGTAGACACCACCAAATGTGTGTAGCACCGCGTATCGCAGGACATTGGCTCTCTGAATATTTTGAAAGTAGCCATTGTAATGTGGCGAAATCTCGGGATACATTTCAGCCATAAAATCGGTCGCATTTGTGTCCGTCCAGAGGAAAAATTGCCATGTTGGGTGAAGCTGTCGGCAGCTCTCCATGGCTTGTTCGTACTTTGCTATCGTGCCATTTCCAAGAGCGACTTGGTGAATGATTTTGGGAACGGCAGTCGACTCATTATTCGACTCGGGATATTTATACAACAGTTCTGGATACTCTCGTATCAAAGGGTAAAATGCCGAATAAGTGTGTATAATATCGCGAAGAACTTGGATGTGGTGTCGAAGAGCACAAAGGGCTAGGAGGGTGGTTGCAACAGCCAGTGCAGATGCGAGTCGGAAACGCATATTTGTAAGCTACCGTCTCCCGGTGCACAGTGAAATTCTAGGATATTGAAGAAGGTTGTTAATGTATTGGAAGTGTGCAGCAGTGAATCGTCCAAAGCTGGGAAGGAGTTGGTCGAAATCTGCCAGCAAAGGCAAGTAAGTGTTAGAGAGTCAACACTAACAAAATACCCTGTTTGTTTATAGGTCCTTTTTCCAGAGACTTGTCTCTATACCAAAGAAAACAGTGTAATATCACGCGGCATCGACGGAACGCCGGTCTCTCCTTGTCTGTCTTGGCACGTTGATGGAGTCGCGCCACTTACACGTCCAACCGCTCTTTTTGCAACCCCGATACGGGGAGGAATATCCTAATATCCCTGTGGGAGTTTGGGCTGCTTATAAGAGTTAGAGAATTGTGGTGTCACACTTTTTTGACTTTCTCACGGTTATGAGCCCTTGAGGATCCCAGATCGGAGCCCGCAACTTCCCGAAGCCTTTGTGCTTGATTCCTCAAGCAGATGAAACATACAAAATTCACAGAAAACTGCCCAAAAATCTTAGACTTAGCGTCAAATCTGAGCTATAAAAAGGTAATTAGTAGTATCAGACTCTGTAGTCTTTTGACTATTAATTAAGAGGATTATGTGAGATTTTGGGCTGTATATAAGAGTTAGTTAGAGCTTGAGAATTGTGGTCTCGCACTTTTTTGACTTTGCCACAATCCCAATCACCGTGTCATCTGATAAATTTGTAAATATTATTACAATGGCGGCCTCTTCTCTCATAGCCCCCTTTTATGCCATGTGATTCATCCATTTTATCCTATAATGCACGGCCACAATGGACCGTCTGGAGTTGCATCGTAGCCTTGCCCCGATGTGGCCAAGCGGTTGCAGGCCATTAGCGCCTCGCTAAAGTTTAGCCTCAAATGCGCTTCTCTGACGTCAAAGGCTCAGGAACACGCGTACTGGCCAAACGTGCGGCGGCGGTCAAAATAGCGACAAATTACGGATAAATGGAAAACATGATGCCAAGAAATGGGAGAATACCAACAGAGCGGACTCGGGAATAAGATGTAGAAGAATCGAGTGCGGAGTGTGTTTGTGTGTCGGAGAGTCGGTGCTTGCTTGGACACCGATGCGCTTGTCTGAGTTTGCGGACTCCGCAGAATACAGGAGTCTCCGGCGTTATCTGTGAAGATTTTAGTTGTTACTCTAATTTAACGTCCACTGCCCAGCAGTGATGGACCAGCAGTGATGGATAGGGGAAAAATTATCTGCAACCCAGACGAACTTGCCGCCCTTGTCTCGGGTGGTGGCATTGCCAGTTGACGCGTGGCTGTCACCCGCCAGCTGGCTACAGCGGGCAGGCAAAAGTTACAAGTAGACACGTTTATAGTCAATCTTTCAAATAATCTTTAAATTTTTCAAAATTACAGTTCCTATTAATGTTTGTAGAATATTATGTATGGTATAAATGCTTTACATGTATTGAGTTTTTAGATGACTATTACATGTTTAGAATGCGTTTGTTGAATTATGGACTACTTATAACTTTTGTTTACCCACTGTACTAAAAGTTGGCTCGTCGCTTTTTGCCGGGTTTTGCTTGCGGTATTCACACTATCGGATAAGTAAACGCAGTGAAAGATAAATCAAATTACTATTGTAAACTACTTTGCAATAATACTGGAAGTGATGGCTATAACTATGGTCTCTTTCCTGAGACGACCGCTTTACTGCCTCATTGCAGCCTTTATCCTAACGACGCTGTCCATGTTGCAGTATTATTCTACTTTACCCACGGAAAATATTCTGGAGGTGGCCGAGTCCCAAGTCTATTCGAAATGCGACTTTTCAAACGTAACAGAGATTGATGATCGCTGGAACCAGTTGGCTACCAAATACTTGCATTTTCGAGACGACAAGTTCACGTATGTGCAACCAAGCCTCTGCTCCTCCGGCTTAGCTTATCCGCTAACAAGACTTGAAATAGAGTAACGATATCGACCTACAACCGACCGAAAGAGTTGGTCCGAGTATTACAAGCCTTATTGACAGAAAGTATACCATCGCTCCTAGAAGTGTATGTGATTTGGAAAAACGCTGGCGAATCGCCGCCAGATGCGTACATCACCGAACATGGCGTAACCGTCCGATATCGAACTCCATCCCAAAACAGCTTAAACGACAAGCTCATCTTAGATATGGATTACAAAACACAGGCGATATTTCTGTCAGACGACGACATATATTTTCGACCAGCAGATCTAGAATTTGCTTTCCAAATGTGGCGTCTCTACGGCCGAAAACAGTTGACTGGCGGCATGGCAAGATGTACAAGTTTGGCACCGGACGGTACATGGAAGTACACCTTTTGTGAAAACAAGTCTTCTTACAATATGATTATCACGAATCTCGCCTTTTCGCACGTCGCCATTCTCGATGCCTATAACTCGGATGACCCTATAGCCATAGAAATGCGGCGATACGTGGACGAACAATTCAATTGCGAAGACATTGCATTGAACTTTATAGCAGCTCACGTATCGGGATCAGGTCCTCTTCTTGTTCGTGGTCGCCAACAATATGTCGATATCAGCCCGTCAGTGGGCATCAGCAAGGACCCGCGCCACATGGCGAAGCGTCACGCTTGCGTCAATCATTTTGTGAAAACCATGGGCTGTATGCCACTTATCGAAGTAGAGGGCAGGATAGAACATGGTATCAAACATAATGTTTGGTATACAACCTTTAAAGACAGGCTTTGGGGTTGAGCGGATATTCACCACATCGGAGAACCAAGCTTCGTATGCATCCATTCTGGCTATAGCACATTGTTCATAAAAATTACATTTTAATTACAAATATTACTATGCCATTATGCTTCCACCTTGAAGAATTCGCAAGGCGGCAGTCTTAACGCTATCCATAGCAAAGAGATACAAGCTCGGGCCGATGCTAATGCGAGCAACTCCAATCTTGGCCAGTTCTTCAGTAGAATGACCAACAGATGAGCGCCAAAGCAAAACAGCGACTCTGCCATCCAACTCCTTGACAAGACGTTCAACCTCAGCTGTGCGCAGGCCCCGAACACCTCCCGCCCAGTAGAAGACGGTCGTCGCACCAGCTTGGAGATACGCTTTTCCGCGGTCGATGGCTTCTGCCATGCGTATATTATTTGTCAACCCAGGCGTCTCATCAAGCTTGAAGACATCGCAACGGGCATTGAGGACAAAGTCGGGGCAGTCCGCATCGCTAGCCGCCTGGAGAGCAATCTTGAGTCGCTTAACCTGCTCATCCTTGTCGTACAGCGAGCCTGAGATGCCGTTGCCAAAGCCGGCCGAAGGGATGCTATCCTCGATATTGGCACCAGATGCGCCTGCTTGGACAGCAGCGGTGACGACACTAGCAATCTGGTCGCCGTAGCCGTCCTGCAAGTCGGTTGTGAGGGGGATTTCGGCCTGTGCGCAGATGGGCGCAATTAGCCGGACGGTTTCAAGGTTCTGCTCTAGGCTCAGATCTTCATCCTTCAAGTTTCTGGCAGCTGCAATAGCGAATGAGGCGGTAGCAACGGCTTTGACGGGCTGTGCTTCGGCGCTGTTGAGTGAAAGAAGCGTGTACAGTGATGCGGTGTCCCAAATGTTGGGCAGGATTAGGGGCTTCGACGGGACATGGAGAGCCTTGAGTTTCTTTGCTAGCTCATTAGTGGTTGGCATCTTGAATGCGGCTGCTCGTGATGATGATGTATGAATAGTGTGTATCTGTGTTGTTGCTGTCTGTACGAGATGCATGCACGCAGATTCACGGACATGTCGAATGCGCCCTATTGTTAGGCCGCCATGCAGCCATGTGCGGCGAACGCTACCCGCCGACATTGTTTTAGGATTGGGGAAAATATGGGGGGGAATGTAATGTAGGCGCGCGGAGTTGTTAAAATATTAATGAAGAAGCAGCGCAAAACGGGTGATTTGATTAAAGGTAGCAGGTGCAAAAGCCCGCAAAAAATAGGTGAGGGTCGCTGGTTTTGGCGAGCAGCTGGTGCAATCGATGGCAGTGCCTTACGGCATAGCTTCAATCACTACAGCACGGATATATTTGTATTTAACAGAACAAAAGAAATAAAGGAATTCAATATTATTCGTCATAATGCTCTTGTTACAATTGTTTGATAATATGAAAAGGGGTCAGCCCGGGGATTCCCTGAACATCCTAGCAAGTTGTGCGATAGTCTAAGCAGAGGTAGAGCCTAGATTCAGCTTGCGTGTAGATAGCCAGACCTCAAGGCATATAATAATAATGATTAGAATAACCACTGTGGAAGTAACAACACTGATTAGACAGAACCTCAAATCATTGTCGGATAACCACTCCTTGTCTTGGGCAGCGCTGCTGACCTGCGCTCTGGGATGTGGGCTTGACTCTGGCTGAGTCTCGAAGCTTTCAGTCATTGATAAGCTTACTCGAGGTGTTAGAGGAATATCTACAAAGCCTGGTGTCGCTCTGTGACGTTTGTTAGCATCGTTTGGGCAGGTTTTTTTTTTGGAAGGGCTTACTTGGTATAGACAGGCAGTATCGCCCCGGGCGTGGTATGAGTCGTAATAGAGTTAGCCATGATCTCTGAAGTATGAGATGACCCAATGTAATATTTTAAATATATCTAGTATATTTTCTTTGTATGCCGTGGCAAGAAAATGGGTAGCAAGAATGATGGATGTTTGGAAGAGGAATCTGGATAGTCACGAGCAACAAGGGAAGGCTACGCCAAAGGATTTAAATAGTTCTATATGCATTTTTATAGTTATGGTTATGGTTTTTAGAAGAAAAAAACGAAGTCATTAAGGGCAAAAACTTTGATGCAGAGTTGTTGGAAATCTTAAAAAGTGTGATTAGCAACACAAAGTGAGCCGCGCAGATCCCCCAGATTCAAATGTCGTCATATCTCTATGCTAGTGCAACCACGGTCCCAAACAATGCAACGGCTGTGTCAGCCTCGTCTATTCAACTTCACGGATCATATAATAGATCTCTGCTGGTCCCTGCGGCGTCTCAATTGACATAAAGTCCACCGTTTTGAACTCAAATCTTTCATAGAACGTCTTGGCCTGACCAGTAGCCTCTGTGAAGCAGGGCACGCCATCTTGTTTGGCCTTTTCAAGTCCCCATTCAACCATTTGCTTAGCACCACCCTTGCCCGTGTAAGCCCGGCGAACGCCCATCATGTCGAGGTACCAATGCCTTGTCGTGCCTAGCAGTTTCCTGTGGTGTGCCGCAACTTTGGTGTAGAACTCAACAGCAGTTTCTGGCAATCCCTCCTTTGGGTAAACGTCTTGCTCATCATCTCCGTCATGTACAGGTGCATCGGGACTGGCCCATTTGAGAAATCCGACAATATATTCTGGTTTATCACCCTCAGCAGGTTCTGTTACCACTAAGAATGTGGCGTCAGGCTCGTCCAGTTCTTCGGACATGGCGTTGAACCAGTACGTGTAGCTGGACTTTGCATCGCGAGGATATACTTGGCGGCTAAAGATCTCGTCTGTGAATGAATCTAGGTACACCTCCGTAAGTGCCGCAGCATCAGCCTTTGTGGCCACCCGCATGGTGAAGGCCATTTTGCTTGGTGTCTATTGTGGACAACTGTAAAAAGATATGCTGTCCACGCAGCTGGGATGCTTAGTTTTAAGAAAAACAAAACTCTACTGTCGAATGGGCTTGTTGATGAGTGCGCTCCAAGTCTCCCTGTTTTATTGAACGCACGCAGAATCCCCCCCCCCCGCCTTTGCCCTTTTTGCACTGGCCGAGCCTGTTTTTACGACGGCCTGTTCTAAGGAAGGCGTCTGTCACGCCGGAGCCATCTACAGTGGCATGCTTCACCGTAACTCGTCATGAGAAGCCGCTTCCATCTGTGTCTGGCGCGACAGCCGTCTTATTCTTCACGATCTCCGAGCTCGCCAATCACCAGCAGCCTCATGCTAGCGCCCGTCTGGCCGGGTGACGGCATCGCCGACAAACTTCAATCAGGAAACTTGGCGCACGACCAATTCTCTTACTGGAACTTGTGGGCGGACCGCTCGGTGTTTGCAAAGAGTTAGCGCGGGCCCGTGAGCCCACTGTAACAAGCTGCTCGAGGCTTCTGTTTGGTGCAAGTTGGCGCTAGCGGCGTACGGAAGAAAAAGTTTTCCGTACGGTACCATCGGCGAACGGGGTTTTTGCTCGCGTGCCCTTCCTCGTTGGAAGCTTGATGGGCGCTGGCCACAGGAAGCCACAGCAGACGGTCGCGTGATGATTTGTACAAAAACGAAAGCCCTAATGCAAGGTTCCAATACAGGACGTCATCGTGCTACTTGCGTCTACTGCTGCTAGTGCTGCCGCTGGTGCCGCTGCCCCAAAGTGTGTTTTTATTTTGTTCACGGCCCCTTTGTTGCCTCAATTCCTGCTAGTAATTTCCTCGCACCGCCCAATTCGCACCAGCAGCTGAGCCACAGTGGCCGTTTCTCTCTTCTCCAGTGAATAAGCGTGGCTGTGGCGCACTGTAGTTGCGTCACTGCGTTTTTGTTTAGGGGGCTTTGCCAGCTGCGCCGACTGTGCCAAGTGCCTGCCCACTTGGACCTTTTAGGGGCTCCGACCCACTAAAAAAGCTGGCCCTGAATGCCCGGCCGTTCCAGAACTCCGCCTGCAGTGACGAGACAGGCTGTGCACCTCTACTTGGACACATTTTCAACTTTGTGCTCTGTGCTTCTTTTCCTTTTTCTTCTTTCTTCATCATCGCCAACACAGAGCCGCAGCAGGTTTCCTTGTTTTCTTTGTGAACTTTCCTTGTCTCTTTCTCAATTATCCAACCTTAGACTTCAATTCACATCTCATCTCATCTCTTCCGATCGTCTCACATCGCGAGTTATCAGCGTCGTCACCACATCATAAATAAATACAAACCACCAGAACCATGGCAGCAACAGAGCCAACGGCGACGCCCAAGCTGGCGTCGTACTTTTCCAAGCTCAACCCTATTCCAGCGTTTCCCGAATATACCGGCCCCTACAAGGTTGGCACTATGGATGTAGAAATCCCCGTATCCGATCTCAGCGCCCCAAGCCCAGCTCCTCCCAACGCAAAGGGAATCGAAACCATCCAGTTCCGCGTTTTCTATCCCGCAGTAGCCGAATCTACTGAGAAGCGCATTAACTGGCTGCCTGCGCCGCAGCGACAACATGTGGCCGCGTATACCCAGTTCATGGGCGTTGGTCAGACGCTCGCTGGATTTCTCTCGTAAGCTCGCTCCGACACGATCTGCAGGCCCGCCGACGTCATCTAACATGGTTGTCATAGATTTCTTCCCCGACACCTGCATTACTCGACGATCCCAGTTCATAAAAATGCCACCATGGAAAAGGCGACTACAGAAGACGGCCGATGGCCAACCATGATCTTTTCCCATGGTTTGGGCGGCAGCCGCAACTCATATTCATACATTGCTGGTTCCTTGGCCTCGCATGGTGTTGTAGTATTTTGCCCAGAGCATAGAGACGGCAGTGCTGTCGTATCCTTTATCCGTCTACAGGATCAGGTCGGCCGCTTTTTCACATCCAGCACTCGTCGTGTTGTCCCCTATAATCGCATCGCCCACGAAGTGACACCAGAAGTTTACGAAGCCCGTGAGGCACAATTACGAATCCGCCTTTGGGAAATGGGATTGGCCCATGAAGCTATTCTTGCTATGGATAAGGGCGAATCCTTCACAAATCTGAACCTCTCTACGCCTTCTCTGGAACAATTTGCTGGGCAGCTTGATGTCCACCGACCAGGAAGCATCATCTTCGCTGGCCACAGTTTTGGCGCTGCGACAATCCACCAGCTTCTCAAGTCGACTTTCTACGCCGATGTTCCTGAAGTCAAGAACATGGGAAACCCGCTCTTTACCCCCGCCGCCGACTGCAGCCTCCGGAAACAAGTTACCGAGCGATCCGTCACCATGCTTCTCGATATGTGGTGCCTACCACTTCTGGCGCCCAACTCGGCACCGCTTTTCAGACTTCCTCTCCCAGTTTACGCGGACCGCGCTACGTCCGCAGGAGGTTCTGCTCTACTTGCTGTAGAGTCTGAAGCGTTCTACAAGTGGACTGAGCAGCTGCACGTAAAGGCTCGTCTGCTGTCTCCCGATCCATCGGCTGAGATTGTCAGCGCTGAGCTTTATGAGAAGCCCAGCGGTATTAAGCTTCCAGAGCCCAACTTCTTCTACGTTGCCAACTCGGCCCATCTCAACCAATCCGACTTTGGTGTTCTCTTCCCTATGCTGACCAAGAGAGTTTTTGATGCGCAACAACCCGAACGAGCCCTCCGACTCAACCTTCGAGCCCAGTTGCAGCTTTTGCGAGCCAACAGTGTACCAGTCGCTCGTACATATGCTGGAGATTTGGTAGATGGCGCTCATGTCGACAAACTCGATATGCTCACCAAGGTCAGCAGCCATCCTGATACAGAGGACGGCATCAACGATGACAAGGCCATTTTCGATCGCAGCGGTAACGATGTTGTCGATCACTGGCACTGGATCGACATTATTGGCCTCGGCGAGGCTGGCACTGCTGCCCGTGGGCTTACAGCTGTTGACGAGGTTGAGGCTAGTGAGCCGGCGATGCAGGGTGAACTTGAGCCCAACCAACAGCCAGCCCGAGTAGCTGTTACAGCAGCGATTGCTGTAGACGCCGCTGCTTAAGCGGATTCACTCCAAAAACCCTTTTACTATGTTGCCATTCGATACCCCCCAACAAGCCCAACCATTACGGGCGTGTAATACTAGCATACAGCGTGTGGCGTAGGACGCCAAAACAACCGCAACAGGAATTGCGATACCTTTTACATTTAGAGCATAGACACTGGCATTTTGATTTCCTTTTTTGATTTATTGGTATTTGGTACTAGGGCATTTATATTGCCCCATTGCATGCGATAGCGACCTGGAAATTACATTGCATATTCATTTCATTTCGTCTCATTTGCCCCTGATGGCGCTCCTGTCCCCCTTGTGACTTTAGCAACCCTGAAAACGACGTGATCTTTCTCTAGCTGCATACTCCATCAATGGCAGCAAGATATCCATGCATTCACTGAGTGGTTTGTGCTCCCAATCAAGCATCATGTGTGCCCGTTCCGCATCGTACCAACCTCCGCAGCGGTCGGAGCGAGGAGGCGGCTGACGCAACTCGACAAAACACCGGCTTAACAAGTCAAGATGCTTTGTAGCGAGCGCATCTTCAGGAACCGGCGACGTTCTGTCATTAAAGTAGTAATCGCCCAGCCATGTTTTGAGACGCTCCATATCCTGCGCAGACAGAGGCGACGGAGGAGGGCCTGGTATCTGGAGGAACCATGCAAAGTAGTCGCCCGCTGCCTGAAAAGGTTGAAAGCAGAACAGGTGGCCAATCTCTTCTGTCGACTTGTGCGAGCAGGGTTTTAGAATTGATGTCTCTGCTGTGATTGCCCGCGGCACCTTGTTTGGGCACGATTTCCAGGTATGGCGGTACGGAACGCTTGGTCGTTTGCACCAGCAGCCCGTCTTATCCATTGGCGGAGGCGGGCGCAGATTTAGAAGCTGGTAGGGACTATTATTTGGGATTTCCAGCACGCGCGCCTCGATTATCTGTAGCAGCGAATGCAGTATATCATGATAAAAGGTTGTCTTGGCGATGGAGAAGGGCTCGGCCTTTTTGCTCCGCGGCGTGATGGACAGAGACAGAGGCATTGTGAGTATTGATATTGAGAATAGTTAGTATGGGTTTTGATAATAAATTGCGCCTGTATTAATACTTGTAGAATTAAGCTGTGCTTCACTGTTAAACTAATCCATAGTCGCGGCCCAACACGCCATCGTGTTAAATGTTTGCGCTGCAGGCGACCTGTGATACGACTCGACGCCTCCGTTACACAAAGCGGTCAAGGCCCATGCGGAGGTGACTCGGCGGGCACTATCTTGCAGCAGATATGCAAACAGCCGCCGTGGAAGATTCTCTATAAGAAACAGAATCACCACGGACTTATTGGGGCGTGGGTTTTGTCCCGCGCGCCATGAATGCCTGCTGAGGACCAGACATGTCTGCTGGTAACTCACACATTTCGTTAAAGAGACGCCATTTCCATCCGTCTAGGCCAGCGGCCGAATAATAGCTCTGTAACTCGGTTTCAGTGAAGCCGTGGCGCGTCACAATGTGATCAAACTTGGATGAATGTGCAGCGCAGCCGCTCTCCTTTCTGTCGACCCAGTCTAGAATAATGAGGACGCCACCAGGGCGTAGAAGGTTGGACAGGCGCTGAGTCAGGGTCGCTGGATCTTGGACATGGTGTAGCGCCAGACTCATGACGATGAGATCAAAGTCGGCGTTCGGGAAGGGCTTGCCAGCGAGAACATCCCCTTCGATGGCGTGCATCCTTTCGCAAGGGAAGCCGGCCTTTGTGGCTTCGGCGTTGTATGCCTCAACCATGTTGGACGAGATATCTATCCCGCGGATGACGGGGAAGTGCGTAGCAAGGGCCTGCAACGGTTTTCGGCGTTAGTGTCACGTAGCAGCAGATGGGCCGTTGAAAGAAGGGGTTGATGTTTCGCGTACTCTAGAGACTATACCGTTTCCGCAGGCATAGTCTAACATGCGGATAGGGTTCTCTTCTGTGGTGTCGGTGTTGATGCCCATCCAGGGAAAGCTTTGTTGCAGTTCTTGGGTGATTTGTTCGGCAACCCTTTTGAAGACGGCACTTTGGGTGAAGGCGTCTACGTCCATGTTACTGTTGGTGATGTCGCTGTTAGAAAAGAGATGAATCACCAGAGATTTGTTAGCCTGGATTCTTACTTGAAGTGCTCTTTGTTGCGTTCACCAACTCCAGAGTCGTCGTGGTGATGATGGTGATGATGATGAGCCATGATGTATGAGGATGTGGGATACTTGGCAACTGTGAGGGGACTTGGGGTATAAGTTTTATAGTGAATTTTAAATAAAAGAAAAGCAGAAAAGTCGACACAGAGGAAATTTGTACTACTTTTATACCTTGTCTTGGGTTGCCACTGACATCGCGTATGTCTCCGGGAAGTTGCCGTTGACGACGTGGTAGAGACAAAACTTGCTCATAGTATATTTCACGTGATATTTGAAATGATGTGTACTGTTGAGACTAATCATATTTATAAAGACGGTATAAACAAGCTAAACATGGCCTGTCAAGTCGAGCGACTAGGCGGTATCACTGCAGCTCCCGCTGAGGAGTGCATCTAAGTCAAATACAGTAGTATACAAAATCATTGCCAAACGAGAGTCCCGCAAACCATGAACAAACACAAAAAAAACAATACGCGTACTCTAAAGTATATATCTCTTCATCATCGAGTCGTACCGGACAGCATTTCCTTACAAACACACAATCGCTCCCGCGCCTCCACCATCAACTCAGCATTAGACTCTTGCAAGATGCTAATCATAACGTCCAAGAGATCTGGCAAGCCATCTTGAAGCATCGAAGCAGAGCGCTCGTCCAGTTCAGGTAGAGACGCCACTTTGGATAGATAGTCTGCTGTGCGGCCGTACGCAGAGCTTCCCATTTGTGGTGAGTGTAGCGGGAGAGGCTTACTCGCCGGCTGCCCATACGCCTGGACAAAAGCCCAGATTGTCAGTACTGCGAAATACATGATCCACGGCCTATGCGGGTCAGGCTCATTTCGGACCGAGTACCGCATCGTCTGCTGGTTCATCCCGTTGCTAGGCTGGCGCGAGTTGCGGCGCCGAGGCTGCGGCTCAACCAAGATCTTGTGCAGCAGCTTGAAGGCATGGAAGATGGCATGGCGCGTCGAGCTTAGCTTGGACCAGGCCACCATGCGCTTTGTTGCGTTGGTGTAGTCCCGGGCCGACACTTTGCGGCCAAGAAGACGGCGTGCGCCAGCATAGACCTGGCAGTCGATGATGTCGACGTTGGGCGTCATGTGGGCGAGGTGGAAGAGAAGTGAGGCACTGTTGATAGGGCCGTTGGGCACGCCGCGCTGGCCAGATTCCGACATGGGATCTGACATGGCCACGTCAAAGCTTCCCTTCCAGTTGTCAAAGGCGCGGAGGAGCATCTTTCGCCAGTTATCTTTGAGATCCGTTGGCGGTGTACGCAGTTCCAGCCACTTGAGATGGGTCTCGCGGTGACTGAGGTGCCATCCGACGCTCAGCAGACCTGAAATGATAATCATCCGGCCAAAGGAATGCGTCTTGACCTCCTTGCCGTGCAGAGCGCTCTTGAGGCCATCGAGGAACGACACCTGCTTCACACCGTACATGCGGAAATTGGCATCAAGCTGTCGCACCACGTCCGGGCTGTTTGCTGCCCAGAGGTTGTCATCACAGGGAAGCGGGAGGCGGATCTCATGGGCTGCCATGTCTGCTGCGTGGCCAAAGATTGCGGCGTGGATAATGTCGAGCATAAAAGCTGCAAAGACTACGCGATGCATCGACTCCGTCTCCGCCCAGCGCACCCACCAGGTCCTCGAGTCCAAGGGCATTCCGTTGGCTGCTCGCTCACCAGCATTGTCTGTGTCGCCGGGCGAATCGGTGCCGTTGCGCCCAATGAGTGGGCTGCCGCGTCTGAGCAGCGTCAAGAAGGCCGGATGGTAGATGTGTGCTCGCTCGTGGAACTTGCGCGATGAGTAGAGCTTCTCATAGAACTCTAGCAGCAGTAGCGCCTGTGCCACCCAGAGCTGAGCTGGCGGCATCGAGTCGTCCGAGGTCAGAATGTCCCATCGGACGCACGAGATGATGACGTCTGCAAATGCGCCGTATTCGGAGAGCTGGCCTGTCGTATCGCGGCATCGTAAAGAGGCAGCACCGAGAGCCAGCATGACGCATAGAAGGAAGATTGGACAGCGGTTCGGCGAAAAGGTATATTGGTGTACAATGGGCAGCCGTGGCGACACATTGTCCCAGAATTCACGGAGGCATTCGCGCATCATGTCGACACTCAACGCTGGCATGTCGCCGTTGCCTTCGCGGATGAGATTGGGCATCAGCTCGTCGTACCGTGGCTGTTTCTTGCGGAAGATGTTGAACCATTGGAGGATCTCCTGGCGGCGGCCCTCGGTCATCCATTCATCGGGGACATCTGAGCTACGCGGTGGCGTGGGATCTATGGGCGACAGTGAATTCAGCGACTCATAGTCGTAGTGAAGGTTGTTGTTGAATGTCGATTCCAGTCCCGTCTCCATGAATGGTAAGCTAGCTACGCTGAGGTCGTTGTATGTAGTTTGGGGATCAAACAGCCACGCAGCAAAGTTGCCCGGTGCCATGGGATCGTCATTGTGATATGCGACGTTGGCGAATGCCCCCATCGGGGATGCCTCTGGCATTGAGGGTAGCTCGGAGCCGTAGAAGCTGTTGCGATGTCGCATCATGCTTGGGTGTAGGGAACGATCATCTGCTGGCGATGGCCAAGCCGGTGGCGGCCCCGGGTTTGGCCGGCTGCTCATAGAGTGCTGAAGGGTTGGTGTAGGGGCTGTGTTGGAGTCGGGCGTGAGGATTATAGCAGAGTTGTGCGGCCCATGACTGGATACGCTCATATGCGACTGCTGCGGAGTATATGAGGCCTGTGAAGGGGCGCGGCCGTCGAGATGAACGTGATGCTGCTGCATAGAATGCTCATTACCCACCGTGTCGAAGCTGGGGATGCGATTGCGTGGTGTATACGATGCTGTATGACGCTTCTTATGTCTGGCGAGAAGATCCAAACGAACAAACTTTTGATCGCAGTCGCCGATGTCGCATCGAAAGACCTCTTTTGGGTTATCTGCAGGCATACGTATGCAACGGTTAGTTTGCTACTGCATGTCTGTGGCGTACGGGGAAGCAGAGGGGGTGTCTCTTACGGTTCAGCTGATGCCGCTGCAGATGCTCGGCCCGCGAATACAGCTTGTCGCATCCGGGATGCTCGCACGGGAATCTGCGCGGTGCTCCTTTGCGACTGGCGCGCTTGTAGCTAGTCGAACTACGGGAGCCCTGGTCTTGAGGAGACGCGGACCGCTCCATGGCGGAGTTTCTCTCCTAGTGAAGCAGTATGCTGGAATCAGCGGCGGCAGCGCACATTAATCCGGAGGTTGTGATGTTGAGGCGGATCCGATAGCGGGAGGAAATCGCGATTGTCTCTTTGTCTTAGCAGGGTCTTGAAATGCCGCTGAAGAAATTATTCTCCGAACAAAACGGTTTGGGGGAGAGGCGCATGGTCACATTGCGCGGGGAAAGTCTGGGGGTGACCCCCACCAATCACTGCCCATTCACCCCACCGGTTGTGATGACCTGGGTGGGGGTCAGGCAGGAGAACTTGTCAGCTTCTAGAAGATGAAAAGAAGGTGGACATTTTTATTAAATCCTCCAAATCGATTCCTGTCATCGGTAGAGATGGTGAGAGTACTGGCGCTACATCCTGAGGTATAGAGGTTTATGAGAGACAGCCTCGCTTTTGGACTACTCCCTCAGTGCTTCACTTTCCAAGTTTCAGGTTGAAGTAATAAAAGTCTTTGTTCTATAGGCTAAACCACAAATTTAAAAAGCTAAATCAAATACCAGTTCTCCCGTGCCTTGCATAATATGAAACCAACGTGGGATAAGCATCCCCCCGAGCCCAAATCTTTTCAAGGTGCGACGACCTCGAAACAGCTCTAGAATGCCATGCAAGGCGAGAATAGACGCCATTTTGAGTTTTTTAATAAGTTCCAACCATGATGTTCATCCGAATAATAACCACTTTCCCCCAGTTATGAGCTGCCGGAGGGCTCTTCAGCGTCTTCAGTAGTGTCCTCAATCTGAATAGAAGCGGTGGCATCTCCAAGGCCATTCTCTGTGTTCTCATTCTCAAGCTTGGGCAAGAAGGAAAGAAAGTATTGCGCGACTTCTTTCTTGTCGTTCTGGTTAGCCATATCAAGAGCCACAAAGTCGTGCTCGTTGGCCAGGGCGGGCGATGCGCCATTGTCAACCAAGAACTTGACAGTCTCAAGGTGTCCACCAAGGGCAGCCCAGTGCAGGCCAGTGTTTCCATGCTCATTGGGTTCATCCAAGAAAGCCTGCTTCTCCTCCTTTGGTCGCTCATCGAAGCAACCAACAATCTTGCGGACAGTCTCTATAAGATATCGGTCAGACTGGTTCATTGCATTCAGCCTGGGCGTCAAGGCGAGCTTGACACTCTCCGTTACCCGTCCTTTAGAAATAAGAGGGAAAGTAGCTAGATAAAAACATACCCAAGTGTCCGTTTCCGGTAGCCATGTGCAGGGCCGTGGATTGGCCATTGTCCTTGGCGGCCATGAGAATCACTGCTGGCGCAACCTTCTCGCGCTCAGCCAAACTCGTCAAAAGCTCCGTCATATCGCCGGTTTCTCCGACTCGGGCAAAGTAAACTAGATCATCGATCTCATCTTCTGATATTTGTGGCGCCATGGTTGGGTTGGTCTGTGATATTGTCCAAGGTGTTGATGAGAGACTCAAAATTTTATGAAGAGGGGACTGTGTGTAAAAACTACCCCCGCATTTTTCGCACCGTACACATGTTTGCGATCTACCCGGCATAGACATGGCTGCAATAATGTCACCTACGTCGATAAATATAAAATTATAATTTAATTTTAAATTTCGGTCAGGTTTGAATTTAACTCTGTTTCCAGCCATGTGGATATATTGCCGGAGTCATCAAGCCATTGAATTTCTGCCTTGAGTCCCAACATGATCATGAGCTGTAAGTTTCTCTTGGCTTCGTCTGACTCGTCACTGTCGGACTCGCTCTGGCAAAATTTCCTGAGAATAGACGTTGCCGCCAATCTATCCTTTAGTGTTAACTGACTGATTGGCTCACCGAATTGCATTCTCCCAACCTCTACTTGATCCATAGTAGAGTCAGTGCTCGTGTTGTTTTGCGCGCCGACTTGCACCAGTCGCAAGAGATGTTTGGACTTAATACCGAGAAGTTGAATTCTTAAATATTGCGCACTTGAATCAAATTCCAAAGATTTAGATCCGATTGCGTAGCATCCAAAGATATGAATCCCGTATGGATCAAAATCCGTCAGTGCAAACATGGGTATATTCGGGTATTGGGATTGAAAGAAGACCAGAAAGGCGCGTGTCATAAGATCAGGAAAGCCCTTTGCCTAACTTTGAGTTATTATACCATCTCTTTAGAGATTTTAAAAAGAGACTACTAACTGTCAGGATTATTCCTGGGCCCGCCAGGCTATTTTCCCAGAAACGCGTTGAGACCAGCGATCGGAAGATGGCCTAGCATTGTTAGCCACGAACAAGCAGTTGTACGATAGAATTCCATACATCCTTCTCTACTACCAAAAGCCATCTGACTGATTGCGTGTCAATTTTCGAGATTGAACGTGTCATCGGAACAGGCGTTCCCTATAGGGTTTGAACAAATACTCTTTAGTCTGACGTTTGCGTCTGTTACGTAGGACTGGCATACAAGATCACCTTGGCGTCCGTCGAGGCTCGAGCCATCGCGACAATATATTATCAACGGGCCGCAGAAAATGCCCTTGGCAGAGGCGACCTAATCATATGAGTTTAGAATAACGCCTCCAGCAAGTTATCTTCTTACGATATTTAGGTCATGCCGATCAACGTGCAGGGTGGCGGCGACATCATCGACTAGCTCGTCGACGATACTTTGACGCTGGAATAGCTCTTGATGCTGGTAGAATACATGTCTACTTCAATAGTGAGATATTATGGTTAGTATATTTGAAATATGTCCGCCACTTACCGTTTGGTATAGATTGTACCGGAAACCAGGGCGCTATGTGCAAGCTGTAAGAGGAGCACAATGCGTGCTGGAAAATGTTAGATGTGGAAACGCAACAAGACCCAACATCTCCAGTACCAAACTTTTTCGTTTCATGAATACTTCTTCCAGGGAATCTCACAGGCACCGCTAGGTCGTCTCGTTTTACGCTGCTCTTTGATTTGCGAGAAATTACTCTGATGCACAGTTCCTCAGAAGCCGCCAGCTGATCCGTGATATCCTCCAGAAGCCGTTCAATACGTGAAATGACAAGGCCTGATGATTCATTGGTGTGATGAACAGATATCTCACCGACATCATCTTCGTTATCCATGGCTTAAATGCAGGTTGAATCACATCCAAAAAGACTTATGGAAAGGGTGAAAATAATAGACTACAGGTGGCACAGACAATATTTTCACAGGTGTGAGATGTATTTGCTGGGCACCTGTCACAGCTGTCACCACTGTCGTGCTGGCAGTGCCACAATTGGCGTTAGGTGAATTTAGTCTTGCGTTGCACGTTGTCGGGGCGCCGTTAAGTGGTGCAGGCTGCTGGAATTATAATTCCACTACCGAAATCGAAAGTAAAATCGAAATCGAAATCGAGCCAGCGGTTACAATGACTTTGCGTTTCCACATCTTTACTACGGATACGCCCCTTGCCTCCACTGACAAAGTTAGGCTGCAGCCGTGTTCCCGGCCTTGATGATTCCATCTTTCGTTGCCGGATGAATCATTTCTATTTTCCTTTTACAATTTCTTTCTTCTGTTTGCACCATCGATACGGATATATTGCCTCAAAAGCCGCCATAATATTATTACCGAGCGCATCGTCGCTATAAACCAAGTTCCCCGCCTTACATGGCTTACAAGTACCAACATCGCTCATTGCAGGGCCCCAAATCCTTCGTCTTCTACGTGGTAGCGCGTGTTGGCCCAAATGGAGAATACCATCCGCTCGCCGTCGCATCCAGAGACGACCCTGGCGAACGAGGCTTCGCCGGTTTGGACGTCATCAACGCTTGCCTTGGAGTGCGCAAATTAATAGCCTCCAAGGACAACCGGGCCGCCATAGCAGCAGAGGTTCGTCTAGCCAAGGCGTTCTATAGTGTTCCCCGAACCACTCAGAGGGTTTATGCGTCGGATGTTGCTGTTCCTGACACTATCTCCGAAACTGAGCGGGCTGCGTGGTCATTTCCTATATCGGATAGTAGCCCAATAGCCTTCCCAGCCACATCTACCTGCCTCTTGGCGGGCTTAGGCTTCGATCTCGAGTCCAAGACGGCACAGGATCACGTCGAATTGAAGCCTCTTAGCTTCACCCTGGGGCCGACGCTGGACAATCGAGGCATGGTCATCGTTGATGTTACCCAACCACACTCTGTTCGGCAAGGCATGCTCGCTTATGACTTCGTCAAACAACCCTATAACCAAGACGATCCGTTCTTTGGCTTGACGCTGGGCGATTCCGATGATTCCGAGGTGGAGCTAGGTTTCGACGACGAGACCATATACCCCCCAGGCCCAGAGCCCGTTGAAGATTGGTCCCAAATGCCGCTAGATCCTAAAGGCTACAGAGCCAAGTTTGACTACGGTTGGCCTTATGGTGCTGACGAGAAGATTGCCATGGCCCAGGCTGTCTGGAAGCCAATTGACGCCGCTGCTCTACATTGTAAGCAACTACTACCCCCATTGTACAGGATTGCTAACGACGTGACTAGCCATCTGGCCAACCAGCAATCCTTCGTCCACTGGTTCTCCTCCCAGGGCAGCACCACCAGCAGGAGACCAGGATCTCGCCAGTCTGATCCAAAAGACCCAGCTCGTGGACGGATTCAGCGATGCAGACATCAATGTACCCCTAGCTAGTGCCTGATTTTGCCAAAGCCTTACAATCCCAGCTTTCACTAGTTCCGGGAGATCTGGGAGCTAGCACAGCAGCGGGTCAACTGCTTGCCATTGCATATGCCGACACCTTCCACTTACACTGGGACTGTTTTCGGCACACGTCTTACAAGGCTCTCGCATTCGCATTGCAACAGCCGAGGCTGGCAAGCGTTCAATCAGTGACAGTCTGCGTGGATCACTTTGCGGTGGACCATCTCCCGCTCTTCCTGCAAGCCTTGCTGCGCCTGGAGGACCTGCGTCAGGTGTGCATTTTGCAAGATCCTGCAAGGACCGATGATGTAGCCGGCACAAGACTGTTTCTGGAAATGGCCCGCAATGCACAATACCAAAGGCTATTGCAAAACACCAGACTCATTCTCTCGTCGGCATTCTCTGCTGGTCTGAGGCGCTGCCCGTGGCTGCCAACAGTGGAAGCCGAGTACAGAATCCCCTCGGAAGCATTTCCCATTCAGCAGATGCTGGTTCGTCGACAGATACCTGCTGCTTGTCTCCCGGCTCGTCACGCCTCCAAACATTCTGAGACACTCGGCCGCGAGCCAGAGGACCATCCCAGGTTCCGGCCGAATTACTTGTACTTTGGAGACAGCCTATTGACCGCGGAGCGCTTTGCGACCGGTTTTCTGTCCTTTCTCGCAACACGATGCCACGACCATCGCCTTGTGTCCTTTGCACGCGCTCCCAGCTCGCTCAAGTACATGCAGGAACAAGCCATCAGTCCACTGCTCGCGGAGACACTCTGTCCCGCTGCTGTCCATCTCGACCAAATACGATATTGACAAGGCCTGGCGAGAATGCTGGGCCAAGCCGCGTCCTCTCACAGCAGGTTCCTGGACCGTCCTTGTTTCCTGCCAAGGACCCATCCGCGGGCGGCAGGATACGCCCTTTATTGGCTACGCCTTTGTGCGGAGTAGACTGGCCACTGCCTCTCTCAAAGACGCCGGGCAACATGATCTACAAGTATGCAATCTGCGTGGGTTTCTTGCTGCCACGGCCCCAAGGGTTGACCCCGAGCTCGTGGAAAGACGGCTACGGGAGGCGAACAGCGCTATCGACTCCAAGATCAGGCTGGCTTTGTATGACTACAACATCAAGCCGGAACAGTGGCTGTTTGAGCTAAGCGAAGAGCATGCAAGGAATATGCTGCGAGACTTTATGGAAGACGCGGCCTTCACGCTACATGAGTCTCGTGAGGAGGAACGCGCTGCTGCGGAAGAGGACGGCGATCCATTTACGTTCCTATTTTCAGACGACTTTGTCATAGTAAATAACAAATAGATGGTGATATTTCTTGTAAACAGTGACCAATGTGGCGGCTGTATTAAACATGTCATACCCACTCTAGTACGCAGAGCATAGCAGCCAAGAACCGGGCCCTTTAACCAAGATACCTTTGTGAATATATAAGGGATCCCCTAGTCGACCTCGATAGACTAAGATCATTGTGTTGCAGTGTAAGTGCAATTAATTAGTAACGCTCTAAATCACAACTTACTTCTAGTAAAGATAACTCATCAATACAAAAGAATTATTGTGAACAAAAAACTACCTCTACCTTTTAAGATGTATCATAATCCCTTCTACCAATTTTCCTTTATTTTGCCTTATTTTTATTATAAATAGAATCGTGAAAGTTGATTTGCGAAAACGGTTGTACAGTACGATGCATATGCAGGGGTAAAAGAGTACGAACACGACGCGGAGCTTGAAGACCCGCCGGCGCCGTAGCGCAGTGTCCCGCGCAGCCTTGTGTGGTATTTTAAAAGGCTACCCACTGTACTCCTGCTTCCTTTGACACCACACCTCTGACCAGCGACAGATCTCTGCCATTGCACAAGATTGATCTCCCTCAGCTACAAACGGTGGTCAGTAACAATGTCGAAAGCATCGGGCCGTGATACTGGCTCTGCCAAATCGCGAAAGCGCGGCGGCGAATCCAACGACGACTTTCCTAAGCGCCCCAAGATCGAAGCCAAGACAGACCCCTCGAAATGGAGAATGAAGGACGATGATAGTCGACACACCTGGCATTACTTGACAGATAGTAAAGAAGCCAAGGAATGGCCCCAGAGCTACGCCGAAAAATACTATTTGAACCTGCCTCTTGTATGGCTTAATTGATTGACTACAACAGGGGGGATAGCTGCTAATCTTCTTGTTTTCTCTAGGACCTCCCCGACCTCTCGAAAGCCACAAATGCCCTCGAAGCAGCACAGAACGGACTAGAATTCTTTGAGAAGCTACAACTGCCGTCTGGACACTGGGGCTGTGAATATGGCGGACCAATGTTCCTTCTCCCCGGCATTGTCGTATGCTGGTATGTCACCAAGACCCCCATCCCGTCTGCGTATGCCACAGCAATCAAGAATTATCTTGCTGCTCGTGCAAACCCAGAGGATGGCGGTTGGGGCTTACATATTGAAGGCGAAAGCACTGTGTTTGGAACAGTCATGAACTACACAGCCTTGCGACTGGTCGGAATTGATCCCGAGGACCCCATGATGGTCAAAGCTCGTGCTACTCTTCACAAGCTGGGAGGAGCTACACACTCTCCTCATTGGGCCAAGTTTTGGCTTGCCGTTTTGGGTGTTATGAATTGGGATATCGTCAACCCTGTTCCCCCTGAGATTTGGCTGCTCCCTGACTGGCTGCCCATCTCCCCATGGAGATGGTGGATCCATATCCGTATGGTTTTCCTGCCCATGGGCTATATCTACTCGAAGAAATGGAGCTGTGAAGAGACAGACATTATTCGTGGTCTAAAGGACGAGCTGTTTGTACAGCCCTATACTGAAATTAACTGGGCTGCCCACCGCAACAGCATCGCCACAGGCGACAACTACCACCCCAAGTCATGGCTCCTCAACAGCGCCAACTGGTTCCTCGTGAATATTTACAACCCATACTTGAGAATGAATTTTATCAAGGAAAAGGCCGAAGAATGGTCTAGCCAATTGGTTGATATGGAAGATGCAAACACAGACTTTGCCGATCTTGCACCTGTCAACGCCCCAATGAACACCATTGTTTGCTATATTCGGGACGGACCGGGTTCCAAGACTGTGGAGCGTCATATCGAGCGATTGGAAGAGTTCCTGTGGGTCAAGGATGAGGGTATGCTGGTGAATGGAACAAACGGCGTGCAGTGCTGGGATACAGCCTTCTTAATCCAGGCTGTCTTCGAGGCTGGCCTGGGCAACGACAAGAGGTGGAAGCCTATGCTTCTCAAGGCGTTGCACTATCTTGATCGTCAACAGATCCGAGAAAACTGTGAGGAGCAAGAGAAATGCTACAGACAGACACGCAAGGGAGGCTGGCCGTTCAGTAACAAGGACCAGGGCTATGGTGTGAGCGACTGCATCTCAGAGGCTCTGAAAGGTATCATCTTGCTTCAAAAGGAAGGTGACTACCCCCAGGTTCTTGACGATCAGCGCATCTTTGACGCCATTGACACTCTTCTGCTTTACCAAAACTCCAACGGCGCATTGTCATCATATGAAGCTCGACGAGGAGGCGAATACCTGGAAATGCTCAATGCCGCCGAAGTATTTGGAAGAATCATGATTGAGTACGACTATCCCGAGTGCACCACAGCTTGTGTCACCGCTCTGTCCCTCTTCAAGAAACACTGGCCCGATTACCGTGGCAAGGAGATTGACGTTTTCATTCGTCGAGCAACGAGCTGGATCAAGACAAACCAGCGCCCAGATGGTAGCTGGTATGGCAGCTGGGGTATTTGCTTCACGTATGCAACCATGTTTGCCCTTGAGAGTATGGCTAGCATCGGAGAGAAGTACTCCAACAGCGAGGTAGCTCGCCGCGGTTGTGATTTCCTCATCTCCAAGCAGCGTGAGGACGGCGGCTGGTCTGAAAGCTACAAGGTAAGGCTATTGAAAACTGACGATTTTATAGATTCCGTTGCTAATATTTGTTTTACAGGGCTGTGAAACCATGGTATACCATGAACACCCAAGTGGCTCGTTGGTCGTGCAGACAGCATGGGCCCTAATTGGTTTATTGGAAGCCGACTACCCCAATCTTGAACACTTGAAAAGTGCCGTAAAGTTGATCATTGACAGACAACAAGACAATGGTGAATGGCTACAGGAGGCAATCGAAGGTGTATTCAACAAGTCTTGCATGATTTCCTACCCCAACTATAAGTTCACCTTCACTATCAAGGCATTGGGCTTGTTTGCGAGAAAGTACCCGAACGAGAAGTTTTGAATGAATTGATGCTAGTAGACAGAATAATTAATAAAATTTAATGCAATAAAAATTTTAAAGCCAATATTCTATCAGAGTTTATACCTTTCAAGTGAAGCTCTGGTGACATGGCGGGGTGCCTACAACACAGCCTGCAGCCTGCTGCCCCACCACCACCGCCAAGTGGCTCAAACTACAAATACCAACTCGTCAACTTCACCTCTCCCACATCATCACCATCGCCGCTGCTGCATACACAATGTCGCACATCACATTGGCCCAGAAGGGCCTGGATGACATCTCAGCTAAGAAGTGGGATGATGCCGTCTCTAAGCTCTCAACAGCGCTGCAGAGCTCGACCAACCCAGCATGGCTGTTAGCTCGCTCCAAGGCTCTTGTGAATCTCAAGCGCTTTGACGAAGCACTCGCGGATGCTGAGCTAGCGTGGCACACTGCATACGACAGAAACAAGCGTCCTCTTATTACCGAAGCCAACTACAGAAGAGCAGTTGCCTACTTTCGTCTCGGCCAATATGCCAATGCCGACTGCTGCTGCATCTATGCCATGAGGCTCGTCAAGGGCTTCCCAGTCAATGAAAAGGAGGACCCAGCGTTGCAGTGGACGGATGAGAAGGGGTTCTGGACGGCTACGCTTGATGATGCCAAAGAGGAGGCCAAATCAGACGAGATTAACAGCCAGGAGAACGGGCCCTTGTCGGGCGGTCAGAGCGCCAAACCAATCCCCAATGCCCAAGAGTGGCGAATGGCCAGCACTCTGAGAATGCAGATTCTGGGTAGCATGCAACGCACTGCTAGCGACGATGAGTCCCGAAAGGTGACAGTGACTGCCAAACCCGAGAAGCGATCTCTGGCCTCGGTGGCCAAGACGGAGGAGAAGCCTGTTGCTGCTGAAAAGCCCGCGCCAGCACCCGCCGCTAGACCACCAGTTCCTAGTGATACTCCCATGAGACTGCAGGACTTTCAGAGCAATACGTCCATGTCAGTATCTATTTTCTCAAAGGGTGTGAACAAGGAGACGCTCAAGACACAGTTTGAGCCTCACGCCGTCAAACTTGATTCTCTCATCTACCCAAGTGGCGAAGAGAAGCCCTTTGAACTCGATCTGTGGGGAGAAATTGACACAGAGGCTTCCAAAGTCTCTGTCACGCCTAACAAGGTTGAGCTGACCTTGGTGAAGAAGGTTCCTGGTAAATGGGCGCAGCTTAAGGGGGATGGCAAGGCCAACGTCCCTGCCAACCCTGCCCCAGAGGCCAAGACGTAAGTTGAGCATGATCACAAAAGCATATGATACATAGGCTAACAATACTTGTAGTACAACTGTCCCCGTCACGGAACCTGCAGCAGCTACGGCATCGGAGAAGGCCCCTGAAGCTAGCGGGCCAGCACACTCGTACCCGAGCTCGTCCAAGTCTGGGCCCAAGAACTGGGATAAGTTGGGCGACGATGGATCTGACGAAGAAGGCGATGTCAACATCTTCTTCAAGAAACTCTACAAGAACGCCACACCTGAGCAGCAGCGCGCCATGATGAAGAGCTTCACAGAGAGCAACGGCACAAGCTTGAGCACTGATTGGAACGACGTTAAGGCACGCAAAGTAGAGACGGTGCCTCCCGAGGGAGTAGAGGCCAAGAAATGGGGTTAAGATGTGCCATATTGGATTAAAAGGAATTGGGATATAGTAGCAAATAAAAAAGGAATTCAATGATGCCATGCACACTGACAGTGACGCTCTATTCTATTCTATTTTCTTAAAGATGACATGAGCGCGTCTCTCTTCTCTTTTGCTTCTGTATACCAAACCGAGCTTTCTAATTCGCGCGAAGCTGCTCTTGTATCCCACAACTCGTCACCCTGATGCTTCTTGATAATCTCAGCAGGTACATGGCACGCCTTACTCAAAAAGTCGTCGCCAGAGATGTACGTGCCCTTGAGCCATCTACTCCCGCCTGCTGCATCAAAGGCTGTTCGACCATGCATGATGCGCATATTGTTGAAGATTACACAGTCACCCGGCTGCATCTTTCCCTGCCACATGGCACTCTCGTCATTGATCAGTGAATGGAACGCCTTGGCCTCTACAAGCCACTGCTTCAAGTCCGAGTCTAGCGACTCGTGGCGGCCCTGGAACGGGGGACTCCAGAAGACATGAACAAACTCTCCTGCCGCCGTCGTCTGCACTAGAGGCCGAAACTGTCTGTACGAGTAGCCGTGCTTGGTGTACTCATACGGCACTGGATCTTGCGTGAGGCTTGACGTATCGCCCTCATTGGCGGCAAGCGAGAGTAATATGCGCGCTACACGCTCACCATCACTGAATAGAGACTCGCCGCCCGCGCACGAGTTTTCCATACAGTGCAGCACTTGGATCATGGGTGGATCGTGCAGATAAAGAAGGTCCTGGTGCAAGCCGAGGTAGCCGCTTGTGTAGGCGACATTTTCGGCGTCCGGCTTGGCGCGGACATCCCATGTGCGGCCGTAGAATGTTTCGCGAATATTGGCTACACGCTGCGTGATGCGTTCAACGGAAGTTTCGTCCCGCGGGACGTTTTTCAAAAAGACCAGCCCAAGGCGGCAGATGTCGACGATGGCCTCCCACATGGCTTCGTTTCCTTGCATAAACTCGTCATAGTCTATCTTGCGGATCTGCTTCGACAGACTATCCTTATCCCAGAATTCTACACCGGTTCTCTCGAATGCTGTGGCTGGCCAGACGGGCGAGGTGCGCGCAGGCTCAATCCGCTCCAACAGCGTGTTGATGGTTTCCCACGAGAGCAGGGACTCATGGCTGGCATCTGCATACCGCTGAATATCATTGTTGAATGTAATAGCGAGTCCATTCTGCGCCACCTTGACGTTGGCAATAGAAATGTTCGTGGGAATCTCAACAGAAGTATACTGTTTCTGGCCAGATGACTTGTCTTTACACAGGTGGCAAATGCAGCTCTCGCGAAGAGGAATAGGGCTAATCTTGCGAGCAGCCATAGCGTCGTCGTATATGTAAATGGCCTGGCTGTTGTATGCTACCGTTGCCAACGGCGCATCAGTAGTGCCGCCAGGCCGGAACTGCAACGTGGTTGTCGACGCCGGAACTTCATATTTGCCAGTCGGTCTGGTGATATTGGGTAGAGTAGTAGCTGCAGGAGACCGCTGAGACCTCAGAGGTGCGAGCTTCGGCTTGGCGCTAAATATGCTGTTGTGGTGGTTGTGATCCTTCTGCGGAGACGGTTGCAGGTGTGCTGCACCAGCGTTAGACGTGGTAGTAAGTGTGCGCCGCAAGGCCAGTTGATGAGGACATCGCTTGAGTATAAATGCTGCCACCATGGTTTTGAATTGTCTGATGAGAGTGGAATTACGACTGGAAAATGTCGGCTGATCACAGCTACTTAAAGGCGTCGTCGGCTCCCGCACGGGCAGACGGATGCTCGTGGCTAACATGTGGAGCAGCTGTGCCAAGTGCCGCGGCCGCCTCGGAGTTTGGCGGTGTTGAAGGCAAGCGAGTTAGTCGCACGGGGAACGAACAACAGTTACGTTTGATGCAATGCAAATATATACAATTCGTCGTACTTGCGCCAAGCATTGAACAAGGACAGTTTGGTTAAATACAACAAAGAAAAATATACAACGCCGCCCGCTAATGCATGCTAAAACACGTGGAAAACATCACTCAGCGATTTCGGTTACTCGACCAGCGCTTGACAAGCACCTCTCGCACTTTATACAACTTTAACGCCTCAGAAAACCCAGACTCCAGAGCCTGTTCGAACTGTGTAGGCGGTGGAACGTCGACATATACTAATACAAGGCTCTTTGTAGCGTGGGAGAGCACACGCACCACGCTGTGTAGCCACTGCCAGTTTCGGTCTTGCTTGGGCCGTCCGTTGGCTTTCCACCACGCGTGACTATAAGATGGAAGAACAATGATACCAAATTCAGCGTGGTCGAACACTGGGCCACGGGTGTAGAGCAGCCAGTCGACGGCAAACTTGATACCAGAACGTGGTACCCATCCAAGTGAGCGGAAATGGTGGTACACGGCATAGTGTACAAGGAAGCCGTCATCCGGGCGCAGATCTGGATCGTCTGGCCCAGTTCGTGGGGGAACATATGAGTGCTGTCGGAATAGATGGAGCATCTCTCGGACCCCAAGATACTGGCCGGAGTATGGATCTGCAACGCGGAGTGCCCCCAATCCAAAGGCAAGGAAGAAAGCCTCTTCGGGTGTAAGTTGCAAATGTTCTTTGTTGACGATGTCGTTTACAGCATTTGTTTCAACATTGCGGCCATTTTCACCGTTTGCAGTGGATTGAACTTTGTCCCCATTGCTTAGCTTCTTTGCTCGCAACGATGCGCCTGGGCTTGGTGGATCAGAGAAGTTGAACGTAGTCGATTCAACAGTGGGGGAGAATCGCACACTCTTCTGGCGCTTGATGGTTTTCGTGCCAGAGTCGCTGGAGGTAGAAGCCTCCGACGGGGGTGTATCTAGCTGCTTGTTGGTGTCGGCGTCGCTTTCCGTCGCTTTCGAGATATCGCTTGCAGTTGATGGGTGAACAGGAGCCAGAGGAATAGGTATTTCGTGGGTTCTGCTTTCCGATACCCCGACCAGTTGCTCAATAAGGGACGGCAGTGATGGTAGAATCTGTTTCGAGGTATCATCGTTTGACTGGTCTACATAGTCGGATGACGATGAGAGCGAGGCCGATGCATTCGAATTGGGAAGGGCCAACAGCTCCATTGGTCCTACAGGCGCTACAAATTCGGATTTTGGCGCCAGTGACTGGAGTGCGGCTTGCCGGCGGCGTTCTGCCCTCTGTGCCTCTTCTAGCTTCGTAGTTCGAATGGCTTCTTGTTCGAGTCGTGCACGCTCCCATTTGGCTTGGACACGCTCTTCTCTTCGTTTGGCTGTCATCAGCTCGCTCACATAGCCAGCCTCGTCGCCTCGGCGAACAAGCTCGCGCTTCAGCCAATTGGGCTCGCTACGACTGAGGCTGCCTTTGCCAAAGAAGCCCTGCTCCCATAGCGCCCTCATAGATTGCTCGCTTGTGATGTGCACCGATGTTGTGCCTTCTGACCAAACGCCATTATGAATTACGGAGGGTTGTGCAGGTGGCGGACTTAGGGTTTGCTTGAGCCATGCTACACCGACGTGAAATAAGGAAAGGGGGTTGTTGGGGTAGAAGGTTGGTAGAGGGAAGGTTTTAATGGGAAGTGGGAGAGCGTATATCTGATGTATAGATGGACCAGCACGTTTTTGAGGAGTTTTTATGTTTCCCGATGACGGGCGGTTTGACTCGGCCGGCGGGGCGGCGACGTCGGTTGGTAATGATTGCACAGCAGACATCATTGTCTTGATTTCATCTTGTACTAAAAGGGTTGTCTGTTAGTGACTGATAACACGGAACAACGACGTTCAGGGTAATAAAGAGTGAAAAGGTATTGCTATATCAGATACCGTTGTAGTCTATAAATCAAGGCCATCACAGAGGCCAAATGAATGGATTCTCTAAGCACAGGATATAGTGTCATCATAATAGCGGGTGTGCATTGCAATATGCTAAGACCCTTGAAGATTTGACCAATTGAGACAAGATCTTTCCAGGTTCGCATATTGGCAAGCATTGTGTAGGGGAAGCTGATGTGCTTCGATGCAGAGCGACTTTTCTTACCTTTGGTTCATTGTCAAGCTAATGGTTGATTAGCCGAGTCTAGTACTCGACTCAAGTAAAGCAGCTAATGAAGTGCAGATAATCCGCAGCGCTGTTTACACAAGTGTGCGGATGGAGCAACTTGGCGAATGCAGAGATTGGCACGAAGGAGGAGAAGAGGTCGAAAATTTAGCACCGAAATATTTGAGAGCTGGGCCCACGGATCACGGGATTTTGCTGCGGGCCCACTCTTCACCATGTGCCCCGTCGACATGGCAGTCAGACCGATGCGCCGGCGCTTCTTTTGCATGCTGGCAAAGGTGACACAACTTGCAATTTAAAATAATAATAAAATTGTCATGCATTGGAAACTATACTATCCCTGCAGAAAATTTATTTATTTGTCTTACGAAAATGCTAAAAGTGCACATGTTGCTACACAGGGATTGCACGTGTTAAATTATCGACGTCACGCTAGAGCCTCCCCAAATGCCCACCATGTTTATTTTTTCCAGCGGCCCCGAGCCTGCCGACAGGTGGGACGGTCGCCAACGTGGTGCAGCATCCAGCTGTCCCGTCAACCTCATCCAAGAAGCGCTACCTCCCCTTTTACGACAACACTACACGGGCTATGCCTGATCCTGATAGCTGCGGCTCATCTTGAGTGCTGCAGGTCCATCTATTGAGAAATAACCTTTGTTTACGACTTTATCCTACAATGCCTGCTTTCGTAGAGGTTGTAGCCGTTGCCTGCCTGGTCTGGTGTTTCTTCATCGTCATCGTCCAAGCTATCGGCATCAGCGCTATGTACGTGTATTGCGCTTAGTACCAGTTGTATAGGATATTGCGTATGTATTAACACGGCAGTATAGCTTCCGCTACTTTTCCCGCCCCCCACCAGCATCCAAGTCCTCGACTCTCGGCGACGATGCACCCGCCGTCACCATAATTCGACCAGTGAAAGGCGTCGAGCCCGAACTCTACGACTGCATTGCCTCGACGTTTCGACAGGACTATCCACAGAATAAAATATCCGTGCGACTATGCATCGAAGATTCCAGTGACCCCGCCTTTCCCATACTGGAGCAACTGGTTGCCGACTTTCCATCGTTTGACGTCAAAGTTTTGGTCGAAACACAAGATCCGATGCTGCATGGGACAGATGGCCATATTGATAACCTAGGCCCGAATCCAAAGATACGCAACATTAGCAGAGCGTATAGAGAGGCCAAAGGAGACATCATCTGGATCATTGATTGCAATGTTTGGGTACCAGTTGGTACGCTGGGCCGCATGGTGGACAAACTAATGGGCTTTTGCGCCACCGGTAAACCTAGCGTGCCGTATAAATTTGTCCACCACATGCCCCTTGAGGTTGATTTGGTAAATTATGCACCGGAAGCTTTGGTGGACAATCAGCAACCTCTCTTGTCGTCGACTTCCGCTAGTTCCGTAAGTCGGCGCGAATCGCTTCTTGACAAGATCTTGGCCAATGGGGGCGGTCGCTTGGACGAAATGTTCATGGCAACGACTCATGTCAAATTCTATGGCGCCATAAACACGGTTGGCGTAGCCCCTTGCATAGTCGGGAAGAGCAACATGTTCCGCAAGTCCCATCTCGACATGGTCACAAGCAACAAACACAACCCGGCTTTGCGCCAAGATGACACGAGACCGCCTGGAATTGACTATTTTTCCCACCAGATATGCGAGGACCATCTCATTGGTGACTTGCTCTGGAGATACCCAATGGCTGGATTCGCCAACCATGGGCTGGTTTGGGGTGACCCAGTTATTCAGCCCATGGCAGGCATGTCAGTCATTGCATACGCGGCACGACGAAGCCGATGGCTGCGAGCTCGAAAGTTTACAGTCTTGGCCGCAACTCTTGTTGAGCCGGGTGTCGAATCACTTCTCTGTTGCTCCTACTTTGCGTTTGGTCTGACTACGCTTCCATTGTGCCAACAGACACTCAGTGTTCCTCCCACATGGTCCGCCATGTTTCTGATATGGCTAATCTGCCTCCTAATGTGGATGGCTGTTGACTGGTTCACATTTCAGCATCTTCATTCCGGCAAATCAGTACAGATGGACGCAAACACCCCGTCCTTTGCCAAAGGGACCCGCCGCAATGGAGGTGTCCCACGCCGCAGCTTTAGTGAATGGCTTCCGGCGTGGATTGGCCGAGAGCTCCTGGCGCTTCCCATTTGGACCTATGCAGTACTCCTTGGCACAACGGTAACTTGGCGTGGAAAGACATTCCGTGTGAATATGGATACAACAGTGGTTGCTTTGGATCCCAGAGGTGAAGCCCGTGGGACCAAAACGCCAGAGTTGGAGAGGGGTCGCCATACAAGCAAGGACCGTGTGGATTGATGAAGTACTGCTAGACATGACGACGGCTATGAATAATCAATTGGAATAGACTTGCTGCTAGTAATAGTATACTAGTATATGGTAACGAATTATACCCACTGGTTTAGCTACCTAACCCTTTGCCGCTTACGAGTGACAGCGAGATCCGCCCGCGCGCATCTACAGTACAACACGAATCCATCTCAACTGGCCACTAACATAGACTATGATAAGCACAGCCCAACAAATTTCAGCCATATTATAACAGTTGATCCCGTCTGGTGCAATACTTGCCTCATTTCCCCACATTGAAGCCAAGCCAAATCAGGCCCGTGCTTCCTGACAGAGGGCCGTGCAGAGACAAGTGTTCCGGTTCTTTTTCTTCGTGAGGGGAAGCTAGATGACCCCAGGTGTTCGTATACAATGCAAAATGGGGTAGAGCGCTGGGGTAAACCAAGCCCAAAGCAGCGCTCCTTTAACCGCTATGATGGGCTAACAGCCACCATTGACATGCAGCTGCGGGGCGCACCCGGCTGGGCTGGGGTTGTTTACTGAATGGCTTGGCCACAGGAAAAACAGCGGGCAAGACCGGAGGCTTACTGGGCGCCATTCAGTGTCTCCAAAGGCCAGCCAAGATCGTCCTGGGCGCTGGCTCGGCGATTCCTGTGCTGCTGGTGGCTTTGAGCGCCCAAGGAACGCAAGGCGTCAACGACGAGGCGACGACAACGACAGAAGGGCTGCCAGTTGGCAGATGCTACCAGCTGGCGACAGCTGGCAACAAAGCGCAATTTTTTTTCCATCTAGGGATAGCTTGTTAGACGAGCACATGTCTCCAAAAAATTCTTCCTCTCCTCTTCTCCATCCACAACACTCGCAATCTCGGCCATTTAGGAGACAACTCGCTTGCACACCACCATCAACCCACGGCGACCCCGCCAAGCCCCCCACCGCTAGCCTTGCCCATCCCCCATTTAGCATGCTCCTAGCGCCGTTGGTCGGCTCTAGAAGGTGTGGAGGCGGCCATGGTTACCATTAAGCTTATTCGAACGCTAAATGAGACAACCGTCAGCGGGATCCGGCCTCTGTCATAGAGGAACCTCTCGGCCTGTCGCATGTTCTCGCACTCAGCGGCGAGCGGTGAGGTGGCAGACTAACCTTGCTACTAGACACAGTGAAAGGCGCCACACATTGCTTTGATTTTCCTTTTCCCCCATGGTGATCAATTTAGATGAAAACATGGCAACGGGATGTGGCGAAGCTCTTCAAACTGCCGTCGGGCGATGACAGCGGTTAAATGATTCTAGGAGAAGAAGAAGCATAGCCGCTTCCTCAGTTCGCCCTGCCATCCAGTTGACCAGTCCCGAAAGCCACCTGTTTTTTTTTTCTTGATCGGCGTCTGCTTCAACGCCAAACGAAAGAAAAAAGGGAGGCACATACGTTTGACCAGACACGCAAGCAAAGGGAGGCGTTGTGTGTCATGTCATGTCGACGCCCGCAAAAAACTCGCACCAAACGCCGCTAGCCCTACACACTACCCCATCGTGGCGCTGGTGATATTGCTCTCAGGCCAGGCAGCCATGAATGAGGCCCCGGCCACATACCGAAGCGGAGTCTTGTCCGGCCTCCAAAAAAACGGCAGTTTCCTGTGACAGCAACTCCCTAGTGGATGTTGGGCAGAGCCAGTGTGGCATGCATGCTGCAGGTCGTATACTGGGTGGGCGGTGCTAACGCATTTCCAAAGTTTTGGAGTTTTCAAAAGTCACTTGGTCAGAGAGTAAACCCTCAGCTTGGCAACCGCGTTTGTCCCCGGATTGTCAGTATTACCCCGGATCCCACAATTCTTACTTGCTCGCCTGGACAAAGAACGGCTCATCTCGTCTCTGCAATGTAATGCAACGCTGGGCGGCGGGCGCGGGGCAACAAGGAACAGTCTTGTAACGAATAATGTGAGCGGATGGAAGGGGATATGGCCGCGGGCCTAGACTTGCCAAGCAAACTAGTCCTCCACATCCCACTCACACATCCACACGCCTGTCTCCAACACCGTCAGCACCGACAAATTCGGCCCTGTTTTCGTCCCTGGCGAATCAACTTGCGCAGCTTTATCTTTCCCCCGCGATGGGCCCAATAGTGGAAAGCCCATTTCGTTTCCCCCTCATTTTCTTCCCCATTTCCCCAGAGCCCAAAGACATTGACACAATGCGGGGAACTGCTGGTCACGATGGATATAAGAAACAGCCCTGCTCCACTTACACAACCCTTCTCACAACTTTGGTCTGTGTAACAGTGACATTGTCTGCTCTTCCTCATATTAATAAGGGCAACTACCTTCTTCCGTTTTTCACTTCTCCAAACCTGTTCATTTTTCCCAATCTTTCCCCCCTCCCCATAGTTCACAATGACAGACCAGGCCGTTCGCACGGTCCCCAATGAGCCCGCCGACCCATTGGCCAAGGGCATCATTGCGACCGCTAAGCAGTCTTTCAGAGATCTCTTCATCTGGAAGCAGCGTGTCGTCGTCTCCAACGAATATGGAGAAACAAGATGTGAATGGCAGCAGCCAGATCGCTTCCAGAACCCTTTCAGTCTCATGGCTCAGCTGTCGGCTAAGGACTGGCTCTTCTTCGTTGTCGGCTGGCTCGCCTGGACGGCCGATGCCTTTGATTTCCATGCCCTCTCTATCCAGACTGTCAAGCTGGCCGACTACTACGGTCGCTCCAAGTCTGACATCACCACCGCCATCACCCTCACACTCCTCCTTCGCTCTGTTGGCGCCGCTATCTTCGGTTTGGCTGGCGACAAATGGGGCCGCAAATGGCCCATGGTTGCCAACATGATCATCCTGGGTCTTCTTCAGATTGCCACTATTTACAGCCACACATTCTCCCAATTCCTTGCCGTCAGAAGTCTATTTGGTCTCTTCATGGGTGGTGTGTACGGCAACGCCATTGCCATGGCCTTGGAACAGTGCCCGTAAGTTCTCATGTAATGGTTCAGTATTGTTATGTTTGCTAACACAAACTCACAAACTCAGTGCCAATGCTCGTGGTCTCATGTCTGGTATCTTGCAGCAAGGCTATTCCATGGGATATGTTCTCGCCGCATGTGCCAACCTTGGCGTTGGTGGTTCAACCGACAGCTGGAAGACTGTTTTCTGGATTGGAGGTTCGTATCATAACTGGAGTTAATATCAAGGACTAGTGCTAACAAAACTTCATAGCTGGATTCTCCATTGGCGTCGGTCTTGTTCGCATTGCCTTTCCCGAGTCGAAGCAGTTCATCGAGGCCAAGAAGAACGGAAAGAAGCAGTCATCCCCTGGTGCCTTCTGGCGCGAGACAAGAACGATGCTCAAGTCTGAGTGGAAGATGTGTGTTTACTGCGTCTTACTCATGACTTGGTTCAACTTTTACTCGCACACCTCGCAAGACTCATACACAACCTTTATGCTAAAGCAGAAGGGGCTCAAGAATGACGCCGCCTCGCGCGCTTCCATCATGATGAAGGTCGGAGCCGTTGTTGGCGGCACTATCATTGGATATGCCAGTCAGTTCATCGGACGTCGCCGCACCATTCTCTTTGCCTCATTCATGTCTGCTCTCATGATTCCCGCATGGATTCTCCCTGAAGGCGAACAATCCCTCAGCGCTTCTGGATTTTTCATGCAATTTTTTGTGCAAGGAGCTTGGGGTGTTATTCCAGTACACCTTAACGAGCTAGCGCCTCCTGCTTTCCGATCATCATTCCCTGGTATCACTTATCAACTTGGTAACATGATTTCGTCGCCCTCAGCCCAGATTGTCAACATCATTTCTGAGAAGAACTTTGTGCGAGCATCAAGTGGTAAGCTTGCGGAGGCATATGGCCCAGTTATGGGTATTGCAACCGCAATCATTGCCATGGGTATCTTTGTTACCACTATGATTGGTCCCGAGCGACGTGGCCGTAGCTTCGACACTGTGGTCGCTGGTATGGAGAGTGACACTTCTCTGGAGAAGGTTGTTTCATACGATGAAGAAAAGGGCAATGTCGAAGTTGAGGAGAAGAAGCAGTAAGGCAGTTCAAAATTTATGTACGGTTCATAGCAGTATGTAAGCCAGAAGAAGGCCATGATGATCACGTCTGATTTTCGTTTCACGCCAGTCTCCCGACTCAAGAGAAGAAATTAAAGAGGAAAAAAGTAAACAACATTGATTATAGTAATTGAACACTGGATATACTAATACATAGACCCGAAATACTCCGAAGCAAACCGCCTCCAATTCTAGCAAAAATTCAACGCCATTCCCCCCAACAATGATATCATGTCCGCGCTCCTTGTACCAACTATTCGCCATCAATCATGGCATCTAAATCATTTCTCTCGTGCTCCAGAGACTCAGCTGTTACCGTGTTTTCGTCGGCACCCTTGACAGTCTTCGTCTGCTCCTCTTCGTCTTGGTTTGTCATTTCCTCAAAGATCTTGTTCGTCTTTTCATCCTCCTTCTCGACGCCAGCAGAAACTGATGCATCAGGTTCTTCGCGGTTGGGTCGCACACCCTTGGCAATATCCCAGACATCTGGCCCGTAAATTCTTTCAGCTTGCTTACGCCCATCGGCAGTGCGGTCTAGGATTTCAAGAGCTTTAGCCTTTCCGGCTTCAGAATGCAGATCCAAGTCTTCATCTCCTTGAAGCAGTCGCTCTTCAAACGTGAGATTTGCGTTGTTTACATGAAGCCGGGGCCCGGAGCTCATGGCAATACTATCATGCATAGTGCTATCACCATCATGCTGAGAGTCGTTGTCATCATCCATGTCGCCTTGCATGTGGCTGTCACCGTCGTCAGTGCGCCCTTCGCCAGATAGTAGGCCAGGACCATATGATCCATCTGCTGAAGGCGGCATCAATGGTCTGTTACCCGCTTGAGCTGCTTGGGCTGCAGCCTCAGCATTCGCGGCTTTTCTTCTGAGACTATTGGCTTTGCCCTTGGCATGTTCGGGCAGGTCATCAGGGTTGTCGACACCGTATTCCACCAGCATCTTTTGCAGCTTGGTAGGCCGAGGCTTTCTAGTACTCAACGATACTTCCAGAATTGGGGGCGCTTCCGGAGCAACTGGGTACCACTTGTGAAGCTCCTGGCGGAAGAAGTTTGTTTCATAGGCAAGCAGAACTTCGGCACCTTCCAGTTTGCGCAAGTAGAATCGCTGAGTTTCCGCTTCAGCCTTGGTTGAAAGGACGGGGTTGCAGTATCTAGCAATGCGATCTCTAAACGTCTGCGCATTGTTAATGATGCTTGCAAGGATATCTTCTTCTTCAGGTTGAAAAGGAAGAGTTGCAATCTCGTCTTGCAAAGCCAAAAGGTCTTCAATCTTTGGCCGCGACGCATCTCGTGGGATCTTCATTCGCCAGTCGCAAATAGGGCACGTGTATTTGTCGTCTTCCTTAACCTTGCCACGAGCAATCTTGAGACACTTGTAATGGTACCACTCATGACAGAGCTCACACTCAATCATCATGCCGGCCTCTATTTTTCTGCAAATGCAAAATACTTGGCGCTGCTTGCCATCCTCAAATCGATTATCGTTCTGATCAGGTGTGACCTCGCGCGACACCGGCTCACCAGGCAAGCGGGGAGTGTCATTGTCGAAATTGAAGCAGTTTGAGTTGCGCTCCAAAACATATTCAAGATGACTGCGCAAGATATGAAGAGGCGCATTGGACTTGCCAAACAGACGCTTGCCCTTCCTCATCCAGTCCTCGTGACGCTTTCGCTCATTTTCAAGCTCAATTGTTCCGTTGGGCTTTGAATTGAGAGCCTCCAGCTTCTTGGTAAGTTCAAGAACCTCATTGTATTTGGGCCGATCCTGGATGTCGGGAAGTCGGCTGCGCTCAGTAATGTCAATAATCTGCTTGTGAGCCTCTCGCTGCTTGTGCAAGATTTGGTCAATCTCAGCCAAAGTTGCGCGTGAGACGGGCAGAGCCCCAGCCTGGGCTTGACTGGACAAGGCTTCCAGTTGAGGATAGTGAACAAATTCCGCATGAATAAGTTCCCTCGCTTTGGTCTCCCACGCCTGGCCGGCTGACAGCTGATCACAGTAGAATTTGAAATGATCATTGTACGAAGGAATTTCTAGTCGTTTGCCTTCGTCAATGAGTTCCTGAACGTCATTAAGAGCAAGATAGATTCCTCGACTGGTTCGGGCCTTTTCATTCCAACGTAGCTGGTCAAGCACTCGCGCAAGTCGATCAACTTCGGGGGTATCAACGTTGAAACCTCGGCCTTCTTCGATAAGTTCTTCAATCATTTCAGCCGACAGTGTGCTGGTCTTTTCGAGAGCCTTGGATGCGTTAATTTGGAATTCTTTGATAGCGGCAGATCGTTCTTGCAGCTGGGCGATTTCTGGCGTGTCGAATCCGATGTGGTCGGCTTCTCGTAGAAGTCGGTAGATGTTGCTAACGTTTCGCGATTCGCGTTCTTTTTGGTCTTGCTGGGAGCTTCCGATGGATTTTCTCATTCCGCTCTGCCACGCTTTCTCGTTTTTGCGTCGGTTTTGTTGCTTTCGAACAATGTAATTAGTCGCCTCTTCTACCCAATCATTGCAACGGTCGACAAATTCTTTTAAGACCGGTAGGGAAGGGAGATCATACGGAACACGTTCGCCTTCATGTAGAAGAGCACGTAAGGATTTCAAGGATGGCGTTATCTCCTCGTCGAGAAGCTTCTCGTATTTTTGTTCCCATACTTCGGGAGTATGGGCTTTTTCGATGACTTTTTGATAGGTTGACTCCATCATTTCGGCCGTCTTGCGATAAATGAGCGTGTGGCCTTTGCCTAAGAACCTGTTTTCCTCAGTTTCGTCGCAGCAAGGATGTGAACCAGCATGGAGAATGCAGAGGACTTTGCCAGACTGCTGGCAAATAAACCTCGAAAGGAAAGCAAAAGACTTGCAGTAGCTACAGCATTGCTCATCCTCGTTTACGACTTCTTGATCATCGACCTTGAAATCTAGTGAGCATTCACCCTCACCCTTCTCATCAGAAAACCATTGGCATGCGTGTGGCTTGGCTGAGAGATGTTGCTTGACAAAGTGGTCACGTTGCTCCAGCTCACGCTTTCGGATACGAACTAAAGCTGGTGATAGCCACTTGGCTGTCTGGATATTCAGGCCTGCAACGACTCCGTCGGCGGCAGTGCAAAGAAGCTCGTCGTGAGAGAAGCACGGGGGGCGTCGGAAAACTTGGAGTCTCTCCACTCCGGCCTGACCGAATGGTTCCCAGTCAGCAGGCGCGAAGTTGACAGCTTCGTTGAAGTTGAAGCCGTGGTTAAACCCGGCATGATAAGCCTGAGGATATGTGATGACAAGCTGACCCGCGCGCTGGTCAACGGCGTAAACACGAACACCGGCCTTTTTCAACTGCTCCGGAGTCAACAATGTGACTAGTTGGAAGAGGAGATCTGGTTGAGTTTCAAACAATTCTGGAACGGCTTCCTTCATGGCATTCTCAAACTTTTCTGCGTCTTCTCCTGGGATACCGTACCAAGTCTTGGTAGCACCAAAATGTTGGTAGTTTGCAGAGTAGGCGTAGTGGTCTTCATTGTGCCAGCAGAAAGTAGAGAATATCATGCCGACGTACACCCAGGGTACAGTCATACCGGATATATCAGACTTGATATGTCGGAAGAGACTCTCATGGTGGAAAGGAAGAACATTCAAGTTCCAAGGGTCCGTTGAGTAAGGGTTGTTGGGCTGCTTCTCGACAGTGGGAAATCCGGATCCGTGTGTTGTTACATGGATATCTGCGCCGTATTCCACCTCGACGGTTTCTTCCAGGTCTGCGACGAGACGCCAGAATTCATTCTCGACGTCCTCTTCAGTGACAGGCCGATGGCACTTCAAGGCGCTATCGTATGGCATTTTGTTTTCAAAGTAGCCTTGTTTGAAGTCGTTGGCCTTTTGCTGGAATTGCTTCAACGAGTACAGGCCGCCCTCTTCAAACCCAAACTCACCATCACCAACAAGGCAACGCGGGCAATTCCACTCGCCATCAGGTTTGCGCGTGACTGGTGGATCAAGGCAAGAGCCGTGATAAGAGTTGTCGCATGAATCGCAGGTAGCTACAAAACCGATGTCATCACCCTGCCCACAGGCATCGCAGATTTCTCCAGATGAGATAGCAGGCTCCCGAGGAGTGAGTGGGGTTGTTGGCTTGAACTGGGAAATATGCGATCCAGTGACGGTTGGCACGTTTTCCTTACGGACGCGCTTGCTGCGGCGCTTGCCTGAGTCCTCATCTTCTTTTACCGCATCGCCATCCGCCTCCTTAGTATCAGCATCTTCGACACTAGATCTGCGCTTGATAGTGGCGGTTGGTGCCAGCCCAGATCCTTCTTCGGATTTCGTAACTGGAGGCGTGCTGTGTTTCTCTGACGCTGCTGCGTCAGGAGTTGAACTCTTGGCATCTCTGTTGATACTTTTAAAGCCAGAATTGACAGCGGTGAAGCCTCCACCATTAATAGCCTTAAAGCCGGACGCTGCACCGTTCACTGGTGGCGCATCAGCCATGGCAACATCTGCATCAGATTCCTTCTTCAGTTCGGAAGTCAGAGCATCTGTAGCCTGACGAACGGGGGAATCTTCTTTCCCAGCGGCAGGAGTATTGGCAGCAGATCGCTTCATGGGTGTTTGACTTGGGCTTGGGGTGTATGGACCACCATGCTCCTGCTCCAGTTGCTGGTGCACACCTGGTTTGGCCAAGCGGAGGTAATCTTCATATGGGCAAAGCCAGCGCTGGTATGAGTTTTTGAGCGAGGTGGACAGCGACGACATGATCTTGCCACTATATCCAAGATCACGACCAATCTCTGCCCATTTCTTGAGTTTGCAGACATTGTCAAAGCCGCCACGCGTCTCGACTGCCTTTTTGAGTCGGTAAAGATCCAAAGGCTTTTTGTCAACATATGGCAAGCGGTGGAGGTTATTACCTTGCTGTTTGTGAAACTTGGACAAGCCGTCCAAGTACGTCAAATTTGCGCGAGTGCCTAAAAGGGAGGGGTTAGCCGTGCATCTCAAGAAAAATACTAGTATCGATGAAACATACTGCCTTCGACAGAATTCAACTCTTGTTTGCGTGTTCTGAAGTGGAATTTCTGCATGAATGACGCTTTGGTTAGCCAATTATTTCTAGATGGTACGCATCTCCAAACGGGTGGCGAACAAACCTCTGTGTCAATGGCAAAGTCTGGATTCCACGAATCAGGCGGAATGATTTTGCAGATACCATATTGGGAGGCTTCAGCTTCGATCTTCTTGAGGTATTCAACAGGATCGCGCCATTCCTCCTCTGTCGGGCAATATGTAGGAGCGTCGGTAATGCCGTGAGGCCGTGTCGTCTTTCGCACTGGCTCGCGAACAGCTGTAGGTTGGCCGCGGCGTTCCACGGATGTCATATCTAAGGCGTTGTTGGACATGGCGCTCAGAGGTACTGGCGCGTTTGCTGGATGGTATCCGTTGGAGTTCATTCTTGTTTTAGCTCTTGTCCTCCCGGTAACACCCCTGGTGGAGGGAGCCGGTACCGGGACTGGGCTCTCGGTCGCCATCATCTTGGGTGTATCGTCTATGCGGCGGTGAATATAGTGTTGGTGTATATCGAGATGGTCTTGTTGCTATCTTGTATGAAGAGTTCGTGGGTCTTAATACATTGTTCGTCTGCTGGATCTAATCGGCCAACGGCTGCACTTTTGCGACGGTATTTGAGCAGGTCGAGAGCGGGTGTCGTGGAGAAGCAGAAATAGGCAGGGTTTCTAATGGTTTGTAGAATAAACCAGTCAGTCAAGACGTCTTTGGAGTCACCGCAAATAGCGAGGGGCCAATACATAGCAGTGAGTTGTTGCGGGAGTAATCGCACGCTGGCAACGATGCACGCTGGCCCTGCGCAACGAAAGAATTTAGCCTCGGGAGCACTTACAGAAATTAAAAAAGAGTACAAGGAGACTATTGTGTTGCAACAAAGGAAGGGTATTGCGTGAAGAGAATAGAAGGATGCGCAAACGCACAAAATCAAAGGGAGAGGAAATCGAGCCGGGAGGGAGGCGGCAGAGGAGAGTTGCGAATTTAGGGTGTAGATGCTGAAAGCGAGGGCCTACGATGGTGGGCAGAGGAATGGGCGAGCGAGGTGACGGGGGGAGTCGAGGGAGCGCCGGCCTAGCGAGACGGCCGCGCAGAAGAAAACGCCAAAGAGGACGACGGCCGGGGCATCTCACTTTTTGCTGCGGGAAGGAGGGAAGGAGGTTCGCACCTTCCCTGGGATTGGAAAACGAAAAAGTGGGGATAGGGTACAAGGGAGGAACATGTCCGCACATAGCATCACCCGCGGGCGTTGAGGTCCCGCCAGGTATCCAAGTATTTTTGAATTGTGTGGGTACACAAGAGGAAAAAGCGTCGCTTTCGGCTGCCACGGTTGTCAAGCAAGTAAAGTTGCCTGTTGCTTTTTCTTTTTAATTCTTGCGTCTGTTTTTCACTTTGTTATGAAAAGCTACTGCTGCTCCGCGCGACAAGCTCCGATGGTGTATCTTTCTTACTACTAGAAAAAAAACGCCAAGTATCAACACAATTTGGAGTAGACAGCCGATCCCGCTTGACTGGAAAATCCATTTAACTGTCGCATGTGTCGGCGCATGAGTCGTTACAGCACAGGCTTGGCTCCTGTTTTCGTAGTCGCTTCCAGCTGAAAGTTCTGTGAGCTCTTGTTAGCAGTTGAAGCTGTATTCTGATGAGCCTCAGGCCGCTGCTACTGTAGAGTGCTGTATGCTTTTTTTGCGCTTTCATTCTGCGTTGAAATCGCATCGGTCCACTGACACGAGACCAACAATGCGCTGTAAATTGTTGTGTGCATTGAGCCTGGAAAGCACCATGCACAAAACACAGCTTAAGAAAAGAAAGACACAATGAAAAACACCATGAATCCAAAATTCAGGCAAATACCCTCCCCAACCTATTGCTCCCCCAAAGGCAGAAAACAAGCGTCGTCTAACATCCAACAGCCCGCCTTGGAATGTTACGTGGTGGTTGTGGTGCGGCGTCCAAGCCGGCTTGATATTGAAGCTCACTTTGGCAGGGGAGGCGACGCTAGACTGGGCCCAGCGGCCAATCACAGCAGGATGAAGTCGGAAATTGTGGGTCCGTCTTTCAGAGTCATGCATGCGGCGGCCAATCACCATCGCAGCTCCTCCCGGGGCCCATGGGGTGCCTGTTTGCGCAGGCTTGGTGGAATGGGGCAAATCTGGCATTAATTTAGCTGCTGCCTTGCATAACCCAAGGCTGATGAGGGGGGGAGAAAGATGATGCGCCAGCTAGCCGGCCATGCCCACTGTAAAGTGCCCCAAATCGATGCGCTAAAGTTTGGAGGCAGTGGATGCTACTCTACGATGCAAGGTACAATAGCAAAGAGTAAGAATAATAATATACATTTGAGATTTTTATATACAGAAAAAAAAAGTAGAGTCATCCTCGTGGAATATATGCCTCCCACTTCATTCTTTTATAACAGCCAACTCTTTATTCAGCAGCTGCTGCTTCCGTGGCTTCATCCGCCGCCTTGTTCTTCCCCTTCTTCTTCTTCACCAGCTTTGCCACAGCGTCTTTTCCACGGGTACGCAGCGTCAACTCTGTCATCATGTCGGCCCATTGGATCTCTCCACCGCACGACGGACATCTGCATGCTCTTGGCAGCAGTTCACCAGTTGCCTTGCCGTCGCTAGACAGCGCATGTTCAGACCAACACGTCAGATGGCCCATGCCCTCGCAGCTAGTGTTGGGACACATGGCATAGAGCCCCTCGTTTGGCACAAGCGATTCTTTGCAATGCACGCAGTCACCATGCCTTTCAAAAGACACCACATTTTGTGCTTTCTCAACATATTCTTGCATTGGCTTGTAATCCAGCGGCAAGGCGTGAATGCCATGCGTGGGAGCGTCGTCGGCTGTCGAAGCAGTGGTAACGTCGGTCAACACCTTCAACCCTGGCCGATCGGGGTGTTCGACACTGTTGGTCCACGATTTCCATGAAGTATGGGCCTCTTTAGCGAAAAAGTGAAGCTGCAACGGCCATCTTGAAAAGCTCGGTACCCCTGTCAGCAGGTGGATGTTGGACATGATGGCCCTCATGCTAAGCGGTGGTCGGCGCGGCATGCCGTTTCGCTTCGTTCCGGACGCGGTTGTCACGCGAGAGCTAGCTGGGATGTGCAGCGTGAGGTGAGGATTTGCTAGTGCCCATCTAGTTTGTCTAGTTAGTATCAGGCGCATATATGCACGCATGCATGCATGACAATGTTGGCGTGTGATGATGACCTACTCGAATTTCAAGGCGGCTACCGCGCTCGGGAAACCCGACACCAAGGCGACCATTTCCCAGGGCCGTAGACTATCTCTTGCTGTGCGCACTGCACCACCTTTTGCTTCGCCATTGTGCTGCTTGAGTCGTCGTGGCGGATTCGGCGTGGAACCAATATAGAGCGACGCGTGCCGAATCGTGGATCGCAGCACGTAGACCGCGTAAAATGCTGGTATAGGTTTCGATGACTGGGTCATGATGGGCGCCGTGAATTATAATTTGATTGACAGAGCATCTCTGTAGTTTATGAATTGCCTGCAACCCATAAACCTGCTCTCCTCTCTTCTCACTTGTCCGCGGTCCGAACTGGTAAACCCGCGACGAGGGGCGACAACCAAAATGCGCCACTCCATCCAGCCAATCGCACAGCCCCACCTACCTGAGGCACACAAGCACAGATAAACACGGTGAACTATACGGAGAAGAAACTGGTTGTATTTCCTTTACATCGGCTCGAGTATCTACAGGAGGCATGCGTAATTGTATAATGCTCACTTAATTTAATAATGTCATGTTGTATTTGCTAACATATCTTGCTCGTCATTGCCACTACCCACTAAGATGCATAGTCCTTGCTGAGACTGGTAGGCACTTGTAACTTACACTAAGTTAGCGGCTTCTTTAAATGGCCTATTAGAGAAAGCCATCGCATGTCGGGTAGTTTCCGCCTTCAAGCCCGTTTCGAACCAATTTGAGTAGTTTATGCCAGGCAACTTTGCGCTGACCAACTACAATCTCTCTGCCTGACTACAACCTTGAGGACGACTACGAAATGAAGCAGACTCTTCGCAAAGGCGACTACCGCACATTTAATGTTTACTACATGAGTGATTGGCCAGGAGGCTACAGCTCCCTGCCCATGGCTGTGACAAACGGTGACAAAAACTTCATCGAGGATGGCATCGTCATCGGCCCCCCTGCTCTCAACGGCCAAGGCAATGAGTTCTACCAGCATGGCAAAACATTGACGCACGAAAGCGGACACTGGAATGGCCTCCTCCACACATTCCAAGGTGGTTGCGAAGGCCCTAATGATTACGTCGATGATACGCATGCCGAGCAGGAAAATTTGTTCGACCTCTGCTCTGCCAACAGAGACAGCTGCTCCGACCAACCTGGACTGGACCCAATCCATAGCTACATGGACTACCCAAGCGAGTACGTATTTGATCATATGCAATCATGTCCACCTAGCTAACTTTTCTACAGCGCATGCCGAGCCGAGTTTCCTCCTGGTCAGCTTGCGCGCTTGCTTGACCACTGGAAGACCTTCCGCCTGAACTGGAAGTAAGCACAACAGCAATGTACCTGTTTATTTATTTATTTTCATTTCACATCCTTTATATATGGGAGAGATTGTTGGCAAGTGTGGCGTATGGCGAAGATTGGAAACAGTGGTTGGCTTCCAGTAAAAAGTTTGATGTTGGTGGTAGAGTTGTTTCCTATTTAGGATGTTGATCAATGGAGATGAAACCTTATATATAGTGTCTTCAATATGTCCAGCATATAGTCAAGAATTAAAGGGTATACAATTTATACGAAAAAGAGTACTATATTTGAACAAATAATGTAGATGTAACGGTCGTGGCTGAGTACATGGGCAACTTTATTATATGAGAAATGGTATCACGTTAATGGGTACAGAGTATGGAACGGTATGAAATAAGAATTTGTTTTCGATTGAAAATGGATCAAATCACAACGTCAGACACCAGACGCCTACAGCTGAATCTATGAACAATACATGATAATACACCCGCCCCGGGCTTATAGCAGGCCCTGCTTTTGCAAATCGTAATATACTTTTTCAGGCATAACATTGCCATCGCCATCCTCCATCTGTACCACACTTCCATCGTCGATCTTGCCCTTCTTCTTCTCCTTTTGAAGTCTTTCCCAGAGCTTAACCGCCTGATCAATCTGTGTAATGTCCCTGAAGAGCGTGGTGTTGGTGATGCCGAGACACTTGAGGCCGTAAATATGTCTAGCCTCGTTGAAGTGCTTCTCGAACTCGCGTCGTCCCATGTACACGTACTTTCCGCAGATTTCGCACGGGAATTCCACACCAAGTCCGTGTAGCCTGTACAGCCAGTAAGGAATAGGCTTGCCGTCCCAGCCAAGAGGCAGTTTCAGCGGGTTGTATACGGCTTCGTCGCCATCCTCTTCCTCATCGTCGGCCTCGCCAGCTGGACCTTGTTGTGGCTCCACCGTATTGATAAGACTGTCGAGTTCTTGCTGTCGCTCGTGCTCCGTCATGCCCTGGCGGCGCTCAACGTTGACGCGGGTATCTTCTCGTTCTGTGCTCATAGCAGCCGCCAGACGCTTTGTGCGGAATTCACGCTGGGCAATGGCTCTCTCTTTTAATCTTGTTGCAGATGTCTGAGTACCTGAGCCGCCACTGGCTCCGTTCGCTGATTCCTCCTGTCGCGCTTTGCGCTGTTCCACTGCTTTGACGTGCTTGCGTCCTGTAAGGTGGTTCTTGTACACATTCTCGTTCTTGAAGGACTTTTGGCAATCCTCGCACCAAATGGAATCAGGATCCGCACCATTTTGCCCAGAGCCTTCTGCCGACGGGACAGCATTCTGCCAACCTTCAATCTCATCCTTTGTCCACTGTTCGTCGAAATCGGCATCGAAAGACTCTAATACTTTATCGACATTCTCTAGCGGTCTGATTTTGCGCATAAATGATTCTAGGTAAGTGGCAAGCTCGCCCACGTATTTGAAATATTGGTCTGATAATTTGTCGTTTCGCTTGATCCCGCTGACGCCAGGAGCAAAGTTGTCGAAAGTGTCCAAGTATTGGATATAGTTGATCCGCTTAACGTTGGGCAGGTTGAGATATTCTTCGTGTGAAGTCGTAAGATCAAAGTATCGGCCGAATGCTTCTTCTCCAGAGAAGATTGTGTCGACAATCATGGGGATGTCGCCGTGGTCTGCTGGTCGCTGTCGGTATCTCTGTTCTGAGTTCTCGGCCTGTTCGTTCGGGTACTTGGCGTGATGCTCTCGCACATCCTTCAGCTGTCTGTAAAACTCTTGAAAGGGGTCACCAGTGCCAATTTGCTGAATCTCGGCAGCGCGTGCTCCGCTTTCATCTAGGTAAACGTTTCGAAGGCTCTTGGATTGTGTCTGGATTTGGTCGAGAAGCTGCGATACTTCGTGGTCCCTGTTGAGGCGATTTCGAATCTAACAATCAGTTAGCATACATCATACAAATGCTATTAACGGTTGGGTTTCTGCATACGTTCTTGCGATCATCGCGAAGCCGATCCGCGACGGCTTGCTCGAGGCGCTCGAGGTCCTCATGGAGGTAGCGCTGTTCCTCAAGAACAAGCATTGTGAAGACTGTAGAGAGGGAACAGACAGATTGTCACTCTCACGATATATCACCTTGCAATTTATCAACAAGTGTCTGTCGCCAGTTTCAGTTGCGATGCTTGGCTCCAATAAAAAATTAAGGTGGTCGCGCCGTGACGCTGTGTTAAGGTTAGTGGCGATTTGCGCCAGCGGAAAAAAAGCGCCGGAGTTTTTCCAGGCAGCAAAGCATACCGTCAAAATTTCCCCAAAGTCCAACTGCAGCCAACTAACTCACCAGTCTCAACTCACCGACATCCCAATTCAAACAACTGCATTTTCCATTTGCAAATTAACCAAAATGGCTGAAGGATCTGGTGGTATCGACCGCAAGGCCGAGGAGAAGATGGAGTTTTCCACTTCCAAGGAGGTCACTGTGCACCCAACATTTGAGTCCATGGCCTTGAAAGGTATGCGACAACAGCTTCTTTTTTATTTCATATTTCCTTAGTATACTAACCAAATCGCAGAAAACCTTCTCCGCGGTATCTACGCTTACGGTTACGAATCCCCCTCTGCCGTGCAGTCTCGTGCCATTGTCCAGGTCTGCAAAGGCCGCGACACCATCGCCCAAGCGCAATCCGGTACGGGTAAGACTGCAACCTTCTCGATCAGCATGCTCCAGGTTATCGATACGGCCGTCCGTGAGTCGCAGGCCCTTGTCCTGTCTCCTACTCGAGAACTCGCCACACAAATCCAGTCCGTTGTCATGGCCCTTGGCGACTACATGAATGTGCAGTGCCACGCCTGCATTGGCGGCACCAACGTTGGTGAGGACATTCGCAAGCTCGACTACGGCCAACACATTGTCTCTGGTACCCCTGGCCGTGTTGCCGACATGATTCGTCGCCGCCATCTCCGCACAAGACACATCAAGATGCTCGTCCTCGATGAGGCCGATGAGCTGCTCAACAAGGGTTTTCGCGAGCAAATCTACGATGTGTACCGTCACCTGCCTCCTGCAACTCAAGTTGTTGTTGTCAGTGCCACTCTGCCCTACGATGTGCTCGACATGACGACCAAGTTTATGACGGATCCCGTCCGCATTCTCGTCAAGCGTGACGAGTTGACGCTCGAAGGCCTGAAGCAATACTTTATTGCTGTGGAAAAGGAAGACTGGAAGTTTGATACCCTTTGCGATTTGTACGATACCCTCACCATTACACAAGCCGTTATTTTCTGCAACACCCGCAAGAAGGTCGATTGGCTCACCGACAAGATGCGCGACGCCAACTTCACCGTCAGCAGCATGCACGGCGAGATGCCCCAAAAGGAGCGTGACAGCATTATGCAAGACTTCCGTCAGGGCAACAGCCGTGTCCTCATCTCGACCGATGTCTGGGCCCGTGGTATCGATGTGCAGCAGGTCAGCTTGGTCATCAACTACGATCTGCCTAGCAACCGTGAAAACTACATCCACCGCATTGGCCGCAGTGGTCGCTTTGGCCGCAAGGGTGTTGCCATCAACTTTGTCACCACCGATGATGTCCGTATCCTTCGTGATATCGAATGTAAGTTGTCATTAATACCGAAAGCCTGGAAATATCTTACTAACCCTGGATACCAGTGTACTACTCTACCCAGATCGACGAAATGCCAATGAACGTCGCCGACCTTATCTCTTAAACAAGACGACTCCATCTCAATACTCGTCTTTTGTTTTTAATTACGGCCTTGAAATAGATGGCACAGCAGCAAGCGGAATGCAATAATCGCTTTATATACAGAACGATTTGATAGTGTGGAGGGAAGGGCAAGAATATATTTTGAGGTATGTAACAGCGTACTGCGTCTTGGAAGTTGTACTTCATACTAACAATGCCTTTGGCAGATTACCAGCGAACACCACCATGCCCACGTTCTTACTGTGCCACAATTAACAGCAGCATACTAACCAATCCCACGGCAAACCAGTCGATTATCTAACGAGCGTGGCGACACTGGCCATTCTTTGTTGAGCCGCAACAAAGCGCAATATCACTGAGTCCGTGGTCCTGTCCTTGCACACACTCCGCCGTGAGCTGTATCTCAGCGCACACGTCTGGAAGTGGACTTGTTGCCTTCGGTCGATACCCAACCTTGACGTCGTCGCCATCCTGACACGCCATAATTCGAGCGCTACGCGACGCTTTTGCCTCTTGATACTGCACCATTGGCAGCCCATCAACAACGCCTATACCCATAGGTGACGAGCTGTTGCTACAAGACAGCTGTACATCGCGCACGCCGTGCTTGATCTCCTGTTGAATAAGCAGGGCCGCCGGAACGCCGTGCTCACCTGCGGCGCGTATGACGCTCTGCTCGCCATCGTACCAGAATACCGTCGGGCCTAGGCCTTGTGATGGTGGCACCAGCTGGAGACCTTGGCCGCAGCCGTCTGGGCGGATATAAACCTGCCAGTTGTAAATCCTGCGGCCAAACTCGTGTCGATTGCGAACTTCGACATATGCCCGTAGCGTAAAGTCGGTAGCAACGTCCATTTGTGTCTTTGGCGGCGGCAACAGCTGCGCTTGTGCGCCGAGAAGACAGACGCAAATGATGAAAATTGATTGTAAATACATTTTAATCGTCGTTTTCTTGTGAAAATGCAAGTCTTCGTGGAGATTAAGTCCCAAAACAGGGCGTTGTGAAGTTTGGAATGTTGAATGTCGTGCTTATACCGCGTCGTACCCTGCAGTTCATCTTTGAGATCACGGCCAGTACAGATGCGGTCCAATCTACATGGGGAAGAATACCCGGCTCTATTTTAACCATCACATTAAATTATTAAGTCTTTGTGTTAATTAAAAATTTGCTTTTCCATTTTATGAAAAGGTTGTTTAGATGTACATTGTCCATCCACTAAAGCTAGAGCTAAACTTTTTTAGTGCCGCCCAAAAGGTATTAAACCAACAAACAAAAATAAACAGACAAAACCGAAAATCAAAACTTTCATAGGCAAATAAGCTTTCAACATCGTAGTTTATGAAACCTCCTGAAGCTCCTTGGTGATGGAGCGTAGGGGGCGGGAGTGGTCGTGACCCTCGTGATCTTCATCATCGTCCTCAGGCCAGTCGGGGAAGCCGTCGTCAAAGAGCTCCTCAAGCTCGTCTTTCTTCTCATCATCGTTCAAGTTCTCGTCTCTCATCACAGACTGCCACTGCTCAAACTCCTCGTCGTTGAGCAAGCACGAGTCAAGCAGGGTTTCGACGCCCTCGTGGTCAAGTTTCTCGCCAATAAAGACGAGTTCCTGGCGACGGTCACCCCATTCACCGCCCTTGGCAATGTCGTGCTGGACAAGGGAGTCGACCTCAGGGTCGCCAGTGGTGTATTCCTCAGCGGGGATGGTGCAGAACCAAGGACGGCCACCAGTCATGGTGAGCATAGCACCGGCCTGGGACCAGTCGCCAGCACGGCCGGGACGGGTAGCAAGGTAGAACTCGCCCTTGGAGCGGAAGAGGCGCCTGAAGGTAGGGTGGGCACGCTTGTTGGCAAGGATAGTAGCGTTGTCGGGGGCATCGAGCTGGTCGACCTCCATGCCATCGTCCTTGTGGGCGTTGGGGGAGGGGACAGTGTTGGCGGTAGAGCCGGAGCTCTTGGGGGAGCCGGCGCTGCCACTGCCGCTGTTGGAGCTGTCGTCGTCAATCTCCATCTCGTTGCTCTGCTCGAGGCCTTCCATGGCATCATCGTCATCGTCATCGTCATCGTCACCGTCATCGCCGTGCTCGAGCTGCAGGATGAACTTGTCAAAGAGCAGCTTGTAGAGACGGGTGGGGTGGAAGGGGCGGTAGCGGGTGTAAATGCAGCTCTGGACGTTGTACTCCTCAGTCTCGGGCTTGGGGGTGACGACGTTGCGGCCGTTGACCTCACGGACGGTCATGGCATGCAAGTCCTGGAGCCAGCCGTAGCCGGCCTGGGCAACGTCGAGCTTGAAGAGGCCGGTGTTGACAATCTCCTTGGCGTCGACCTTGCCGTAGTTGGTCTCGATGATCTTGGCACGATGGTTGAGCTTCTTGACAAGGGCTCTAATCTCACCACGGGTCTCCTCGGTAAGCTATGGCGGTGTTAGTTGACTACTCAATGGAATAATGAGATATTAATACATACCATGTCGATCTTGTTAAGGACAATAATGTCAGCAAACTCAATTTGGTCAACCATGAGGTCGGAGACGGTTCTCTCATCCTCAGGAGTGACATCGTCACGGCGAGCAGAAATCAAGTCGGCGGTGTCAAAGTCGTTGAGCATGGTGAAACTGTCAATGACGGTGACAGTGGTGTCAAGGCGAGCGAACTTCTCAAGACCACCAGCTTCCTTACTATTTGTTTATTAGTAACTGATGATATCAAGTCGTCTGTTGGGGTGTTTGACTTACAGCTGGTTGAGGACCTTGACCATGGAAGGGTCGAGTCCCTGCTCGGGGCCGACGTCGGCAAACATGCCCATCTGCTCAGCAAGACGGGCATCGAAGGTCTCAGCAACCTGCTCAGGCTCACTGATCCCACTGCTCTCGATGATGATGTAGTCAAACTCCTGCAGCTGGGCGAGGCGGACGAGTTCCTCGAGCAAGTCACCACGGAGGGTGCAGCAGATGCAGCCGTTCTGGAGGGCAATGACCTTCTCATCGGTCTTTGTGAGGTGGTGGGTCTTCTTGATCAAAGAAGCATCAACGTTGATACTAAGTAGGTATGTTAGAGTATGATTCGATGTAAAATGTGAAAATTGTATAAACGTACGCGCCAATGTCGTTGACGACGACGGCGATGCGCAGGCCGTGCTCAACTCTGAGAATGTGCTGAAGAAGGGTGGTCTTGCCGGAACCCTGTAAGAACGAAACGAGATTAGCAATGTTGCTCATTACTAGACATGGTATATTTTGTCTTACCAAGAAACCAGACAAGAGAGTGACAGGGAGGGCCTTGGGAGGCACGCCAGCGGCCTTGGTAGCCTTCTTAGGCTTGCCGTTGCCCTTGCTTAGTCTAGAGAACTTGCCCATTGTGAAAGATATGATACCAAAAGAAGTAGAAGAAGAAAGATGAGTAGGAAAGGGAAAAGTTCCAAAAAGCTTCGAGTCAACCGGATACGGCAGGCCCAGTAGAATATATACTGCCTAACATATTCGTGTGCGCCAGGCCGGCAGTGCGGCGCACGCACAAAAATAACGTCACTAACCCACGCCAAAAACTCTCCTCCATTGCCTACAACGACTCGTGATAGTAGCCCAAGCATATCACAAATGTAATAGTTCTCAATGGCTGCAGGGTCATCAAGGTGGCCCCAAACCGCTAACCATCAGGGTGGACGATTCGAGGATAAGTGGTTCCAGACGTCTCCACGATCCCCAAATATTACAATACAAGCGCTACTATTGGACAGAACGATGCCCACTATCTCAATCAGGACGAGGTTACCTGCTTGCTTGCAGAGGCAAATCCTGTCTGGCGCGCCCGAGGTGGCTATTAGGGTTCTCTTGAGGGCTGGCGCCGACGCCGCCCTGGAGACCGCGCGATGAGCCCAAGGACGGCCGCGCATTGTCAGGAATCGATGGCAGAGACCTGGAGCAGACGTTCAGTAGAGACAAGACGTGCTGACCATCGTGTAAGTAAGCATCTCGGGGTCGTCAGCGAAGGCGGCGCGACGGCAGGTTTTTATAGCCAGAGGGAGGGATGAGGCTGGAGAACCTCAATGGCCGAGACCGTGGCCGTGTCATGCCACCTCACCCTTTAGCCAGAACGTGCTCAACAAAAAACGTAGAGACAGAGAGGACTCACTTGACTGTGCCCGCTTGCAGACGTAATGCAAGCGGCTGTTGCGCCTGGTTCGGCTGGCGTGCGCTGTTACTGCTGTCTCAAATATGTGAAATGAATGTGTCGCGGCGTAGACGATGAATAGAAAGATAACTTTCGAGTTGTTTTGGTAATCTATATGTCGCTTTTCTAGTTTAAATACCCCATTTTGCCGTTTAAAGACCACCCTTGGCCTTGAGGTCCTCATGAGCACGCTTCTGCTTGTCCCACAACTTCTTGAGCGACTTGAGTTGGCTCTTGGGAACATCGCTGCCGTCCTTCATCTTGGTGGGCATTCCTTGCTCGTCCCACTCTGCGTATCTCTCGTCTGCCTTGAACATCTCCTCGGGTGGCACCTTGGCCTTCTCGCGAGCCTCTGCCGCCGCCTTTTCTTGCGCAAGTCGCGCTTCTTCCTTTCTCTTGACCTTTTCGGCCTCACGGGCGGCCTTTTCGTCGCGGGCAGCAATCAACTCGGCTGCCGGAACAAATTTGATCAGCGATGGCTGGTTATCGGGTCTGTCATCGAGATACACTCCCAGGTTGGTGAAGTCGTAATCACGAATACGGTCAGTCAGACCAAGAATGGCCTTCTTAACATCAGGAGCCTGAGTAGAAACGATACGACGGAGCTCATCACGTAGCTGAGCAATCACGCGGAGGTAGGGCAACGAAAGCTGCTCAATATCGCGGGAGCCGCCCTTCTCGATCTCCTCGAATTCGGCTACAGGGTCCTTAGAAGCGAGCGACGCCAATACGTCATTCTCGATCTTCAAGTTGGTTACGTCTTGCTGAACTCGCTTCATCATAGATGCATACGGCTCGACTGCCACCTTTGTGTCTACATCGGCGCCAAGGGTGGAGGCCCAGCCAAGGCCGTCATAGGGTGCAGTGGCATTGGCATCAAGGCCAAAGATGCCAACAAGCTTGGTAATCCATCTGGCAATGGCCTCTACTTCAGCCAGATTGGCGTCCTTGTTGTCCTTGAGGTAGCTGTTGGTGACGTTGACAAGTTTGAGAATAACCTGCATAGCACGAGGCGTATCAAAGGAGTTGCAGAGTGCAGCGTTAACGTCTTGCTTGGCTTGCTCGAGTTCCTTGAGTAGCACCGAGTCGGTGTTGGAAGCATCCAGCGACAGCGATGCTACGCCACTTTGAAGTCCAGATTCAGCCAACCATGACTTGGTGTTTGTGAAGAGGTTGCTGACTGTGCTTTCCCAGCTGGCAGCCTGAGCAATCATATCGGGCGAAATTTCGATACCGTCGAACCATTTGCCAAGCAGGAAGACGATACGCATGCTTCGTGCTGTAAATGTGGTATCAAGGGCATCCTGGATAGTCAAGAAGTTCTTCAGCGACTTGGACATCTTTGAGCCTGCAATGTGTAGGTGACCAGTGTGTAAGAAGTACTTGACCCAAGTGTGCTCTCCCTTTGCGGCGTCGCAGTAGTAAGCCTCACTCTGAGCCAGCTCATTGTCGTGATGAGGGAAAGCCAAATCAATACCACCAGAGTGGATATCCATCTGCTCGCCAAAGATATCAGAAGCCATGACAGAGCACTCAATGTGCCATCCTGGGCGACCTTCACCCCAAGGGCTAGGCCAGTATGGCTCACCAGACTTCGATTTCTTCCAAATGGCGAAATCACCGGGCGATCGCTTTCCGCCAAGGTTGGTAGACAAGGCACCCTCACCCTCGTCCTGGAGGGATTTGTCGTTCTTTGAGTCAGGTCGCAATCTAGCATATGTGTTGCCTGCCCTTTCGAAAGCAACGATGTCAAAGTAAACAGAACCGTCGGCTTCGTAAGCAAAGCCCTTCTCGACAATGCGCTCCACAAACTTGACAATTTGAGGAACGTATTCCGTAACTCTGGTAATAATAGTAGGACGAAGAACATTCAAGTTGTCCATATCCTGAAGGAAAAGTAGCTCCATTGCCTTAGTGAGATCGGTAAACATAGTCTGGTCGCTGGTGTCGACGGTTTCTTTGTAGAGAGAGTCCAAGTAAGGCAGAAGGACCTCATCGGATCCTGGGAAGATGGCACCGGCAGAGATGGCCTCTGCAGCAGCGTCCATGTTGGCGACGTGCATCTTAACCTTGGCTTCGGCATCGCTAGGCTTGCCTTCACCAGTAATAGTTCCTCCGGTCAGCACGCGACCATAGGCAGCATCGCGCTTCTCCTTGTAGTTGGCTTCGGTTAACTGGACACCGTCTTGTACCAGAAGAGGCAGACTCTTCTCAGCGTATTGTTGGAAAGCATCGAGGGCGAGCTTCTTGAGCTCTTCGGGGGTATATGTTTTCTTCTTTTCGACTTCGAGCAAACGCTGGCGACGGGCCTTGAGGATAATCTGTGTTGCCGTGTGTTAGTGACTGAATCCTAGCAATAATCTAGGAATCTCTAACCTTGTCGTCAATATCCGTCATGTTCATGACATAGTTGACCTTGTATCCAAAGTGATGCATCAAGATGCGGCGGATGACATCTGAAGTGACGTAGTTGCGAGCGTGGCCCAAGTGACTCTTGTCGTAGACGGTAGGACCGCAAACATACCAGTCAATCTTGCCATCTTCCTTGGGAACAAAAGGCACAGGCCCTCCTGGTTGTAGCGAGTTGTGCAGCTGCAATGACGCCATGGTTGTGGTTGAAGATAGCCTTCGAAATGCGACGGAACGGAATGGAGTGGAGATGCGAACGTTAGAATGCAGAAAGCGAGCTAGATGCATTCAGAAACTCGATCGAAAATCCGGGGATAAGGTCACAATATAACGATCGACCGTTGAGTCGAGTAGCAGTCGAGGGCGTCGTCGCAGAGCAGAGTCACCTTGAGTCACCGGCGAGGGGGTCCGAGATGTGCGGCTGTTGGAAGACCAATCTGACGCAATTTAAATTCGGCGATGATGGCAATGGGTGATTGTCCGGCGTGAGAGACTCAGTCCGATAATCGGATTGGTGTTTATTGGTGGTTTGGTGTTGCGGTGACTCCTCCTTTTACTTGTGTTGTTCAAAGGGAAATGAAGGTGTCTTGCGCCAACCAAAAAAAGGCCAGCGCATCGGAACCCCGCCGTTTTCTGCCGCTGCTGCTCACTGAAGCCCCTCGCCTAGCAGCCCAAAGCTCCCTGTTTTTTTACTGGTGTTGGCGCCTGATAATCGCTGTAGTGGGGTCCAGTTACCACGTTACCGCTTTCCTTTTACAGCACCTCTCTTTTTTCTATAGTGGCCGACTAGTATTTTTTTCTTGTCTGTAAAAGTGGCTAGTGACTCTCTATTGCTTGCTGAAACTTGACAACACAACCGAGTACATCTGCATTTATTGCTGTAGCGAATTGAGTTAGCCAATTTGACGCCAAACGAATCTCTGCAGCTATGGCTTCGGAAATTTCATCATTCCTTTTACCGGGCGACCGATCCAAGGCTGGCCAGCTCGCCATTGTCAGTCTTGCGCGCGACGATTTTGCTGCCATCAACCTCGATAATTCAACCGGAGCAGTCGATGGATATGCCGAGGGAGCAGTATTAAACACAAGATTCGGATCATTCCCACATTCGACCCTCCTCAATGTCCCTTGGGGCTCTCAGGTGCGGGCATCGACCGTCGACACTGGCTCGCGAGGCAGAAAGAGACGTCTTGATGCGACCGACGATGACACGCCTGCTGCTAGCCAGGATGAAATTGAAAAGTCAGACAAGCAAGCTCCTGCGAAGAAGGCCGTTGTCGCGTCTAGCGGTTTCGTATATCTGCTGCGGCCATCACCAGAGCTCTGGACAAGCAGCTTGCCGCATCGAACGCAAGTTGTATACACTCCCGACTACAGCTACGTGCTACAGCGCATTCAAGCACGACCTGGAACGAGAATAATCGAGGCTGGAGCAGGCAGTGGAAGTTTTACGCACGCATCAGTTCGAGCTGTGTGGAACGGCAACCCTGTCAGCGATGAGGACGTCAAGGGCAAGGTTTTTAGCTTTGAATACGATGAGATCAGATACCACAAGATGAAGGAGGAAATCAAGGAGCACAGTCTGAACAGCATGGTACACATCACACATAGAGATGTTTACAGAGACGGCTTCAATGTCGACGGAAAATCTCCCAAAGCAACGGCCATCTTCCTGGACTTACCTGCCCCATGGAAAGCTCTTCACCACTTGTCACGGCAGAGAGTAACGGCTGACGAGCAAAGCGGCTCTGATGATGGAAGGGAATGGGTATCTCCGCTGGACCCTAACCAGAGCGTACACATTTGCACCTTCTCACCGTGCATTGAGCAGGTCAGCCGTACAGTGACGGAGCTGAGAAAGCTCGGCTGGATCAATGTCTCCATGGTGGAAATTTCGAATAAAAAGTTCAACGTCAGCCGCGAAAGAGTAGGCATTGATTTGCCTAATGATCGAGGCAACACGCAGAGTCCTGCCGATGTCACGGAAGCTATTGCCAAACTCCAAAAAGTTAGCAAGCGCAGTCAGGAATTCCACAAGTTGCAAGCGCAGCAGAATGCCAAGAACGGCGTCTCCAGCGAGATGGAAATCGATACACCGGAAACCACCAGCAAGAACCCGTCGCCGCCCCGCGAGCTCGAGAAGCAGTGGCTGTCTGGTAAGCTGGTGACTCGCCCGGAGGCCGATCTCAAGACGCACACGTCATATCTAGTCTTTGCTGTTCTGCCACGTGAATGGAGCGAGGAGCAAGAGGCTGCCGCACTGGCTAAATGGCCTTGCGGAGAGGAAAAGGGCACGATTGGCAATGTTACCAAGGCGGCTCGTAAGGAAGAGAAGCGGCGCCTGCTGCAGCCCAAGAAGAGAAGAACCGAAGGCAACGATACCCAATAGAGACAACATTAAACCTGTACATATATGAAAACCAATGCACTGTATTTAATAGATGAATCTCAAGCGCCCAGAATTTTATTTCAATTAATTTCATCACCAGTAGTTCGTACAAATGCACAACTCGCTGCAGCGCATCGAGGCTGTAAGTGACTGTTAGAGCGCCGGAAGCCGGAGAAACCCCAGCCCCGCAATAAACGATGCGGCGCGACAGCTTCGAGAGCCACCAAAATTCAAGCAGCGAAGAAGATCTCCAACTTGCACTGCAAACCACAACACAATTCATCGCCACCATGACTTCCAGAATCGGTATTCCCATCAAGCTGCTCAATGAGGCTCAGGTATGGCATCCACTAACAAAAAGCGCTGCTTCACCGCCCTTGACGACCGCCAACTAACCGCTTTCTTCACAGGGCCACATCATTACCCTCGAAATCACTTCGGGCCAAACGTACCGCGGCAAGCTCCTAGAAGGTAATTACAGTTTCCTATGCCGTGAAGCCTTGTCGTTTCAATAGCGCAGACATCCAATGCCCTGCACCGTATCATGGTTGTTGAGCCGATAGCTAACCTTGGTTTCGCAGCCGAGGACAACATGAACGTCCAGCTCAAGGACATTACCGTTACCGCGCGCGACGGCCGCGTCTCGCATCTCGACCAAGTGTACATCCGCGGCTCCCACGTCCGATTCTTCATCGTCCCCGATATGTTGCGCAACGCGCCCATGTTCAAGAACCACAACGTCCGCGGCCGTGGTGTCGGTATGGCCAGAGGTCGCGCGACCGTTTCCCGCGCTAGAGCTGGTGGCCGTGGCGGCCGATAAGCGAAGAAAAAAACGAAGAAAATTGGAAAAGCAACATGTTGGATGCGGCGAGTGTGTTTAGATTTTATCTGACGGACTTGGTCGGCCTGAAAACTGGCGCATAAAACACTTTTGGGGCTCAATCACGGCGTTTCACGGTTATGGATTTTGCTGTTACTTTTTTTTATTGAAAATTATTTGATGAGGGGTTTTGTTTGGCTGAGCATGGAGCTGTCGGCTGGCAACCCATGGATCTAGATTATTATTGTATAGAATAAAATACATCCTGGTCCAAAGATTACTATACCCATTGTGAGTGTAGAGGTTACGGAGGGCAACTTGATAGACGATGGGAACAGAAATGAGAATGCGTTCATGAAAATGTGTCTAACTTTTACATAGTATTCTATCGTACAATGCGGCGTAGCTTTACTTCATCTTGGATAAAGCATCGCTTGCCTTTTCCACCAGCTCCTTGGCCGCGCTGATATCGGCGGCAAGGTGTTCGGGAATCTCAGCATCCGATGAAAGAGCCTTGATAACACTCTGTTCAGTGCCTCTGACGGCCTTGCGTCCTTCTTCACGGACTTCACCCTCCCAGTATTCTCTCGCAGCCTCCCACTTCTTTTGCATGCGACCGAGGCCGTAGACGATACCCAGCGCTGCAACAGCTCCAACCTCGTAGAAGGTGGTGGAAAAGGACGAAACATACAGCAGTCCTGCAAGCGTAGCTGATATGGTCGAGGTGCCAAGGGATTGGACAACCAGTCTCTGGGCTAGAGCTTGCAGCGCGGGAATGGTTTCGTCCTTCAGATATCTGCGCGTAAAGCCAATATGGCCGGGCCATCTAGGCAGGCTTTTCGGCGCAAGCGGTGCTAGAGCACGGTCGGTAGGTTCCTTGGAGCTTTGAGATGTCTCGGAGACTGGCTGGCTATAGAGCGGGACGCTGCCTCGCTGCTCAGCGATACGTCCGGCGAGATGTATGAGGTTGTTCTCCGACGTGGGTAAGAAGCGCTGGCTTAGGATATCATTTGTGAGCATTCCAACGTCATCTACCCTCCAGAAGAGTTTCCACCATCCAAGCTTGCGCCATCTGCGGCCAGCGAAAGCCTTGTCCATCTCGCTTTGAAGCTCAGCGTGGGCTGCGCGGGACCAGTCTGATAGGCCGGCTTCCATGGCTGCTGTGACGGCATCGCTCATCTTGGGAGCGTCAATCATGGCCTCAAGTTCCGCTTCTTGTTCCTTCACAGACGCGTTTGCACTCTCTACCAGTGATGTGAGAAGGTGCTTCATGGCGGGCTTGGTTTGGCGGTCTGGGCTGGCGGAGCTCTGTCGCAGCCATGTTGTAATAGCTGGGAGATTGCTAGCAAACCAGAGCTTTTCATATTGCACGGCATTCTGAGGCCCTTGGCGGAATAGCCGGACAGCCTCTTGCGCCTGTGTCACATCCACCACCTTGAAGTGGCCGTGTAGTTGGTCTGTGGTAATTTTGGGCATATCCACTGCACCAATTATCGATTGACTGAGATGTTCGATTGGTAGATTGGCGAGCTGGACTGCGCCTCCAAAATTCTCGCCAACAACAATAGCTTGATGAACGGGCGTAGTCATGGGCGAGACGCGGTCCTGGGCTGAGGCGATATCGACAGACGGGACGAGGATAGCTTCTTCCACTGCTGAGTCGGCTCCGGCTTGTGAAGGTGATGCGACGGCGTTTACGTTCAAGACGAGGAATTCGAGATTCAAGTTGTTGAACTGTGGCGATGAAATGTGAAGCTCTTCGACAGGGTTGTGGCGCGCGAATTCGAGAGTTGAACCGTAGGAGCCAGTCGGTCCGACACGCACCACGAGCGGTACATTGGGGTCGTAACCATCCAATTGTGTCTCCCAGGGCTGCTCATCGGTAAGAGGATCTGAAAGAATGGCTCGGAGAAGCTTGCGGGCAACGATTGTGGTGTCGCCTAGGCCCAGCACAGCGATGCGGATAATCTCTTGCCCCGCGGGCTTTTGGAGACCCTGCAACGCCAATTGAAGTCTGGATAGGTTCATGGCATTGGGTAGATGCTTATTGAGCTGGTTCAATGCATTCTGAAGCTCCAGTCGCGCGTCTTTCGATGTGCTCTCGTATCTCGAGGACGGCATCGTTTTGCGCGCAAGGAGGGTCGGTCGAGCTGGCGACGCAGCCACGGTGCATTTCGGGCATGATTGGGCTGCTCGTCGGGTCGCAGCCCTCGAAATGGCCCTCATCTGACCACTTTGTCCGAGCAAAGGACGCTGTGGTGCCATGGTGATGGATGCCGTCGAGGGGTTGAAGTGTGTGAGTGCTTGGGTCAGGTGCGGGAGCTACGGTGCGGAAGTTTAGTGGGTACTTGGCTGCCTGTAATCTTTTTGCATGGCAGCGAGCGGTAGAGCTGCGGTAGTAGCAGGGCACTGCACTGAAGCAGGGTACCTGTAAACAGCAGCATTGACTGATAGAAGATTTCTAGAAATAATTCCCTTAATATTAGGAATATTAACTGAATTGGATTTATTTAACCAAATACAAAGAAAATCATACTCTTGGTGCGCGGCCTTTGACCGTTCCGTAAGCGCCATTGCTATTAGCCAACTACCGCCTGTATACCGTAACTAAACCCTCCAGTTGTCACAAAACCCCGAGGGCGATATTTATCGGCCCAAATAAATCTTCTATCTGATCGCCAAAATAAACTTATTTCCGAAATGATCTTCACCACAAACCCTTCCCGTCCTGGCGTTTTTGCGGCGAAGCCATCAGCCTAACGTGGCGCAGCGACCTGTGCCTGGGGCGAGGCTCACAGCACTGACGTCAGGGCTCTCCAACGTCTGTTGTTTAGCGCGTGCAGGGCTGTGGACCAGTGCTGGACGAGGCTCTGTAGCGGGGCGTTACAGCGGGGTCCGGGCGTCCCATGTGGCACCCTGATGACGATGCTGCGCAGCGGCAAACGGGCGTCCTCTGAGCTTTGTCTCTTTTATTTAAAACGGCGGGGGTCCGTCCCCCCAAAAGATTAACATCTACACAAATATCATACTCTCAACAACCGTTTTTGAGAAGCTTCATACATATAAACACATCATCATGACAGACGTCGAAACAAAGATCAAGCAGGCCGCTGCTACAAATGCCGAGCTGCTCACCATCTTAGCCAACACCGAACACGCTATCCCAACCGCTGAGGAACACGATCGCCTCATTGCCGATCTCCAACAGCAGATAGCCGAGACAGAAAAGAAGAAGAAGAATGTCGAGCGTAAGAAAAACATTACGCAAGAACAACACGAAAAGTACAGAGACAGCCGTGTTAAGCGCTTCCTCTACAAAGCCACGGGCAAGAAGGAGCGCTACCAAGAAAAAGCTTCCGCAGAAGAACAGAAGCATTTTGCCATGATTCAAGAGCTTCGTGATACAGAAGATGTTCTTGCCAGTCTCGTCTCCCACCTTGGAGGCACAGTCGAAGTAAAGCCTTCTCTCGACGCAGAGGCCAAGAAGCATAAGGACGCGGAGATCCGACTAGAAGATCTCTACAACTCCATCTTTAGCGGGCCAACACCATCCTTCCCCGAAGAAGATGTAGCCGAGCAGCGCTACATTGAGAGCTCAAAAGCCTACCGCCAGGCGAAGATGGACGAACAAAAGGAGAGCACGTGTGCCACGCTTCTCGGTGAGGCAAAGCGCCAGATGAGCAAGGCATTCCAAGAGATTGACCGCGCTCTACAGTATTCCCGAGCCGACATGTTTGGTGGAGGCATGATGATGGATATGATGGAGCGTAACCATCTCTCCGAGTGCCAGCGCTGGTACAGCGAGTCCCAAATCACCGTCACCCGCGCCCAGAACGCTTCTCCAATGGTCGGCGCCATGCCCCAAGTCTACATCAACACGGGCAATATCATGACCGATGTCTTTTTCGACAACATCTTTACTGATATGGCCTTCCACAAGGAAATCAAGAGAGCCCGTGGCGAGATGGACAGGTTATGGGGTGCTCTGACGCATGAGCTCGCAGCATCCATCTCGCGCAGAGATGCACTCCGAGGCAATGCTACTCTCGCTGAACAGGCCGTTGCCAGTGCCAGAGAAATTCTCCAAGTGGAGAGATCAAAGATCTTTGACCAGGTGCTACGATCGACAGGCGATGCTAAGCTCATAGACTTGGCTGGCCGTGGACTACACACTGATGCGAAGAATGCAGATGATAGAGCCGGCGAGGATCTGCCGCCATACTCGGGCTAATAGAGACGAATTGTTATAAAAGCAGTGGGCGGCCGGATTTCTTTCCTTTGTTATTTATATACCCCAGTTTCAATGTACAACATAGCTAGCTTTTTAATGAATCTAAAAAGATAAAACAATACCACAATTTCACGTCTATAACTCTTGACAATCTTGCCAAATTTACGTAGGATATCCTTAGCTTTGAGAACAGCGCTGAAACGACAACTCTACTGCATCATAGCAGCTGCATAGTCTGCTACCAACATCTGATTTTGAAGCCATGCGTTTGGCGTCCTCCTTCTGTGGGTGAACTGCTGCCTACCCAAGAGGCTACATCATTTCTTCATGTGAATATTCATAAATAGCTTCGAGGAAAGTACGCCTTGCCATTAATGCAGCCGCCCGTGATCGACTGCCGCCGGCCGTTAATACCAGCCCGCAGCCTTGTTGGACGTATATGCAAGTAACAGCAAACGGTGTGAGTGGAACCCAGCACTTTGCCGCAATCTAGGCCGTATTTCTTGTTTCAAATGAATTGATACCTACAGAATGACCACAAGAAGATGTCACTGTTGTTGGAGAGGCCGCCTGCAATTACCAGGCGTTAATGTAGGTCAGTTGGTCTGGCGACCCCATGAAACTAGGAGTGCATTGTTGGTTGGTAAAAATAGAAATAGTAAACCCAGAGGTTGTAGGAGTGTTGTCCATTACTATGTTTGTTATTCAACAAAAGAAATACTAAACATATAGTTGCTGCGTGTTCTCGTACAGAAAGTAGAATTCGGGACAACCCCAGCTGTAATTTCATACTAGTACCATAATTCAAAGTAAATATATAGTTAACTTATATAATGTAAGAAATCTATTTAAAAACAAAACAAAACAAAACAACAGCCATCATTGCACATCACTAATGTCTCCCGGTCAATTCACGCGCGTGGCCTCTGGCCTAGCGGGAGTCATGATGTTCGCTTCCGAGTAATTCCGGTGGATGACCCCTCTCCATTATCAACATCATCCCTTCTTTTTCCTTTTATTGAAGTTAACGTAGACTTAGCCTGAAGCTGGCGAGGAGTTCTGTCAGTAGGAAGTAGTGCCTGGGGGTTTCGCAGTGATGGGCTACTCCCATTCACAGCTTCCACAGTCCCGGACTGTCGTTCTCCTTGAATTTGCCTCGTTCGCTCTTGGTTTTTGCCGATGGTGTGGTGCTCACGTCGAGTGCCACTCATATCGGTAGGATTCTCCACTGACTGGACTATATGTACTTGACGATTTTCTCGAGCATGGGAAGACGGGTCTTCATCGCGCGTCAATGCCCGTCGAGAAGATGCCTCGGCGAGGCCAATCATGTCAGAACTGCGTTGAATGTCGGCGGTAATATTTTGGCACTCCAACCTTGCTCCAGCTTCATTGTTGGCCCATAGTTTAGGCCCTTTCCGGCGGTCTGCCTTCCCCCCCAAATAGCGCTTTACCACTGAATTCTTCCAAAGACGGTCTATAACTGTTCTAAGCTGTGATTTTGTCTTTTCTTGTGCATAGAACACTGTGTATTGTTCTAAAGTGATCGCATCTGGTATTTTCTGCTTGTAGCATTCCAGAAGGAACTTTTCATGGTCTTGCGGGACTTGAGCCCACACCCGAGTCCTGCTTGGTATCTTCTTTGGCTTGTTTGTTGAAGTTGAAGGCGCGGTGACTGGAGTGGTTACAACTGGAACTTGTTCTGGTGTCAATGGCCGTTGAATAGTCCTGGTTGCTGAGCTCATAAGTGGCTCCGAAGCTCCCTCCTGCATTGCAGCATCAATCAGTTGAACCTGTGGTTCAGGCGTGAGATAGGCGTTACCGCTGGCAGATCCAATAGATCCCAGGCTCTGCCTCTCTTCACTGTTGTGAATACATCCACAACTCCCAAACCATAGCTCATTCAAAACAGTAAGAATGTGCTTGCGAAATGTGCAACTCTTGACGCATAAGCTGCGGGTCAATCTACTCAAGTCATAGTGTAGATGTTGACTTGTGTCGCGGATCTTGTCAAGTGCGAGGAGAAACACGCAACCGACATCCTTTTGATAAAACGTAGTGTTTGCTATTTGGTAGTACAAACATAACTTCGTGCAGTTTGTCGCCGCTCCCTCGAAGTTGCTCGATAAAAGATCATCTTCGTAGCTGATGAAACTCTTCAGCAAGTGTCGACCCAAGCAGGTGATTTTGGAGGTCGATACCTTGCACACTATTAGTATTATAATTGGCTGTGTAAGGGGAAATTGTTGGGTGACTTTAGCACTTACAAAACTTGTTGGCATTTTAACTGTATATGTATGGATCAATTGACGCGAACGAAAGTTATCCAGCTAATTGCCCATTTGGTAGCAGGGTGAAAATTAGGCATATTTATATATACATGACCTTCCTAAGTTTATCAGTATTACTGCCTACACACCATTTCAAAAAGAAATTCAAACAAGTCTAGACACTTCACGAGGCGGCCTCCAGGCGCGTGCGGGTGGTATTGCAGGCGCCACATGCTGCGCTAAAGGTACAGCCGCACAGCCTGACTGTCGTTGGCCGTCTAGATCCAATAATGATGTAAATGGCCCCAAGGAGATGAGACAAGGACACTAGCTGTAAAGCGCGCGCATATGCAATGTGCAGGAAATGATGCGGCCCATGGTCACGCACGTTTCATGGCCTTCGGACAAGGCGAAGTTGAGCAAGTACTGCGAAGGCAGTATGTTTTTGGGTGTGAAGCCGCGTAAGCTTCTCTCTATAGTATAACAAATCTACGAGATGGGAATGAACCATCTTAGGTATGTCAGCCTCAACCAGGCGGACTCGCCGGTATGGTGTGCTCGCCGTGTCAGCGACTCCTTACTCCAGACAACGCGACTATGTTGTAAGTGATGTGGAAGGTGAATAAATCTACATTCACAAAATACATCCGTAAACTTGGAATATTTTCTAAAACAACATGCAGGCCAAAGTTATTGGCTAACTCTAGCACTTACATTCATCTAAGCTATTTGACACTATATAAATAATACCCAACTAAAATAAAAACAATATACAAAAATATATTGCATTAAGAACATTCAAGGCTTTAAATTAAACTATATATATAATATCCCATGTATTGAAAAACAAGAAACTTACTTGCTTTTTGAGGAGACTATGATTACACGCCAATGTCTTGTTTGGCGTGGCCTAGGCTTTCACTATAGTACCTACCCCACCAAAGACGCCAACCTCACGGACGGTTACCACCACATCATCACCAATCGAGCCCTTCGTTGCATAAACAACACACATACGCCTCTACAGTTGCTACAATGCCGCCTATACCATCTCCAAATATTCCCTTGCCACGCCTCATAACATATTACCAGACACATCATGACAAGGACGGCAAATCAATCTCTGTCCTGCCCCTCCTCATGCAGCCAGACATTTCCATGACTCATGTTATAGTTGCTGCTATACATTTAAACGGCGACCCAAACGGAATAACACTGAACGATCACAGTCCTAATGACCCTCGCTTTCAGACGCTGTGGGCAGAGCTTCGCATTCTGCAGGCGGGCGGCATCAAGGTCATGGGCATGCTCGGCGGTGCCGCCAAGGGCTCCTATGAACGCTTGGACGGCGACGATGCCCAATTTGAGCGCTACTACGTACCGTTAAAAGAGTTGGTAGTAGCTCGCGGCTTAGACGGTCTGGATCTCGATGTCGAAGAGGAAATGTCGCTGGCGGGGGTCAGTCGTCTGATTGATCGCCTCCGTGCTGACTTTGGCAAAGAGTTCATCATTACATTGGCTCCAGTGGCCGCTGCCATGATCGACATGACTGCCAATCTTAGCGGTTTCGACTATGAAGCTCTTGAGGTTATGAGAGGCCGTGAGATTGCCTGGTACAACACGCAATTCTACTGCGGCTGGGGCGATTTTTCCAATCCGCTCATGTACGATGTGATGGTTCGCAAGGGATGGAATCCCAGCAAGATTGTCGTGGGCTTGGTGACAAATCCAGCTAATGGCCCTGGATTCGTTGGCTGGAATGCCTTGACAGACACGCTGAGAATACTTACTGCTCGATATCCTGGTTTCGGCGGTGTAATGGGCTGGGAATATTTCAACAGCCTTCCCGGAGAAAACGCACGGCCATGGGAATGGGGAAGAGAACTGACATCAAGGATAAGATCACATTGTTTGCAGCCTATTCAACCCCCTGCTCCTCCGCCAGCGCCTGTGCCTGCACCTGTACCAGCAGCGGTCGAGGCCGTGGGCGGTCAAACTCAAAGTGTTGCTGTAGAGGAGATGGACCCAGACGCAGAGAGCGGTGCACCAGCACCAGTACCCAATGCTTTCCAATACTTTTCAGACAATGAGCATTAGAATACACCTTAATATAGAATACTTGACTTTATTTGCAGTACTGTTTGACACTTATTAGTGAGCTATACGTCCGTCAATATCACTTCTTGTTCCTCTTCAAACCACATGGCCAACACAAAACCCAGCAAACATTTCCTTCCTCATAACTTTTATTTCAAAGACAGCATTACATCCTCTCTTTTCATTAATTCCATCATAGCAAGACATTTCACATATTCATAATCCGCACAATTTGATGCATCACTTCAAGAACAAACAACCCAAGGATCACAGATGGCCTCAACCCGATAATCGTTGAACTCAGGATAGGTACCTTTCATTGCTTCCAGGATGGGGGTAAAGAATTCAGCATTAAATCTCTGGGTCTCGCAAGGTGAGCAAGAACCGGTAGTGAAGTGATTCAGCTGAGCCTTGTAAGACAGTGATCCAAGTACCTTGCCATTGGCGACATCAGTCGCTGTAATCTTAAATGCCTCTGGCATTATAAGCTGGGGTGCACTGGATGTAAGCGTTCCATTGCCAGGAAGAGCTGGGGTTTGGCCAAACCAAAGGCTGTGAAGTCCCAAGTCTTTCAGAGCTTTGATAAGAATCAGAGTCATGTGGGTGTCTGAATCAATCTGCACACCAGAGCAATCAAAGTTGATGGAATAGTCTGCTCCAATAAATGGTCTGCCGACACATTGTCCGGTCTTCTGATCCCACACAAAACTATTCACAAATACCTCCCATGTCCCGGGCCACACGATAAATCTCGGGTTCACAGAGGTGTCTACTTTCAAGACACCAGCAGAAGGGGCCGGTGCTGCAGTTTCTGTAGTCGATTGTGAAGTTGTAGAAGGCTCAGAGGAAGTGGTTGGAACAGACGCCGTAGTAGTGGCTGTGGATGTGGCAGTGGTAGAGATTGGGACTGTAGATGAAGTTCCAGGGCTTTGGTCAGAAGCTCTCTTCGGGGCTTGGTCATCCTTGTTGCAGACAAAGGCTGACCAGCAGATGGCATTGGCATTGACAGTCTTGTTGATGGCTGCACTCACTGGTCTGCCGTGGTATGCCCAGCAATTCAACGAAACACCACCATTTTTGTAGCTCATTGCTGCTCCAGCATTGAGACCTTCGGGTGTATTCTCCGCAATCCATACCGTCCAATCATCGCCATTGGGCATGTTGGCTGTAAGTCCACTAGACACCCAAGGATATATTCCATCTTTATAGGGAATCTCCACGGCCATGTTGGGAGCAGGAGGATACTGACGAGCAGAAGAGGGCCAGGTCAGTGACTTGTACCAGTTCATCTGTCGAGATGTTGACCAGGTGGGGTGCTGGTGGTTGTCTCCAATTCCACAGTCTGCTAGGACAAGCTGTTCATGATCCCCCTTCTGAGCATTTGCAAGCATTGCAGAAGTTGAAATGGCTACGAGGCCAACGGAGACACCGTTGAAGTGCATTTTGCAGAAAGATGGAAGATTTGAAGTAGCAGAGAGACTTTATGATGGTTAATTTGAATTCATTTGTATGAAAGGAGAAGTGTAAAAGGGAGCTGGCCACGCAAGATTAAATACCTTCCCTCTGTCCCGCACCCTGCCACTTTGCCAGCTGTAAGTCCTCACTCGCCAGCTGGCGAACTGGCAAAGCCAAGTCTTTCGGAAATTGCACAGGGTCTAGACTCGCTAGATTCTGCGTCGTTGTGTTACGTGAACAAATTTGGGACCATTTATATCAAGCTATTTATACAATCATGGCGATTTGTGAAGAACGCGTCGCGTTTGGGGTGTCGTGTGAAAGCGAGACTGGTAGCCATTATGACGAATACATTCAACACTTATGAAGAAGATAGGTGATGGGCCCCTAAAAACCCCAACATATTTATAAATTGGGTTAAACCATAGTCTCCTATTTTATTTTGCATAGAAAATATGTATATAGCCTCGTAAATGTCTTCGGAGTGTTCAGCACCCAACGTTTACCCTGCATGGGCATTGGGAGTGGAGCCGGCTCGTAGAGACGTATCTCCAGCTGAGAACCCGACCTTGCCTTTCACATCAACATCCAGTCAGCGGACATGTTTCGACAACAATTAAAGAGTGCTTGGGCACGTCGCCCGCAAACAAGCATAGGGAGGCGACTCCCTGTATCCCTATTTCGCGCCGAATCGACACAGTCATCACAAGCATCGCGCATCGACCGCATAACTGCGCGCCTCCCACGCCCTCTGCGGAAGTACACCACCGGGCTTCGCAATGCACCACTCTCCCATGTTGTATCCTTCCTTATTCTACACGAACTTACTGCTATCCTGCCTCTTTTCGGACTATTTGCCCTATTCCATTATACATCAATAGCGCCGATTGAGTACATGACACAGCACTTTGGCGAGTACGTTCAGAGCGGTGTTTCAAGATTCGAAAAGTACTTCAAGAAGAAAGAGTGGTTTGGGTTCACCAAGGAGGATTCTACGATATCAAAACAGGAAACAGGAAACACTACGGGTGCACAAACAGATGATGTGCTTCAAAAGATAGCAACTGGCGACGCCAAGTACACCGTCTTGATGGAGGTTGCGTTAGCATATGCAATTACCAAGGCTCTGCTGCCTATCCGCATCATTGGTAGCGTTTGGGCAACGCCTTGGTTTGCAAAGGGTCTCTTACGGGCAAAGGCCCTTATAACACGGAAAAAGTAACACGGTCACGGAATTGCTATTTTTAAAAAAGCTTTTGTATAATTTGTAGAATAGATATCCTAAACAACCCTAGCTTGGAGCTACACCTATTTAGAACGTCAATCTCTATTCATGACAAACTTAGGCCTTCTCGTAGATCCAGTCGAACTGGGAAGCCTTGTAGCTGACGAGCTCGCCCTCCTTGAACCAGAGAGCAATCTCCTTCTGGGCGTTCTCGACGGAGTCGGAACCGTGGCAGACGTTTCGGCCGACATCGATGGCGAAGTCACCACGGATGGTGCCAGGGGCAGAGGCAAGGGGGTTGGTGGCACCGAGGATGGCTAGAAGTATTGTTAGGAAATTTGGTGTTCAGTACCAGGAGGAGAGTCACTTACTGCGGCCAGTCTTGACGGCATCACGGCCCTCCCAGACCATGGCGCAGATGGGGCCGGAACCCATGTCTAGAGATACGTTAGCTTTGGAGTCCTTTTGCTAGAAGGAGTTTGGGGACATACACTCGATCAATCCAGGGAAGAAAGGCTTGCCCTTGAGGTCAGCGTCTGCAAGACAAAGTTAGTTTAGTGTTCATGCTAGTAGAAAGGCCGAAGTGACGAACAGTGAGTCTCGAGGTGCTCCTTGGAGGGAGTGACGAGCTTGATAGCAGTGAGCTTGAAGCTGTATTCTCTGTTAGTCGAGGCGGCAGACTTTGTTTAGCGCGCATAACACTTACCCACGGTTCTCGAAGCGAGAAACGATGGGGCCAATGAGGCCACGCTAATTTTTGTGTTAATACCGATTCAAAGCTGATTGTATTGTTGTATCTATTAGTGAAAGCTTACCTGGACGCCGTCAGGCTTGATAGCGATGAAGCTGGGAGGGGTTAAAATCTTCTCGTTTTGTGTTGGAGGGGTAGTTTGGCGGGGTACTCACGTCTGCTCGGTGGAAGACATTTTGGATGGTTTAAAAGTATCTGTACGGACAAAAGGTACGGATGAAGCTGATTCGGTATCCGGTGATTGGGATACTGAAGGTATGCAAGGATTGGGTTGGGAAGAGAAAGAAGAAGAGAAGAAGTAGAAGAGGAAGAAGAGGATCGGGACGAGAGAAATTGGTGGGGGCAGGGTTACTGTGACGGGCCGCAGCAACGAGAAGCCTCGCTGGTTCTGCGAGTCTCGCCGCCTTTTGTCCAAAGCGGGGTGCTCGTGGAGGGGCTCTGCCATTTTGATTTGCTTGGTGAAGCTGGTAGCGGACAGTGCAGGAAGAAGATGCACTGTACCAATATGCCGTACGAGCTATACAGACGCGGTTCTGTACTGTATTTGGGACAACGGAACTGGAAGCGCTAACGTCTACTACTTTGCAATGAATAAGCCGTTGATGCAAGGTAAAATTCATGAGAGCACTTGTAATTACATACCAAAGTCTTTCTCCAATCAATATAATACCCTCCACAGGACTGCAACGGCGACCTCTGCAACACGTGTACAGTGCGGTTTGTGGCTCGTCTTGGGCAACAACACGGTTTCTTTTGCTTTCTTCGGCCCACTCTCCTGCGTATTGCTGTAACCAAAAACTTGCACCAAACGATTTCTGCCCCTCCACTCTCCTGAGGCACTCGGCGCATTGCGCGCTAGTCCCGATCGGGGAAGCTCCCCTACCGCCTGGCTAATCGGACAGCTTGTCCTGGAGCCAAAGCCAATGCCTACACCAACAGCGGCCATCTTGATTTTGCAGCGGCATTGCTCCCATTGTACGAGTTTTTGCCTATTGTAAATCATTAGCATATTGTATTTATAGTCTGAATTGGCCAATTGTTGTTAGAGTATCGCATTGAGGGGACGAGCTGCAAAATGAGGTCCTCTGTTGGCCTTCGCTTGTCCTGGACGGCGCTGCTATGCATCGTGGCTCTTTTCATCGGGCTTCTCCAACCCGCAGGTATATATCCAACTTGGCATCCCATCTCTTAGAGATGAGTATTAATAGTCTATAGCATCTGTTAAGGAACACGACTTCAAAAAATGCGACCAATCCGGCTTCTGTAAACGAAACAGAGCCTATGCCGACACCGCAGCCTCGACGAGCAGCTGGGCTGCCCCCTACAACATCGTCCCATCGTCCGTCACCTTCAAGGATGGCCAACTCAATGCTATCATTCTCAAAACCATCGATGCTTCTGGCGCGACTGTTCGATTGCCAATCACCGTGTCCTTTTTGAGCTCTGGATCTACACGCGTGACCATTGACGAAGAGCGTCGCCAGCAAAAGGATATCGAGCTTCGTCACGACAGCAAGGCCCGCAAGGAACGATACAACGAAGCCGAGAAATACACCATTGTCGGTGGCCTTGAATTGGATAAGACCTCTACCGTTGCCAGCCAAGACGACAAAGAAATTCGTATTGTATATGGTCCCGACTCGAAGCTCGAGGCAGCCATCAACTTTGCTCCCTTTGAAGTTGACTTTAGACGGGATGGAAACTCTCACATCAACTTCAACGACCGAGGACTCTTGAACTTTGAGCACTGGAGAGCGAAGCGCGAAAAGGAGGAGCCCAAGGAAGGTGAGGAAGCAAAGCCCGAAGTCTCAGAGACTGGAGAGGACGAGAGTACCTGGTGGGACGAGACCTTTGGTGGCAACACCGACTCCAAACCCCGTGGACCTGAAAGCATTGCACTGGACATCTCTTTCCTTGGATACGAGCATGTCTACGGTATCCCTGAACACACCGGCCCTCTGTCTTTGAAGCAAACACGCGGCGGCGATGGCAACTTTGATGAGCCGTACCGCATGTACAACTCGGACGTTTTCGAGTACATTCTTGACAGCCCCATGACACTCTACGGCTCTATTCCTTTCATGCAAGCTCACCGCAAAGGATCTTCCGTTGGTGTCTTCTGGCTGAACGCGGCCGAAACTTGGGTTGATATCACCAAGGGCAAGGCCGCCAAGAACCCTTTGAACGTTGGCACAACCGGCAAGACCAACACCCAGACGCACTGGATTTCTGAGAGCGGCATTCTCGATGTTTTTGTCTTCATGGGACCTACACCCAAGGATGTGACTACGTCATATGTCAACCTGACTGGCCGCTCTGCGATACCGCAAGAGTTTGCCATTGGTTATCACCAGTGCCGCTGGAACTACATTTCCGATGGCGATGTCAAGGACGTCGACCGCAAATTTGACAAGTTCAAGATCCCCTACGATGTCATCTGGCTCGATCTTGAATACCTTGATGACCGCAAATTCTTCACTTGGGAGCCTCACTCATTTACCGACCCTGTCGGTATGGGACAGCAGCTCCTCGATCACGGACGTAACCTTGTGGTTCTCATTGATCCCCATATCAAGAAGCTCGAAGGATACTCTGCCTACGACCAGCTTACGTCCAAGAACTTGGCTGTCCGCGACAAGGAAGACAACATCTACGAAGGTTGGTGCTGGCCGGGCGCCGCCCACTGGGTCGACTGCTTTAACCCCAAGGCTGTTGAGTGGTGGAAGTCGCTTTTCAAGTATGACACTTTCAAGGGCACCCTTTCGAACACTTTCATCTGGAACGATATGAACGAGCCTTCCGTCTTCAACGGGCCAGAGACAACCATGCCCAAGGACAACTTGCATCACGACAACTGGGAGCATCGTGATGTGCATAACCTCAACGGAATGACCTTCCACAACGCTACCTTTGAAGGTATGAAGTCACGCAAGAAGGGCGAGCTGCGCCGCCCATTTGTACTCACCCGATCATTCTACGCCGGCTCTCAGCGTCTTGGCGCTATGTGGACTGGTGATAACCAGGCTGACTGGGACCACCTTGCTGCGTCCATTCCTATGGTGCTTAACCAAGGTGTTGCTGGTTTCCCCTTTGCTGGCGCTGACGTTGGTGGTTTCTTTGGAAACCCTGACAAGGATTTGCTGACACGCTGGTACCAAACTGGTATCTTCTACCCATTCTTCCGTGGCCATGCTCATATCGATTCTCGCCGCCGTGAACCCTACCTTCTCGGAGCCCCGTACACTGACATTATCACGGCTGCTCTCCGCCTCCGCTATGCGTTGCTCCCATCCTTCTACACTGCTTTCTTCCAGGCCAACCGCGATGGAAGCCCCATTGTGCGACCAATGTTCTGGACGCACCCATCTGAGGAGTCAGGCTTTGCAATTGACGACCAGCTCTTTGTTGGCTCCACTGGTATCCTCGCTAAACCTGTCGTTGGCAAGGACACGTTCTCTGTCAACATTTGGATTCCAGATGACGAAGTTTACTACGACTACAGCACTTATAATGTCATGGCCACTCAGCGTGGCAAGTCTGTTTCTGTGGCTGCACCTCTTGAGCACATCCCCATGCTCATGCGCGGTGGTCACATCTTCCCTCGTCGCGACATTCCTCGCCGCTCTAGCGCTGCTATGCGATTCGACGACTACACCTTGGTGGTCTCCGTTTCTAAGAGTGGCACTGCGGAGGGTGAGCTCTACGCCGATGATGGTGACAGCTTTGAACACGAAAATGGCCAATACATTTACCGTCGATTCAACCTGTCTGGCAAGACGCTCCAGTCCGTGGACGCAGATGGCCGTGATGCCAAGTCTGTCAAGCCTGGCAAGTGGATGTCCGCGATGAAGGACGTCCACGTCGATAAAATTATTATTGTTGGTGCCCCCAGCGATTGGGATACCAAGGAGGCTGAGATTACTTCCGAGGGCCGCACTTGGAAGGTTCGCGTTGCCTACCAGCCTGCTGAGAAGGGACGTGCTGCATATGCCACTGTTGGGCGTGTTGGAGCTGCCATTGGCGCAGACTGGACCATCACCATTGCATAGATTCACTGTTGCAAAAAGGAATATGTATGATGTAGATAGACGGGATTATAATAAAACCAAGGTGTATTTCATCACCAAAGCTTTCATCTTTTGTGCGGCCCCTTTGTGATATGCAGTTGTCTTGCCTGTAGTATTTTGTAACTTCTGCCTTTCGCACTGGTGTCGGATACAACGTGCGATGCTTTGCAAAAACATGTAGCCAAGACTCTGGGCAAATAATTCAGGCAATTATAGCCGCCTTTGCCGTCTGTTTTATGGGTGCGAAAGGCGAGACCAAGACTCCTATGACGTAGTGCCCCAGTGCGCACAGTCAGCTTTCGCACGCGTCCCATAGGCCGTCTGCCGGCCCCAGCTGCCCGGGCCGGCGCTGAACGGCGTAGAACGGGGCCGGAAATACAGTGGCCGCGGCGACTTGACACGGAGACGCGCGGTCAGAACATCTGACACGCCCCTCTGTGGGTTAACTACGGGTTTTGGCCAAGAAGAAAATATTCCAAAGGATATAGTGGATGCGAACGTTTATTTTTCTTGTTTTGTAGCGGCTGAACGAATAGACACGCGGATCGTAGATGCAGGATCGGTAAGTTTAGGACACGGTGGGAGCATGTGCCTGGCGCTCATGCAGGAGTGGCGCACAACCTTGACGTTATCGGACCAACGAGAGCAATGTAAAATGAGAAGTTTTAGCAATGCTAAAAAAAAAAGACAATGAACAGGGACCAGGAGAGTATTCAGGCACTGGTTCTAGGTCTTGCCTTGGAGGCAGTGCAGCTTCGGCTAGGGGTTCTAGATCCACGGTATCATGCACAAAAGCAACAACAATGCCACGGCTGTAATGATCTGAGAACAAGGTACCAGTATTTTATCCAGCACATCATATACTGTAGGCCCACAGCGAGGGAGCACAGCGGTAATGTTGTACTGGATGCAGGGAACTCGTATTTCTTTATCGTCTTGGCCGTGGGTCAGATTTGCGGGTACGTCGGGGAGTGATAACGCCTGGATGTGCGATTTCAGTGGACGAGAGTGGCCAGTGATGACGACGGTGCCGTGGTATTGCTTCTAGGATGGCAAGATTATGATCAAGAAAAGGGGTTTGAGACTATGAACTGTTTGTGTACGAGATATCTTGTGATTCGGGGGTTGCTGGTGGTTGTAATCAGACGATGAGAAACACAGTAGAGAAGAATCTCATACGTCACTGATGGAACAAAGGAGCACAGTTTTAGCGTGCGAGACCCTCTCTCGTCCACTGAAGGCGCCGAAAATGCAGTGGTTTCGTGGCGCCTGTCGGTGCTGTGGGCCAGGCGGCAGAGCGTCCCACGGCGACCTTGCAAACGGGGATTCCCAAAACAGTCTCCGTTCACGCCCCCGTCCGCCCAATAAGGCGCTCCGTTTTCTTAAGCCCGCCAGCTGCCCGCCATGTGCCGACACTCTTGCCAACCCGTTTTCTTTTCCTTTCTCTTCTTTTCTTTATTTCTTCTCAACTTCTCTCTTTCCCTTCCCTTTATTATTCGGTTGACGTTTTATTTCTCAGTTTTGGCTGCCCAGCGTGACCGTTGTTCTCCTAAAACTGTCTTTGAAACCTTGCTTTAGCGTTTCTCAACGACGTAATTCCACAACGCCTGAACCCAGTTACTTGGAACCAGTCCAAAACTTACTTGCCAAGAAAGGAACTGGTACACAAAGGCATTGCAATCAGCTGCCTGAAACACAGTTTTAGCTGTATCCTCACAACACAATGGCAGCCCCAAGCCATCAGCGTTACAACTCTGTCGACGACATGGACGAAAAGGACTCTGTGCCTCATTCCTTGGACACCTTTAATACATTCTCCGAGATTGAGCTCCAAGAACATCAAAAAGAAAGCAGATCGCCAGCTGCCCAGCATGCAGACATGACAGCACTCAATGACGATCTTGAGCTGCTCCGTGCTGAGAGGCTCATCTCCAACCAAGAACACGACATGCGCCGCTCATTCTCCAAGACGCGGAATCACAATCCCGAACCCGAAGATGCATTCAATCAACTGAATCTTCCCGAATCGACTGCGAAGAAGCGAAACGAAAATGCTGCGCTGTACAAGCTCTGGCGATTTGTTCGCAAGTTTCCTCGTCTTATTCGTTACTTTGTCTACATGCTGCCTGGTGCGGCTCTGCTCCTGATTCCTGTTCTTCTTGGGTACTTCCGGTACGACAAAGGAGAGAAGAATGTTGGTGGTGTATATCTTATGTGGTTCGGCATCTGGCTGGAGATTATGTGGTGCTCTCTTTGGGTATCACGAATGATTTCCAGCTTGCTACCGCACATTCTCTACGGAGTCACAAAGGCTGTCGGATCAACCAGCCCCAAGAAGTGGCGTGATATCGGAGCCCAGCTCGATCTTCACCTTGCCATGTTTCTCTGGTTTCTGGCTAATATTATTTCTTTCAAGCCAACCACGTCGGGACACAATGTTTCCTCCGGAGATGACGAGCCTTGGATTGACTACGTATTCAAAGTCATCATTGCTCTCTTTGTCCTAGCGACACTCAACTTTGTGGAAAAGATTATCATTCAGTGGATCGCAACATCGTTCCACCAACGTACATACGCAACCCGCATCGAAAACAACAAGGGGGATATCAAGCAGCTTGTGCAGCTATTCGAATATGCCAAGGGTAAACTCGAGCACAGCGACGCCTTTTGGCAAGGCAACCTGGAACGCAACAGTGGCATGCAGACTCCTCTTCGTGCGCTGCACCAGAACGCCCGCCAGGTCCTCGGTAAAGTTGGCTACGTGGCAAACAAAGTCGGCAACGATCTTATTGGTCGTAAGGTTGATGATAACCATCCCCAAAAGATTGTTGTTGAGCTTCTCCGCAACACGGCATCATCTCACACTCTTGCTCGCCTGCTCTACCGCAGCTTGAAACGGGAAGATCGCGATACGATTCATCCCGAAGACATGAAAGAAGTTTTTCAATCCGATGAAGAGGTTGATGCTGCTTTCGGTGTCTTTGATAAGGATATGAATGGCGACATTTCGCTTGACGAATTTGAAGCTGTCTGTAACGAAATCCATTTGGAGAAGAAAGCTATCGCTGCCTCGTTGAAAGATTTGGATTCGGTTGTCCAAAAGCTAGACAAGGTGTTCCTTTTCGTCATCCTTGTTATTTCCATTATCGTCTTCATCTCCATCCTGTCCAACTCCGCCGCCGCCGGACTGGCATCGGCTGGAACCTCGGTTTTGGGTCTTGCCTGGATGCTGCAAGCTACCGCACAGGAATTTCTGCAGTCCATTATCTTCGTTTTTGTCAAGCATCCTTTCGATGTGGGTGACAGAGTAACAATCTACGGCTCAACCGGCGACAAGATGACTGGCGACGACTACTACGTTACCGAAATCTCGTTGCTCTACACTGAGTTCAAGAAGATGCAGGGCCACATGGTTCAGGCACCAAACTCCATTCTTAACAACCTCTTCATTCTTAACCAGCGACGTTCCAACGGCCTAGCAGATGTTATTCCTCTTGAAATGCGCTTTGGTACCTCGGCAGAGCAAATTGAAGAGCTCAAGTCTAGGATGCTTGACTTTTGTCTCGACAACAAGCGTGACTATCAGTCCAGCATAATTTCTGAAATGACAGGCATCGATAGCGTGCGATCTGCCAAGATGAATATCATCTTCTTCCACAAGAGCAACTTCCAGAACGAACTTCTGCGTCTCAACCGCCACAATAAGTTTGTCACAGAGCTCATGTACCAAATGGTGCAGGTCGGTATCCAAGCACCGGTACGTATCGAACCTGGTGGTAGCCGTGAACACCCCATGTTCTGGGCAAACATGCCGGCTCCTCCCGCATATGGTAAAGAACAGGAGCATGCACCATCCCCAAGTGTCGGTCCACAAGTAGGATCTTCCATGCGTCGCACTACAACTCAGAGCAGTAATCGTCCGGAGCGCTTCCAGATTCTCGAAAATGAAGCTGGCGCTGGCTTTCAGGACGTATTCGAGAGCCGTCGGGAGACTGCGTTAGCGCAACGCATGGCCGCAATTCGTGAGAAGGAGATTGCTTCTATCAAACACACGACCGAGGCATCTCCAAGAGCATCTACAACATCTGCCCACCTAGCGCCCGCCGAATCCCATGATTCACATGGTCGCGGAAGGATATTTAACCGCCCTCGTAGTAAGACGAATGCACAGCAAGGAGATATGGTATAATAACGCCGTTATTATGATATCTCATCGGACCGACTGGTGACTTGATGATATACAACCTCATCGCAGGAATCTTAAAAATTATAGTTAAATATATAAACAGTACATAAGCATGATTTCTACCCGATATTCATCCATGCACGCGACTATTTACGCCCTCCATTCAAAATCATACTAATTCGAGGATATTATTCCCCGCGTATGACTAGGTCTGCAATCTTCTCGGCCAAAGCGTAGACGGTGCTTTGTGGATGGCCAGGTGGCAATATCGCAAACGCACTAACATCAACCACTCGCAAGCCTTGTACGCCATATATCTTTGCGGCAGAGTCTACTACAGCCATAGAGTCGTTAACAGGACCCATGCGATTCGTGCAGCTTGCATGATGAATCGGGGCTATAGTAGACTGAATGAAAGACAATATGTCCTCGTCACTTTGGACCTCTTTGCCAGGAGCAAACTCATCGCCTATGACAAGGCCAGACGCAGCCGCGATTTGGCGAGCTCGTCTTAGAGCAGCGACGGCCACTTCACGATCCTCTTTCGACGCAAGCCACGGAAGAGTTACAATGGGGTTATCTTTGGCATCTCTCGATGAGATGGTGACGTTGCTCCGTGAGTTGGTACTAAGTACAGCCATTAAAACCGATATGTAGTTGGCCGAATCCTTGGTAGGGACTGTCTGAATAGGAATCGGGAGCAGCTTCAAGTCAGGCCAGTCAGCCGGGTAAGCCGCTAGCATTTCCTTGGTAGAATTGCTCAAGTTGGCTGTGAGGCTCTGGGGCATCTTTTCCCATCCGATCCAGTTCGCGCCAGAGTTGGTGAGCGGTCCAGATTGCTTCGTTTCGTATTCATGCATAGCTTGAGCAGCCACCGCTGGATTTCCAACAACGGCTGAAAAGCTATCGACATTAACGCGATACACGGAGCCAAAGAAATTCTGGTCTTGTAGGCCCTGTCCCACGCCAGGCAGTTCCTTGACAACAGGAATGTTCATAGAGGAGAGCACCCCAGCTGGGCCAATACCGCTCAGCATAAGCAGCTGGGGCGAACGGAAAGCGCCGGCAGACAAGATAACTTCTTTTCTTGCTGCAAGGTGATACTTTACACCAACTGTCTCCACGTCTACGCCTGTAGCCCTTTTGTTCTGGTCAAACACGATGCGTTGCGCGACTGTCTGCTTGTAGAACTTCGCAGACCTGAAATATATGGTCTCCTGACCGAATGAAGTCTCGGACGAGCTACGGATATGGCGCTGTGGCTCTTGTGTTGCGGTACTAGCGGCATATCCCAGCAGCTTGCCACTGTTGAGGCCGTTGATCTCGCCCAGGCCGAGGCTGCGAAACGCCTTCGCAATGCCATTTGAAAACGGGTGGTAATAAGGCGGATACGACACCTGTAGAGAGCCGCAGCCGTCTTCGAAAGCAGACGAGTCGTACTTCTACCTCACGTCTGCACCGAGCTTGCCATAGTCTGGCGGTGTAAATTGGACACTCTTCTTGAAATAGGGCATCCAGTTGCGCAGCTGATAGGAGTCGTCGCCAGCAATCTTCGCCCACATATCATACGACCCCTTGGTCCCGCGATGGTAAGCAAGCTGGTTTTGTGCCGAGCCTCCACCAAACGTCTTGCCCTGGGTATAGTGTATACGGCAATTTTGCAATAGCGGCTGTGGTGGTGTCACGATGCCCCAGTCAACTAGTGGCTGGATAGAGGACGGGTCTGCGTTTGCAAATTCTGGAGCAAACCCTGGGATTTGTGAAAAGACGCCATTGTCGAGCTCGTAAAAGCCGCCGCCTTCAATGATGGCTACAGAATGGTTCGCTGTGGCAAGACGATTGGCGACGGTTAAACCAGCTGTTCCTCCTCCAACAATTTACGAGAATGATGTTAGTTGGAAGACCAGAAGGGGTGGTATAAGGTTATGGTAATACTTACGATATAGTCAAAGGTTGCATTAGCGCCAATCAAACCGAATGAGTCGCCTAGTACTTTCTGAGAACCGTGCAGGTTCCATACTCCGAGGGATTGGAAGGCATCACCACGACTTGCTAATACTGCCACGGTTACTGCAAAAACGAGAGCCTTCATTATAATCTGTTTGAATATGTTTGGAAGAAGGAGGCATGAAATCTGCTTATTTGTGACATGATTTAGATTTCAAAAGAAGAGGCGACCGCAAATGAGAGGAGAGCGAAGAAAATATGTACCCATCATGTACGAATTACGCTGGCCGGGGGGTATGGCCGGAGCCAACACTACAGGCGAAACCAGGCTGTCAAATCGAGGAGAAGGTTGAGATAGCCTTGTTCTGCTTGCCGTGCTATCCGACCTCTGTGTGGCATAATCTGGCGATCCTGACCCTCCTTGGCGATCACTGGCACGGATAGTTGATCGCAAGGCTGGCTACGGAGACTTTTAACGCAACCTTCGTATCGCCCAACTACCAGCTTGATTAATCACATCCTGCAACATCTTTCTGTTTTTGTTTATTGTCTATGTTGGATAAATCTTGTCACCAAAATAGTTGGCACATCTACAAAATACAAATTCACACCACAGGCATTCTATAATGGCAGAACAACATCATCCCAGCCATCTGCATGAAGCGGTGAAAACGAACCTCGTCACCAAGTTTCAACCGTTTTCTCTCACCCTCGCCAACGGTGCCAACTTGACTGGCATATTATATCTTCCCTCCGAGTCATCTGCAACCTCCAATTCCTCCGCTAAACCCCTCGTCGTAGGCATCCACGGCGCAACCTGCTCAGCCTACACTTGGGATGTCTCACCAACATACACGGCATCCAACCCGAGCGATATGTTTGGTGTTCCGTTCGTCGCCTTTAACCGTCCGAATTTCCTTGATAGCAGCGGTTGGGTGATTGATCGCGCAGCAACGGAAGTTCAGTTCGACCAACCCGCAGCGGGCGACGGGTATTTTGCTGAGGAAGCGCGGTGGTTCCATGAATACATCTTTCCTGCGCTATGGACGAAATTTGCAGTGCCAAATGGGTGTACATCCATTGTCACTACTTCGCACTCCATGAGCGTTCCGCCTACAGTCATTGCAGCAGGACTCTATGCATCAGCGGCCACTCGCGATCAACCAGCGTACACATGGGCTGGTATCATCATATCAGGTTTCGGCATCGAAGCAACGGAGATTCGCACCCAAAAGTCTGCTGCTCTCGCTACGAACGAGCTCACCCCCGACGATATACCACTGGGACAGGACGTCACTGTCCACACGCCGCCGTTTAAGACAACTGACAAACAGGATCTCATGCTTGGTCCCTCGGAGTTGACTGAGTCTTCGCTACGAGCGCTGATATCTAAGCAAACAACCCCGTTTCTCCAAGGCGAAATCATGGATATGATAGGTGTATGGCCAAACAAAGCAACCGCTTACAAGGCACTGGTTCGTCTACCCGTCCTCTATGGATTGGGCTCGCACGATTGGATCTGGAGAGCAGAGAGGCGCACCGTGGATGAATTTTTGAAAGGATTCACGGCAAGTGAAAGAGTAGAGGGCGCAGTTGTTCAGGGCGCTGGTCATGCTATTGAACTTTCTCCTGTTAATGCTGGCTGGTGGGCAAGAATGTTTGGCTGGGCGATGGAGGTAGCTGGTGGTCTCGAAGTGCAAAAGCGAGGCATACCTGTGTATCCGTGATCATGCGGTTATATATCGATAAATAATAATTATGCGATTTAAATTTTATTGATTATTTCCGCATGACCAAAGTCGATGCTCTATAAACAATAATGTCGCTATATATTACTCTCCGGCTGGCCCATCCATTCTAGGTTGGGGGACAGCCACATTCGACTCGTATCGAAGATACCCATGGCGAAATCTAATCCATTATCAAGTCCTAGGCCCTCTAATGCGCCTTCATACGCGTTGCTCAACTCTCCTTGAGTGCTGGCAATATTCTGTTCGTCATAGCTGATCGTCTCGCGTTGCTTGTTCCCAGGTAGGAGGTCACTGGGTCCCGAAAGAACCGTGTGTTGCAATATTGTAGAGTCTGCTGGCCATGGTGAGGAGGGCCGTGTGATTGAATTTTGGGCTGTACTGGGCGAGGGACTGCCTTTCTGCATTGGAGAACCTAATACTGCAGGCTCGTCACCAACTTGGATATCTCGTAGGACAGGATGTGCCGGCAGCGCCAGTGATGGTAGTAGTCCAATTTGACTACTCTGATCGGGCACCTGTGACAAGATTAAAGGCGAGCTTGACTCAAAATTAATACCACGAGCTATGCTTCTTGCCAAGTCCTCTTGTATCATGCGTGCTGCTGTTCCCCTGCAGCATTGCTTTATAGCTTCTAAGCAAGCGTTGGCATGCTCAATAACAGCGTCAGCTGAAATCCCAAACTCGTTCGGTTTCAGTCTGTACGCATAGTAGAGCATCCGGGCACATTGTGATGCACAGACGGCAAGTTCCAAATCAGCAACCGGCTTTGCACCCAGCTTTTGCAACTTTGAAAATATCCCGGCCATTGAGCTAGCATGTTCCACACATCGCTTTTGGCACTGTTGGAGGAATTGAGGATCAAAGGACTCAAAAGTCGAAGGTGGGAGAGCGTCTCGGAAACCAGTTAATGCAAGTCGATAGAGATCACAGTGGCATTGATGCCACCAGACATGGATCATGATAAATATACAAATGCGAGGAGAATAGGCACGGAGTCGCAGAGAGTTGTCGGAAAACTGAAAAGAAGCTGGTAGACGCGCTGCAAAATCCTCGAGCTCTTGCTGTAGTGAATTAATTCCAGCTTGAAGATCCACCGCTGCAGCACTGCGACTAACAAGAGCGGATTTCGTAAATTCATTGACCTTTTGCCGCAGGTAGAGTATTCGAACGTGTAGTGCTAAGCTGGCGACTCCTTCCGCATGGGGCTTTGGTGAGCCTTCTGACGGATCGGGTATTAATCGTTCGGTTGGCTGTGAAAGGTCAAATTCAAAGTTGCGCTCGTTACAAGGCAATCCCACGTTTATGCGGTCGGCTCTCCAAAGTGAGAACTCTTCGAATCCACCTGATATAGCAATATCCAAACAATAAAGTGACCACATTAGCCGTCTCCGTGACTCCTGTGCTAGAAAGCACAGCTGTGGGCTTTCATGGCTAAGGCGCAATACCGTAGCGAAGCGAGACGCAGTGCTGTAGAGCATAAATGCACTTGGGAATCTGTTGCTGAGAATCCGATGCTTTATGATCAATACTAAAGCCTGGACCTTGATAGTCGATGGCACGGTATACTCGCTTAATATTCGACATTCGGCTTCGTCGATGCATCGATCGCCATACTCCTTCATCCCAGGCCCCATGTCATTGAAGCATGATGTGATACCAATCAAGGCTAACAAGAGTGCCTTGTCCATCTTTCCAGCATGATATTCTTCCATTAATGAGGCTCTGTGAAAGAAGGAAAACATGGGTATGTGGTGAACGTGGCGGAAGAACTGATCCATAGTCTTCTCAACAATCGAATTGAATGATTCATTCTTGGGAGGTCTGGTCAATAGTTAGTGATCAGGTCGGTTGATGTAGGCATCAGTTATAGGGCCTTACTCATCAGTGTCAATATTCATATTACCTTGGCCCTCCACAGAATCAGTATCAGCGGCGTCGCTCTCGTCGTGTGAGCCTCCTGCGCCACTGGGACCAGTTGCCAGCGTGGAGAGGTCTACTGACAATCTGCCGGCAAAGTATCGTTTCTGTGCCTTATAAATACACTCCAAACCTTGTTTTCGACATCTTTCACAGGACGGAACATGTCCAGAGCACTTTGCTTTGCGACTATGGCAGTTAAGACATGCTTGGCGAACTCTGCGTCGGGGCAGATTTATATTCCAGTGATCAGATCCTGTCGGGTCATAGTAACATGGAAGTGCCAGTCGCTGGCAATTTGAGCAATGCGGACGAGCTCCATTACAGCGAACTTTGCGTGCTCTGCAGGTTGTGCAAGTAAAGGGGGATTTCTTCGGCCATACGTCTGTCGCCTGGGTGGTGGCAACAGCAGAACCTGGGAGGTCCAAGGTGGGCATATCTGGACTTGGTAATGATAAGGGCAAGGGAGACAAGTAGACTTCCATGTTCCTCATATTATGCTAACCACCTACACCTCATTCTTTCGAGAAACTGAACGCCAAGGAGCTGTGTAGCGGTTGTTGGGGCAGTTTCAACGGCTGGCGGGGACGATCAAATCGCTGTGGTAGAACGATAATGCAGCGACAGCCGTTGTATGTGGTCTTATTGCTGTGTGTAAGTTGAAATCGGGTATATTCTCAAGTTTCTTGCACTTGGTCGTGAGTTGAAGCATCAAAAGTGAGAATAATCAGCGTTGTTAAGAAGAGAAGAATCAGGCTCGGCGGGTGTCTCCGGAAACCAAGACAAGGGGAAAAAACGTGGACAACCAAAGTACAAAGAGCAGCCAACAGCTTAGGCCAAGCAAAGACAACGCTAACGAGAACGGTGGATTATGTGGAAGGGAGAAACTGTTGGCGAGGGGCCGAGCCCATTTGCCGATGAGCCGACGCCAAACGACGTGGTATTGACATGGCGGCCACCTGCGCCAGCCGGCGGGCTGTCAAAGTGGCGGGCAAACCAGCTGTGGGCACTGCCAGGAACCTGCGAAGCCGGCCGCACTGTTTCCTCGCTTGTCTTTGAACAGCGTTGCACTGCACCGTCTGGCGAGGAAACACTTTTAAGCATGCTTTGAGGATGCTGCGCTGCTGTCAGTGTGTAGCCGACCTGGTTAACCTGTCTCTAATATGCGGTCCAGCTCCCGTGTTATACTACCAGAAAAATACAAGCAACGCACATCTCACAGAAAACGAATGTACGGACTACGAGTGGCAGCCCATCCCAAGCTAGACAAACGCCGCGGAGACAACTAGCGAAAAAGGGAAAAAATGAATGTAGTTCCCACCCACCCACACTGCCGTCGAGGCGGGCGGAATCCCCGTACTCTGCCCGTCAGCTCGGTTGCATCCTTGACGGCGGACTCTGGCGGTGGCCCTGAACCGGTCACAGATTGGCTTCCCCGGCACCGGCACATGTACATGCACAGCGCATGCACGCTTATGCACCGTACAGAATACCCTACGCTGAATTAGCTTGGCACTCGCGCAGTGAATAGCAAGTTACTCGCAGAAGGGCGGAGAGGTGCTGCGCCACGAAAGGGTTACCACCAACCAACTTTTGGCGTTGGTTGAAGTGGATAATACTCCGCCGCAATCATCCGATCTATTATGGATCGATACCATTTCGGAAATATTGACATTATCTACGCGCTTTGCGCGGAGCTGAAATCGGCCTGGATAGAAGTTTGTATAATGCACTTACAGGGTTACGCTATTAGTGCCATCTACACGCTAAAATCGGGTGTGGCTAGCCGGTGAGACCCAACTCGTCTATACAACACCCAACTTTCCTCTAAAGGAGGGTGTCGTGTGCTACCGTTGCGCCGTCGGTAGATACAGACCAGCCCAGCTAGGCCCAAGTTTCAAGTCGCACCAGCCTGCACAGCTATCATCAGTTCAATGATGTCAGAGGATCATCAGTTGACGTGGTTGAGGCCCATCGGTCGGCTGATAACAGATTAGTGAGCGTATGATAGGTAAAGTTATGATGCGAAGCGATCACCTCCTGGAGCCTGCATACTTCGCAGTAGGTTGTATTGAGATGCACTCTCTGCTAGGAAGACGATGCAAAAGAGAAGATCACTTAGACAAGTGTCGGCACATCCAGCTGCATTCTATGAAACAACCCCAGAAAAGATAGAGCGAAAGGCAGGCAGAAGACGACGGGTTGTCTCGCTCTCTGATTTTCATTGCATATCAACAAGCTTTGTTTTTTTGCGATTTGCCTCTGCTACTACCATACTGACACTAGTACCGCCAGCTAGCTCCCGTCGCAAAACGTCTGGGCCTGGCGCTAGAACGACCCTAAAAATATCACGATAGTGAAATCTGCTTTCTGAATAACCATTATACATCACGCGATATCATTAGTCTGCTATCATCAGAGTCACGATTCAGGACGCACGAGGCGATGGAGTCAGCGCTAGAAGATTATACCACCTGGTGGAAATGCAGGAGCCGGTGGGCTTGGGTCGTAATATGGGTGCATGCCACGGCGCTAGCACAATAAGCTTCATTTTCGACTCACAGAGTTTCGAACTAAACTCAGGGTTGGGGAAGGTTGAGGACAAAATGAGTAAGCTGCGACGACAACTGGAGCCAGCGGTATCGTTAGCTGCCTGCAACAGGCTGGGGATATTCGGCTCGGACGCGAGTTGAAGCAGCCGCGACACCCTCCCTGTTCCAACCCGAGCCTGACTATTCAAGCCAAGGAAGCCAAGTTTCCATGGCTGGCGAGCCATCGGTCCATGGGGAGATCAGCACAGTCTTGAAAGGATGGAGACGCAGGACGCCTCTTGGCGCTAGAGAAAACAAGCAACTAACAGTGTACCAGACCACCATCCGCATGCAAGCCCGTCATCCCCGCGCCCACACACACAGACGCACTGAAATCCTTGCAGGCGGCTCGAGTAAGAACAAGGCGCTTGCAACAGACAATGCGCCGCCACCCACCGCACAAAATTCGAATCCTCCGGTTTAAATAGTAAGCTATTCACCCGCCAGTTGAGCTTCACTTTTGTCCACGCACCGACTGTTCCTTTGGTACTCTTATTACTGCACCGATCGCCGTTCTTGCGTGACAGAGCAACACACTGCCGTCTCTTGCTGTTCCATCGTGATCACCATTGCAGCAGCAGTACCGTACAGTAGCCATGGCACCTAGAGCATCTGCTGGACTTCTCCGGGGCCGTATCCCCCCCACCCAGTCACCGGCACAGACTCCTGATCCGCTCCGCACATACTCGACGGCCGAGATTCGCCTGCAGATTCGAAAAGACGAATTCAGCGGCGATTACCAAAAGTCTACCGAAGCAAAGCAATCCTCCATCTCGACCACGCATAGAAAATGAACAGGTATGGTGTTTTGCTCTTTAGCCTCGTCGCTCCGCCTTGGTAACTACTGGGTCGCAATCGAAGGACGATCGGCACTTCTCCACACATGCATGCTAACAAGTGATGCAATAGACTCTGTGGCTTGCAACGCTTGACCACGCGAAACAAGGCATATGCACTGCGTATGCAAAGTCAACCCATGCGACAGGGCGGTAAGCCCGCGACCCAGAAATAACAACATTTCGAGCCGTTGCACTGCAAGCTCCAAGCGGCCGAAAGGGACGATCAATGGATTGGTGTACAGTCCCACCACGCACGACTACTCCGGACTAGGCGCATTGTGAACACAAGAACTTCGAGAACCAAAAACTAGGACTGGCCCATTCCCTGCAAGTATTTGGGTGCTTTCGACCTCCTTGACATATAGAGACACATTCGCCCCTAAGCATCTCCTACGACTGCTCAGGTATTACTCTCCCTGTGTGAATCATATTATTGCTGGAAAATTAACTAGTGGCTACATGGCCGTATGTATTATATCGATGGTAAATATAGTAATATTCTCTTGCACTATAGCTCATGTACATACTTCTCTGCAATACTATATGTTCATTAGATCTAGCCCTCGAAAGGAGCTTGATGCTTCTACTACAAGCCGCGTGGCCCTGACGAGATGCGAACCCAACTAGCTGAATAATCATAAGATTGCTAGACTTGGCCGTCATTTTGTTGCACTCGACTTCTTTTGTAGCAAATAATCTCCTCCAGTAGTAGCCTTGTAGACGCCATATAGCCCTCTCACCGGCCAAATCTCCCCTATGGTGTGTTTGAATCGCTTCCAGGGCGTCGCTGTCGCAGCTGCCTCTTGTGCCTCAAAGTCTATAGCCACCTTGTCGAAGACGCTCTTTAAATGCGTTGCGCTGTACTTTTCGCGCAGTTTATCATACGATTCTTTGTCGTAGTGTGCCCAAAACTCGTCCTCGGTGTAGTATGCATGCGAATACAGCCACTTCTTCCCTTTGAACTCTTGAACCTTGGCCTCTAGTACTCTATTCTTCTCCATGTTTTCACGGGCAGTCCCCTGGAAACGGCCCCAGACGCCATAGTTGAGCAGACCTGGTGCATTAGGAAATGCAAACTGAGCATGTAACCCGTGACATGCTTCAGGATCATTACGCTGCACCCGTAGCGGACATAGCCACAACGGGTATATGTTGAATTTGTCATCGAGCCAGTTTTGGAACTCGACAGCCCGGTCATATGGTATTCCGACGTCTTGGACAATGGCTCTGTCGGTCATACCGCTCTTGTGTCCAGCATGATACATGACGCGGGCATGCATGTACCTGTCTAGTATGCGCCGTGTATAGCGGTTGTATGGTGCAGCAAAGTATTCGAACGCCGCCTTGCCCGTCCAGAAACCTCCACGGTCGTAGCGAAAGAGGTAGTCTGTAATCGGTATATAATCTACCACCGGAAGCTTGGGGTTTTTTGTCAACTCTTTTATAACTTCTTCCGCCCGTAGATAGAACCAAGGATCGCTCGGGCGAGTAAATGTTCTGGCTTGCTGTCCAGATGGCACTTCATCGGCCATAGTTCCAGAGCAAATGACAGTCAGCTCTGGGCTAAAAGCAATACCGTCGATATAATCGACTTTTGGCTTTTCACACTCCTCTTGGATTAGCTTGACAGTCTCTTCGGCCCCTTTTGCTAGCGAGTACGTAAGAGCAACAAAGGGCGTTGCTTCGCGCAGCTCAATCTCGAGCAGTGTGACGACACCAATGGTACCAAAGGCGGAAGCGGCACCCCAGAATAGATCCTTCTTGTCCACTTTGGAGGCTCTCTCAATAGTGCCGTTTGCAAGTACAATTTCAATGGAATTGATGATGGAGTCGAAGGCGCCGTATCGAAAAGAGCTGCTTTCTCCAGATGTGCCAGAAAAGCCACCACCAACTGTAATTCCCGGAAACTCCATGACCACAAGAGGAACAAGATTGTATTTTAGAGTTTCCTGTACCAGCCTATCCATAGGTACATTTGGCTCGCAGAGCGCAATCTTGCGATCCTTGTCAACATTCAGGATCTTTGTAAGTTGGCTTGTGTCAATCGTGTTGTCCTGTCGTCGCTCCGACGGGCGCGTACTATTAGTCGACCCATGGTATATTCGAAACGGCTTCTTTTGCAGAGCAAACTGTGCGACTTGCTGCGCAATGCGAGAAACAGCTTGAGTATGCCCGTCCATGGTGATATGCGCTCTAGGCCGGAAGCAGCGGATTCAGCGTTGGCAAAGCTTAAGAGAAGGGACTGATGAGAATTTGTATCTTGATTTTCACAGATAACTGAAACTTGTAAGACTATTGCTCCTAAGAGAAACTGATTTGGGAAACGTTTGGATTATAGACGCCCGCTTGGGTGCTGTTGGCCCGCTTCTGTAGCCATGGCGTCACTAGCTCTGTTTGTCGTAAGCCAACCAACGCACACGGCGCAAACACACACACGCAAAGGCTAAATAGCGGGCGTAAACTTTTTATTTTATTGACAATGCAAATATAGAAAATCAAATACCGGCCATGCGCCAAATGACGTAAATACATCATCCTATACATCCATTAAAATGTTTTTCATTTCATCTTCTTCCTCCGTTGAACTTTTGGCGAGGCTGGCTGCCATATGTTCTTCGTCCCTGCACCTTGTCCCTCGACATGGACTGGCCAAGCGTAATGTCCACGCGGGGAGGCGCTGTGAAACCAAAGCTCTTGGCCACCTTGGTGAGGTCGAGCTTGTTGACATCGTAGACGGAGCGCAGGCTGTGGCTGGCGTAGGCGTGGAGGTACGACTTGAAGGCGTCCTTGGCGCTCTGCTGCAGGTAGTAGTTCTTGCCGATGAGCTTCTCGAGCTGCGACTGGATGTTCTTGATCTTCTTGGTGGGGAACTCAAACTCCACGACGGGCACCTTGGCTGTCTTGAGGTGCGACAGGAAGCCGACTTCGTTGGGCTGGAGGAAGAGCAAGCTGCGGCCGGTCTTGTCGGCGCCACGGGCGGTACGGCCGACACGGTGAATGTAGTCGCGGGTGTTGTCAGGGGGGTCGAACTGGACGATGAAGTCGACTTCGGGGATCTGTAGAACATATGGGTTAGCATGAGACGAAGAATCAAGTGTATATAGTGGCAGAACATACATCGAGACCACGGGCAGCGACATCAGTGCAGATGAGGACACCGTGCTTGGCGTTGCTGAATTCGAAAAAGGTGTTGGTGCGCTTCTGCTGCTTCTGCTTGCCGTGAAGGTCAAGGACAGGGCAGTCAATATAGTTGAGCAGCTCGGCGTAGTACTTGACGGAAGCGCAACTACTGAAGAAGACGATAACCTTCTTCTTCTTCTCCTTCATGCGCATCAAGAAGGAGAAGAGCAGAATGAAGCGCTTGTCGGCGTCGCACAGGACGTAGCCCTGCTCCAGGCCGTCCACGGTACTGAACTGCTTCTCTTCGTCGACGTTGATATAGAGGGGACCGGGTCGCAGCGAGATTCTAGCAAGATCCTCTGTATAAATGGTTAGCATCGTGATGATCACGATCATGAGTAAGAATATTGTACGTACCGACTTTGGTGGTCTGGGTAGCGGAGAAGAGCATGGTCTGGCGATCGTCGTTGGAGAGAATCTTGACAATCTGGCGGATTTCGTCCTCGAAACCGACCTCGAGAATACGGTCGGCCTCGTCGATAATCAGAGACTTGAGATTCTTGAAAACAAAGGGAGTGTTGAGAAGGTGATCGAGCAGACGGCCGGGAGTGGCAATAAGCAGGTTGACACCCTTGGACAACTTCTCGGCTTCGGCTCTTCGGTTGGCGCCGCCCATGACGATGCCGTAGGTCTGGGAGTGGTTCTTCATGAGTTCGCGGGCGACACCGAAAATCTGGAGGGCCAGCTCTCTGGTAGGAGAGACGACGATAACACCGGTACCGTTGCGGGGCTTGAAGCGCAGCGAGCAGAGAATCTCAACAGCAGGAATCAAAAAGGCAAGTGTTTTACCGGAACCAGTCTTGGCGGCACCGAGAACATCCTTGCCAGCGAGCAATGGGGGAATAGCCTAGAAAGATGTCCTTGTTAGCAACTGGTCTCCTGTCCCACATCCATGCACACAATCATCTGTAACCTACAGCTCTTTGAATGCTAGTCATCTTAGTGAATCCCATCTCGCCAATCGACTTCATGGTCTTGTCAGACAGCTTGAGTTCGTCAAACGACGCAGCATCACCAGACGTAGGAGGAAGCGTCGGCACAAGGCCAGCAGGGAGATCTGTGCCGTTTTCTCCGTCCTCTTCCTCCTCTTCATCATCCTCAGCAGCATCCTCGTCTTGCTCTTCAGCGTCATCTTCCTCCTCATCCTCCTCATCATCCTCGTCGACATCTTCGTCTTCTAAATCTTCGTTGTCTTCGGCGGGCTTGGGGACGGTCTTGGGCTGCTTCTTGGACTTCTTTGCAGAATCAATGCCATTGGAGACGGCCTCAGCCTCCTTGAGCTTGCGCTTCTTTGTAATATTGCGGTCCATTTTGTCGGGCTTTCGTGGCGTTCCAGTCGTGGCCTTTTTGCTCGTCAAGATGATGCTCGAAAACTAAGGTTGCCAGTTGACGCTTGAAAAATATTCTGGGCCGATAAGGCGATAAGCAGACGGGAGAAAAAAAAGTTGCCCAGCAGGCGTTCTGGGCTGCCCCACAGGCGGAAAGGCTGGGGTGGGGCAGTGTAAATTCACAGTGCAATTAGAGTATTGTTACTATGGAGAAGGCGAACAGCCGTTATAGAGGTGATGAGATAGTAGTAGTCATTCATTCGTCCTATTTAAAATAAAATGTTTATGCCAAAAAAGATAAAAGCAGTTTCAGTAGTAATATACAATATGTCGGGCTCAATTTTTTGAAATAAATAACATAGTCAGCGGCGCCCAGAATCCGCAACCAGTCACCAACACCCCAACACACACTACTTAAAGCTTGGACTTGCTGGTAATATATGTCGAGCCTACCTGCAGCATCTGGTGTGCCTCGGAGACCATGTTATCCACGATATCCTTTGCAGACTCAACCTTTGTAATAGCACCGGCCACCTGGCCCATAAGATGAGGCAGGTCGATCTCGTTGCCCTCATCAAGATCGTGCTCGATAGGCGTGATGCCCTTGTCGCACAGCTCCTTAATCTTGTTGGGCTGGTCGTGCCATGCTCGGATGTAGGGGTTAAGTCGCATACGGAGCGGGCGGCCGCTGAGGACAAGCGTACGGTCAGTCTCGTCATAGCTGCACTCCACAACTGACTTCTTGTGCTCCTCGCTAGTGGAGGCTTCAGTGCATGCAACAAATCTAGTGCCAACCCAAACGCCAGAGGCACCCTGGACCAGAGCACCAGCCAAGCTGCGGCCATTGTACATGCCACCAGCTGCAACGACAAGAGCAGGGAGACCGCCCAGAGCAGCAGGTCTGTATCTGTTGGCAACGTCCACGACGGCAGGGACCAGGATGGAGGTGGCAATGTTGCCGGTGTGGCCGCCGCCTTCGCTGCCCTGGGGGCACACCATGTCGACACCGAGCTCGAGCGCCTTCTCAGCGTGCTTGGGGTGGCCGACCATGTTCATGACGAGCATGCCGGCATTGTGCATCTTGTCAATGACGTACTTGGGTGGCACGCCGACAGCACAGACAAACAGCTTCGCGCCGCTTTCGATAATAAGATCGACGAGCTCGTCCAGCTTGCCGTTTGTGTAGTCGTGGTTGGTCTTGCGGGCGTTGCCGCCGACTTGGGGAAGGGCCAGATCGATACCGAAGGGTCGGTCAGGGCGGTCAAAGTTGGCCTTCATCTCTTCAATAATGTCGCGGAGCTGGCCGGGCGAGTACATGAAGCCGCCAATGACACCAAGGCCGCCGGCGTTGGAGACGGCAGCAGCAAGGGGACCGCCGGCAACGTGGGCCATGCCAGCGAGCATAATGGGATGCTTGATACCCAGAAGGGTGGTCAGAGGCGTTGTGATGGGACCTGTCTCGGGCATTGTGACGGTTACAAAAAGAAACTTGACTTCTTGTTCGGTGGTTTGGAGAAGAAGAGTGCTGCGATGGGGTGAAAGGAGGCAGGCGGGTGCCGGTGAGTGATGGGAGATGGAATCGTCCAATGTCAAGACCCTGTCAACAAACCCTTCGTAGTAGTCAAGGTTCAAGTTGCAAAGGTGCGCAGCCTGGTGAAATAATAGTTTCCGGGTCTGAGTCGCGCCGTGTCCGAAAAGGTGGGCTGCTTCTCCAACGCGGGGGAGGTTAGGTGAGTCTGGGGCCGAGGCACCGAGATACCCGCTGCAAATAGCCTACATCAGGCGGGAACCAGCGCCTGCCGATGACCGCTAAACGACAACGAGCCGCTGTATTTTAGATGGTAAGATATCCGGGGTAAGCCGCTTTTCGTCTGAAAGAATAAAAAAATGGTGGCAATTCTATCAAGTCGTTCAATTCATTAAAATCTGTCTATCGTACAAAATAACCCGGCGCCAAACCCAAAACGCCAAAACACAACTCTCTACTACCTTTCTACACCAGCCCAGCCCGTGTAAAGTAACTGAGTGCCGCAACGGTAATTACAATCATGAAGCAAGCAAGTCTCTATATTTCCTTTCTAATTATTGGCCAAAGTGCGGTAATCTCGCCGGAAAGAATTCGGTTGACTCTTGGGGCGCCGGCTTGGGTGTTGTCATTATAGACACTCGGCGGCCGGCTGATCGGCTTTGTCGGACAGGAGCTTCATTCTGCAAAGCCGGTGTAGGCAACTGAAGCCTCGGAAACTCTTCGTCTGGCTCAACGTTGGATTTGTCTGGCTGCACAGCTTGCGGCGGCGGGGGCGGCGCTTTGGTGTCGAGGCCACGTTCCGCAGCTAATACGGCCGCGGCCTCTCTTTTCATTATAACCTCGTCCTCCTCCTCTTCGGCGACCCTCTGCTCTTCCAACCGCAGGTCTGTCATGGTGGGTATGAGTTCACTGGATGTTCGAGCGAGCAATGATGATGTCGACCGCTTCATTGCCAACGATTCGTAAGATGAGTTCGAGTTAAGCGTTGTCCTTGAAACGGTGCGTGATCCTGCGAATTGGTCCACAGGCCGCTTGCCTTTGCTGCTTCGTGTTCGGTCGCTCCGTGTACTGCGGTCATCCTTTCTAACCATGTCAAACGTTACGTCGTCGTCTAGCGCTACTGCGTCTTCGTCGCCCTCTCCATCACTCGGGAATAAATCGCCTCGCGATCGGAATGAGTCCGTAGTGCCGCCCGATCCATTTGTATTGCTCCTTTGTCTGGGCATGATCAATTCTCCATAGTCGGACTCGTCGTCTGAGCCCAGCAACGGCTCCGTCTCAGGGTTGTCGATTTTTCCGGGGTGATCTTGCAAGTCTGCAGCGCTCGGCTTGTACCGTAGCGTGCCACCCATCTTCCAGGGCAATTTGCTAAGGAATCCAATGGGCTGTGTGCTAGGGATAATCGTAGGGTCCTGTTGGCCGCTCTTGCGCCTGCTTCCTCGTGTGCCGTAGCTCATGCCACGCTTCCGTCTCGGTTGATCAGTCGTCTCGGCGCCAGGCGCCCTTTGCTTTTGGCTCCCGGTTCCAGCAAGCAGTCGATCCCAGTCTTCTCCGGCCCATGTACCAAAGAAGCTGCCTCCTTGCTCGTGTTCATCGTACCAGTCGTCGTAAAAGTCGAAGCCAAACTCAGCTCGTTCTATTGCAAGCGCGCGCTCTCGCTGTCTGCGTCGGCGCTCTTCCGGATCGCCGAAACAAACGGTTGTGCATTGCTCGAAAGAATCGGTAACGTAGCCAAAGCAGGGAGTGATGTAGTGTTCTTTGAGAGACCAGATCCCGGCGGCTGCGTTTTCGGTAGCGGCTTCCGCATCGTGTGTAATTTGGTTCCAGCGCTGCCGCAGGCGCGGATCTTCGAGAAAGGCCATGATCGCGGCCTTAGTTTAACAGGTTGGATGCGCGCGATGGCGAGCAACCTCGATCAAAACGAGGAGGCATTGACGGTTGTTTGCTGCTAAAGTCGGACAAGGGCGCTGCGGTGCTTATCGAATCGGTATATGTGAAATTTGAGTATGGAGGCGACGATTCAATGAAAATCTACAGTTCGGATATGCTGGAAGGGCGTGGAAGAGGGGGATGCGTTTGGTGTCTCAGAATCGACGAATGCGACACTAAGGTTGATGGATGTTGAAGGTGCTCTGCAGGTGGACTCGGTAGCGGGAACGCCCGCTACAAGTTTCTTGGGGCTGGCAGCTTTACAGTGGGCTGGGAGGGGGCACGTGCGCTGGGCGAAACCAAAGTTAGCGCCCGCCCGCAGTTACAGAGGCGCTGTACAAGATTTTAGGATACAAGGTTTGCGAATGTTTGCACAGTACGATCAACTTTGCCGGGCATAATTCTTTTTAGTATTTTCAAAATAAAAGTTACAGTTTTATAAATTTTAACTGTATTGAAACGTATGCTCATACTCCTGGTAATACAAAAATATTCAGCCAAGAAGAATCTCCAGCGAGTGCTGACGAGGTGGCTGGTAAACCCCAAGCACGGCAGCGGGGATTGAACTGCCAGCACATTTTAATTAACGAGTATGGTTCGTCAGTATAGATACATTCCCCCATCCGTACCGTCAAGTTTCTTCTCTTCTTCCAATTGTTTGAGCATATCACGCACTCTTACAGAGAGTAGCCGTCCGTAGTCTGCATTAAATGGAGGAGATGGGCGGCCTTCGTCCTTGCGCAGCCACACTGCGTGGTGCTTCAGCTGCGCCGCCTCTACTGCCGCCTTCATGGTTTGATATTCGGCTTCATCATAGCCTCCGCCCAGAATGATGGCTTTCGCAAGCCCGGCAATGTTTCCAGAACCAGCGTTGCTTTCAATCTTTTCTGGCATGACTCCCTGTAGAATCAATGGCAGTTCCGCTACTCCTGCTTCTGGAGTGGGAATAAAGTGTACAACTATATGCGCTGTTAATCAACGTTGTCCGTTGAGTCAGAGAAACAAGGAGGAGTCATTTACATTCATAATCGCTTCCGATACACTCGGAGACAGTCTTGGCAATCTCGGAGTGGCGGCCACAGATGACAATTGGGATGGGCTTGGTTGCCATGGTCCTTATAGCCGCGTATGGGAGACGATGTTTAGAGATTTGGCTGACGCGTGGACTTATTTGTAGTATGCGGGTTGACAGATTCACCAGCATTGCTTAAAAAAAAAGAGAAAGAAAATGGAATTCCGGATAATCTGGACTTCTTATAGGCGTGTTGAGGCGTTCATAAGGCGTCGGTGCAGATGATCAGCTCTCCTTGCGCCGTTCAGCCCAGTCGGAAAGTCTCCATGAGGCAGCGCTGCACGAGGCTACATGGGCGCGGCGCAATCGTCTACCTAATAGAGGAGCTCGGTAAACAATCCGCCGCAAGATCTTATGGATTAGCTTGTGAAAAAAATTGAATTGACTATATTTTGATAAGTGATTATCGCCTGCTACTTTATTATGGTACATTTATAATACAAAGTGCCGAATCCTCTCTGCCTCTACTTCTTCGGGACGCGCATGTTGGCCCTGATGCGCTCAAGGAGCTGCTCCTCGCTATCATATGGGCTTGGGAATAGGTTACGCTAAAAAGTCTTGGTTAGGAAATCGATTGCGATTAGAGCAGGCTCACTTACAACTTCAAGCCACCTCCTCATTTGCTCTTTTGTCCAAGTCTCCGGTTCTCCTTTGGGGTCTGGCTCAGCCGGGAACATATCTCCGCCCCAAATGGTCCAAATGCTGGCAGCTGCAACTGCTCCAGCAAAAGCTAGAAAATAATCCCAGTTAGCTCGTTGTAATATGATCCTATTTCAAACACTGAAAACGTACCAAGTGTCCAATTCTGGGGGGTTGGTTAGTGGAATTGCTTCATGACGGAGGCTATTGGGCATTCGACTTACTCTGGATCGTAAGGCACTGTCTACAGGAGACACCATGGCTCTGTTTCTTAAATTGTTTCCACGCACAATATCTTGCGGAATCCGATACAAATGTACTCCTTCTCTTTTTTCTTCGCACCGATAGTGATACTTTATGTTGGACTTGGGATGTTCGTTCAATACGTGTCTTTGATAGTTTAATAACAAATCTAAGCCAATCACAGCTCGCTGCCGTCGTCAGCTCTCTGTAGTTCTCTTCAGCCACACGTGGCTAGTGACGACTAAGCCACGCATTGTGGGTCGTTGGTCGGCCCCGCGAGAGGTACAGCGCACAAAAATAATTTACTGCAAAATCCGTCACTTTTGCTCCTCCGTCTTCAAGTTTCTAGTTTTCCAGAATCTCATCACAAAACACCGCCAAAATGCCTCAAGAAGTCGCCGATATCAAGAAGGTATGCCGAATCTCTGTTAATTTTACACGCCAAAATTGGCGAGGCGAGAACTCCCGCTAACAATTCGCCGCCATAGTTCATCGAGATCTGCCGCCGCAAGGACGCTTCCTGTACGTTTACCGAGACTTGAAATTTCGCCTGGAACAATTAGCTACCGACAAAATTATGAGCGAGGCGTTTATTCCGAGCGACGAAAATTTTCGAGCCGTTTTCTAACCCAAATTTTCTTTACAGCTGCGCGCATCAAGAAGAACAAGAAGGCCCAGAGCGTTAAGTTCAAGGTCCGCTGCCAGAAGAACCTCTACACCCTTGTTCTCAAGGACTCCGACAAGGCCGAGAAGTTGAAGCAGAGCCTTCCCCCCAGTACGATTTGACCCCTCCTCCGTACCACGCAAAAACTTTTTCAACGGTCCCGAATCGGAAAAACAGACGTGGCGTTATAGACGCAGCCTGCAGAAACGACGACCAGCGAAGAAGGGTGGGCAAATGGAAGTTTAAAAATGCTAACAGTTTGTGTGCCTATAGACTTGCAGATCACCGACGTCTCCAAGAAGAACTAAATTGTTTGAAGCGATATAAAAATGACAAAAACAGTTGGGATGGAAACGATGTAAAAGCGGCTGGGCGGAGTCGGATGGAGGAGAATTTCTTCATGCACATAATGGGCGTCTCGGGATATCCTTGCATTTGATGTGCTCAGAACTACTTATGCGCTCTAATAGAGTTCAAATGAACGATTTTGAGACACAAATCAACCTTTTCTAACTATTGTTTTGTTGTTTGGGTGATCACGCGAGCAGTGAAATGCTCAAGCCTCAGGGAGATATATCTTGAACTTGATTTCTTGGCTATGGGTTGGAACAACGGCGTTCAGATGGTTGTCGCGAAGATTGTGAGCTTTTCGCACGAGGTGTTTAAACTCAAAACTTCACGGAAGGTCTCTTCAGCTAACTTGGAAGACTGGAAAACGACAAACTCGTCTTGCTCTGGTGGTAATTCGGCATTCCAGCCTGCCCAGCAGCTTTGCGACTCTTGGCTTCTTTCAATCTCTTGATAGTGCTGTTGCGTCTCTGCTTTCTTTGCTGAAGGCACTAACATTCTAGTGACATGCCACACCTCGCCGCCCGTTATATCGGCAAAGCAGGGCTCACGGCTTGCTGAATGCAGATGTAACAGAGCAACTGCGCCGGGTTCCGAGCTCAGGATTGGCTTGAGAAGTTCACCACACTGGCGATTTTCCTCTGTTGCTATCCATTCGTAGTGGTGCTTGGCTGAGTGCCATGATGCCAAAAAGTAAAGCACTTGCGGCTTTGTAGCATTGTCGGTATAGACTATCGTATGGCGCCTGTTATCCTTAGCCAAGGAGGGGTCGTGCTCAGCGATCCAACCATCTTGTATCGTAAAGCATTTTGCCAGTATGTCTTTAATGACAGGCAGGCTGCACTGCTCATTGAGCTTTAGTGTGGCACATTCGGTAACAAAGGCTGTAGACATGACGAAGTTGTTGAAAGATGTTTGCAAAGTCGTGGTAGTTGGTGACCTCTTGGATAGCTGTTTGGACTAGCGTAAAAATAGGCTTTAGGCGCCGCGATTACGCAAGCGCCGCCTACCCTGTATAGAATTGCAGTGTTATAACGACTCCATATACTGCTATACTACTGTAGCAAAAGAATGTATATTAACTCTCATTTTATTAATTAGTATACAGTGCCATATTAGAAGTTATAGCTTGTGGTAGTCGTTACGAATATTGTAACAAACGACACTTGCGCTCGTTGACGAGCTAAGTACGAATTACAGTTGCATGGTTTCACATCGCCAACACAGGGAAAATAAAAGTATTAAGTATTAAATGAGTAGCAAAGCTAATTAATTTATACAATTTGAGGCGAAAATTGAAGCTTAGAGACTTTTTTCTCTATAACTTCAGAATAAACAGCTGAGAGTACCTGAGCTGCACGCACTGACCCTAATGCAACATTAGCCTCGTCCAACATGTGTAGTTGGCCAATTCACCATCTGGGCAGTCCGGCAATGGTATAATTGTTGGTACGCTGGTTCTCGCAGCTGTGCTGCCGGTTGTGACTGTCTCCCTTTTGGTCGCTGCTTGTTTTTTGCCTCCGTAAACGCCGTCAAGAGAGGCGCAAGAAAGCAGAAGCCCAACTACAGCAACAGCAGGCATTGGAGGGGCAGACAAAGTAATCTGCCAACAAACTGCATACATGTCTATATATCTATCTACTTACATTGATACTAGCAATAATGTCTATTCTAACGGTTTATCTTGAATGCTAAAATGAATTGTCAACTGCAAGAATAACCGAATCTATCTCGCTTCCCCAATCTATAAGGCCATGTTGATATCCTACGGACTATTATTCTCATCCTCCTGACCCCAGTGTATCTCCGACGGCAAACTGAAAACCTTATCATCAGGTACTTTACCAATAAGCTCTTTAGAAGTACACATAAATAAGTCCACTTGGCCGCCATATGTGTCATAACCACCGTATCGCGCACTATCTTCACAATATGACACCATAGCCGGGAAGACTGTTTTATAAAGGACTGTACCAGCCTCCTCATATGCTCTGGTGAGTGGTAGATGTCCTATCCACCATGGTTCTGTCTTGGCCAAGTCCAAGTTTGCTGGCCCATTCTTGGCGCGAGCCTCTAGATCCTCTGCAAAATGATGACATGGTGTCTCATCCACAGCTTGCAATATCATATACGTAGGCGCCGGTTTTATACGATCGTAGAGAGATCGCAGGTTATGAACAACGCACATGTGGCCAACAGCTTGTGCCATTCTTGGCTCTCGTTCCACAAGCTCAGCGAGGATCTCCTCACGCGGTTACATGGGCCACCACATCATATAGGGCAAGACAGGATTTTCGCTGTTTGGCTTCACCCAGCTAATATCGTTAATCATGGTAAATCGTGCAAGCCATGCTTCTGTAAAGTTTGAATCGATATCGTCATACTGGCTATACCACCAGCGCGCAAATGGTGTGCTGTGGTAGATGCCATGGAGACAGCACTCATATTCGCTCTCGATCATTTTTGGTCGACGTAGCCGTACGTACCGGTCTACGTTTCCGTGATAGGCTGCCATTAAAAGGAGTAAATCCTTATTTGGTGTCCAGTGCAAGTCCCCTAACAACGGCTCGTAGAGAAGTGATTGTTCATCCTCTCCATATTCTGTTTCGCTGTTCTTGGGAACCCGCTCTGGCCCAATGGTGCCATCCTCGGTGACGTCAAATGACATATAATGGTAAGAACGGATGGCATCGTGCCCAATCCTCCATTGGAACTCGTTTAGAGTTGCCGTGTCCTGGTTAAAAATGCAGGCCGAGGAGCAAGCAAGATGCGACGCTCGTAATCATCCATGACCTTATATCTTACTGGTTTATCCTTGAGTAGCTGCCAGATTTCTGCCCCAGCAGGCGATTCACGAGCCTCTTCTGCAACAGCAATTTCTGGCAGAATATCGAGCTCACGATAGAGGGATGTATAGCCAGCAATAGCGCAGGCCCTGGCAACATGGTACTTGAGCTGCGGGTACCGCTCGGCAACCTCACGGTAGGTAGATTCCTTGGCTAGGTCCGGATACCAGATGCAATATGGTAGAGTTTTTGGCTTGCTGGTATCGATATCAGGAATATTATTGTTCATAATGCAGTGAGCATAGTATGTTCGGAGGAATGCAGCGTCTTCTGAGTCATCATTGCTACTTAGACAACGGCGGGCGACAGCGGCATCGTCAATATATCCTTTACAGTGGCGCAAAGCGTAAATGAAGCAGAGACGTGGAATCTTGTAGAAATCTGTGTCTTCAAAAATGACATCGTCTGGCACGGTCTTGCCTTCGAGGATAGGTACACACAATTCTTGGAGCCTGTCGCCCTTTAGCACAAGATCTAGTGACACATCTGAGCTTGGCTCGGAGGAAGAGTCGCTCGAATCAGTTTCGACGTGTTTGGTTTGATGCGATGGCACTTGATCTGGAGTTTGACGGCTGTTCATGTTAGTGGCTATTGTGGCAGATCGTGTTGAAGTATAACTGATGTTGTATTGTGAAGATATGTATGTAGCTATACTATGGAGAGGAAGTTATAGATGAACTAGGCTGTGGCTGTGGTGCATTGCTTCCAGCAGATTGATGCTGTGGTGGGGGTTGACAGGGAATCTCGTCTATGTAACGAACAAAAAAATACGCGGCTAGACAAGGTAGGCGTAGCTCGCTAAAGGATAGTTTGATATAAATAAAATACAAGGCTTAAAAGGGTTTATAAATAAATAGCTACAATAATAGAATTTTGCACCCTAGACCTATAACTCAACAGTTGAGGGTTCTTCTCTTGTCTGCTTCAAAGGTGTAAGATGAAATAAGTGAATCTCAGCCTGTTACCAGGGCTATATACTTTCGGGTTTAGGTATGAAGAAAATAATTCAACCTTGAACATCTTTTATATAATACTGTTTAGTGTATATTGCTATATTATATTCTTTAACATTACGTTTAGCAAACAATCTCCGCCTTAGAACAAAACAGTTTGTTTGCCTTGCGGTGCCATGGATTGGTGTGATTGGCTTCACTCTTCTTGGTGTAAGCACAAAGAAAATTTTTTCTGCACATGTTCACTTCAGCAAATTCCGCTTAAATATGAATATTGCATGATTTATTATCTTTCCCCCATTGCCGAGAGTTCTTCGATTACGGTTCTCTTGGATCTTTGCGGAGTAAGCCTATCCGCATTGCTGGGTCGGCTTGCTAGGCAGATGTAATCTGAAATAGGCAAAACGGCAAATCATGACGTATCAAAAGGTCCTCCATGTCTTGTATTTTTTTTTTCAGCTGCCTGCCTACCTTGGTACTTAGACAGTGGCTGCTTCGATGCAAGCCAGCGTGGACAATGGCGGACGCAAGGGGTAAAAGTGACCTATCTGCCTACGCCCGTAGAACAGCAGTTAGAAGGTAACGTCGAATACAAGGCGTGGGTAGTGGTTGCAGCGAAATCGGCGCCAGCACCAGGACGCTGGGCACACAGGGCGGCACTAATGTAGGTGCAAGCAGCAAGGCTAAACTGGAGCAGGGTTGCGATTGGAGAGACGCTAAGCATGCGAGTTTATCCCGCCCCTTTTAATTGGGGCAAAGCCTGCATACATTATTTTTTTTTTGGAGAGAGGGCCGCCGTATGCTGCAGGTTTTATTCGTTAGCTGGGAGCACCGGCGGCAGCAGAAAGCGGCAGCTTGGATCTCGGCGAATGCGAATACGTACACGGCCGAGGGGGCAGCAGAGTAGAGGAGACAACAACCAAAACATACATCATGGACAACACATAGATAGCAACAGTGGGAAGATAGCTGATGTAAAAGAATAATAAAAATAATAGTTCAAAAATACAATTAAATACGCTTTTCGCCCCCATCCCCATCAAAAACTGCATTCGGATCCAAATAGCCCGCTTCTCATGGGGCGACACAGTCATTCCATCTTGTTGTAAAAAAAACCACACTAAAAAAAGGGATTCCCACTGAGGCGCCGTCAAACCTTCCAATTGGCGCTGGTGAATTACTCAACTCCTCTGTAATCTTTCACTAAGCCACGCCCGGCAATCCACTCTTGTCCGCTGCCTCCCCATATGTTCCTTTTTCTGGGTTGGTGTTTGCTTTGAATGGCTAGTCGCTGAGCCGAAGCTCGTCCTCCTCCACTCTGCGCTCCCCCTCCTCGTCCAACTTGCTCCTTAATTATTTTTTTATTGCTCTTTTCCCTTACCCCCCGTGGACTCTTCATTATTACTACTACTCTACTTTTTTTTTTCTATCTTCTTCTCCTTTCGACTCTTCTCCTTGATAATATTCACTGTCTTCTCTTTCCCTTAATCTTTCGGTTCTCGCTTACACTACTACACTCGTCGTCACCACACCACACGCCCCCCAATCCTCCGCTGTGGCTGCGCTACGCTGCCTGCTTTCCGAATCCGAACTACCACCACTGGACCAACACCCCACCAAAAACTTGGCTCTCGGCTGAGCGCTGTCCGCTCTTGCGCCCTCCTTCTCCAAACATCTACACTTGTTGCTTTGCATCGCTCTCGCCAGTCTCGGGCACCGTCACCTCGCTGCCAATCTCCCCGTCTGCCATTTGTCCCGCTTCGTCAATGGCTGTTCGCGACCCCGAGATCATGAATGGTCACGCCAAAAACGGCATCCATACCAACGGCAACGGATCCCACACCAACGGCACCACGACCCTCGCTGAGCGACTCAGGATGAACAGAAAACAATCCAGCCCCATGGCTCCCGCCTTCATGGTTTCTGCCCCGGGAAAAGTTATTGTTTTTGGCGAACATAGTGTTGTGTATGGCAAGGTACGTCTTGGAATACTTCCCGTCATAGACCTAAACATCCCCCCTGATCGAGCGAGTGCTAACCATTGTCCCGCTGTAGGCCGCCATTGCTGCTGCTATTTCTCTCCGTTCGTATCTTCACGTTACAACGCTCTCCAAATCCAAGCGAACAGTCTCCCTGCGATTCCCCGACATCGATCTCGTACACACTTGGAACATTGACGACTTGCCCTGGGACATCTTCCACCACCCTAAGAAGAAGAAGTCGTACTATGATCTTGTCACTGAATTAGATGAGGAGTTGGTAGCCTCCCTACAGCCGCATATCGATGCTGTTTCTCCCGAAAGCTCCGACGAGCTACGCAAGGTTCACAAGAGCTCCGTCCTAGCATTCCTGTACCTCTTCCTCTCGCTCGGCTCCCCCAAGAACCCCGGCTTCCTCTACACACTTCGATCAACTATCCCCATCAGTGCTGGCCTCGGAAGCAGTGCATCAATCTCAGTCTGCCTTGCTGCTGCTCTGCTGCTACAGCTGCGCACGCTCTCTGGTCCCCACCCGGACCAACCGCATGAGGAGGCTCGCCTCCAGGTTGAACGTATCAACCGATGGGCGTTTGTGTCTGAAATGTGCATTCACGGCAACCCGTCTGGTGTAGACAACACTGTGGCTACGCAAGGCAAGGCCGTCGTTTTCCAGCGAACCGATTACAACAAGCCGCCCTCAGTCCGCCCACTATGGGACTTCCCCGAACTCCCTCTAATGCTAATTGACACACGCCAGGCTAAATCGACAGCCCACGAGGTCGCCAAGGTTGCAAAGCTTAAGGAGATGCACCCCGAGTTGGTCGGTGCTATTCTCAATGCCATGGATAAGGTCACTGCTACGGCTGCCGGCGTGATTCAGGAGGAAGAGTTTGACGATGAGGAGGAAGATTCGCTAAAAAGAGTTGGAGAGCTCATGACCATTAACCACGGCCTCTTGGTGTCGCTTGGTGTTTCCCACCCACGCTTGGAGCGTGTCAGAGAGCTTGTTGACCACGAGACCATTGGTTGGACGAAGCTGACTGGTGCCGGTGGCGGTGGCTGCTCCATCACGCTGATGCGACCCGACGTTCCAAAGGAGAAGCTTCGTAAGCTGGACAAGCAGCTCGAGGCAGAAAACTACGGCAAATTCGAAACGACACTTGGTGGTGACGGTGTTGGTGTCCTCTGGCCTGCCGTGCTGAAGAACGGTATGGACGAGGATGACGAAGGCGGCATGGAGATTGATGTGGAAAAGTTCCTCAACGCCGAAGGCACAAAGGGCGTCGAGCGCCTTGTTGGCGTTCACGGCGACGGAGGTGAACGAGAAGGCTGGAAGTTTTGGCGCGTGGAGAGCCGATAAGCGAGAATCTGGAGCCAGCGCATTGCGCTCCATTACGTTGACGACCATATTTCTTTTCCAACATTCTAGGCGAAGGCTGCTGGGCTTTTCTTTCTAATACTTGGGCGCCATGGGATGGGACATTTTTGCAACTCCTTCTTTTTTTGTTTCTTTTTGTCTCGGGCTAGATGCTTTACCTTACGGTACTTTTTGGGTGTACATAAACCACAACCTTTTCTCATTCTTCTTCTTTCGCCCTCCCAACTAGCACTATATCTATTAATGCGACACGTTCAATATACCAGTATAACCCTTTTTTGCCATTGTGACACCACCGCAACCGTGGGATTTCTGTGAATCCAACAGTGTCCGTCACACGAGGCGGTGGCCTATTGCTGAGGCTGCCCTCCTTGTACGACCAACAACCGATGAACGATTCTGCAAGTCGGAGGCAATCTACAGACACGGACGCATCCTGATAACCTAAACTATTCACAGATAACATAAATGAACCCGCCCCGAAAAAAAATACAAATACACGTTTGATCCTCTGGCTCTTTGTTAGCCCAGCTCCCCCCCCCGCCTCTATTTTTACTTGCCCATGGCACACATCCCGCACTGCATCACCACAGAGCGCTGCGACGCCTGCGAGAACCTCTTTCTCGAAATCATCACATGTCCCTTCCGCTACGTCTTCCCCTGCGGCCACGTCTTCTGCCGCCCCTGCCTGCGCAACTTCCAAGCCCGCGCCGAACCGAAACCAGAGCGCCCGGCCACACTTACAACATGTCCGCGGTGCCCGTCCACGCTGGTCCGCCGCACAAACAACTGGCGCTGCAACCACCCCATTCTCGTCGCGGAGTTTCTACAGGAAACGTACCAGCGCGGCGACGACATCATTGCCACACAGTTCCAGGCGCGGATTGGCCGCCCGCTCCAGGAGACCTGTCAGCGCTGTGCGCTCTCGTTTGAACTCCAGCGGTACTCGATGCGTGTGACGGGCGAGATGATGCTGGGTGACTTTCCGGGTGAGGTGTATGCGTGTGTCCATATTAATGGGTATCTTGTCCACGGGATGGTAAGGGAGCCGCGCCATGCGGTGGTTGATTTGGTGAATGATGCGGAGATGCCAAGGGCGAGTAGGCTGAATGAGGAGGATGCGCTGCATTTGACGACGTTTTTGGCGAGTTTCACGATGGAGCCGCATTTTGTACCGCTGGGACGGTTGGAGGTGACGTATCGGCTGCGTGGGTTTAAGGCGTGGGCGGACAGGTTGCCGGTGACGGATCTGGAGCATCGTGCTTTTACGGAGATGGTGAAGATTTGGCAGGATGCGAAGCAGAGACATGATGGGCAGGCGGGGTAGTAGTATGCAACACACAGAAATGTTATGGGCGATGGTTGGTGTGGGATGAAGATATACATAAGATGACGTTGCTTCTTATGTCGTTTATATTGACTCTCTATGCTAACTCGGATAGTCTGAACTTCCAGTATCCTTCGCGAACGGGGTCCCATTTCTTAGCCAAGCTCTGCAGGCAGACCGTGGCATTGCTCTTGTCTCCCTCCTCTTCATAAATATCCGCCAGCAAGTTCAAGGCGTGCGAGCTTCGAACAGCCTCGTCGTCTTTTCCGAGGTTATCGACAAACTGCTGGGTAAAGGCTTGCAAAGTGTTCAACTTGCGACCAGATTTCGTTATCAACGCCTGCATATAGTTCCAGGGAGACTGGTTCTGGGGCGCCAGCGGAATCTTTTCTTGTGCATACTTGATCTCCTTGTCGATGACGCTGTCTGGGATCTTGGGGTCGTGCTCAGCCGGCGTTGAGCCTAGTGTGGAGTGCTCGGGGTTGGAGCAGGTCAGAAAAAAGCGATGCGACCACGCCGAGTTGTTGCGGACATCATCCTCAATGAAGTTCTGAGTAGAGGCAAACTCGGCCGTGCTGAACTGGTTAAGCTTCTTCACCATTGACAGGCGGTAGGACCAGACATGGTAGTTTTTGCTGTCTTCGGCAAGCATAGTCGCAATAAACTCCCGCTCCGTTCTGGCAAACTCGCTAGTGGCCGCAGCAGCATTGGCAGGGTCCACGGTTAGGATGGGATAAAAGTAGTCTAGCAGCAATTGACGGTGATGCCAAATCTGGTAGTTTTTCAAGTTGTTTAGGGCAACCTCGTTCAGCCACTTGATCTCGTCGGGGACGGGCAGCTGTAGATTTTTAATAATCTTGAATCGGTAGAGCCAGACTGTATAATGAGAAGCGTTCATATCGATGACGAGATCCGTGAGCCGCAGACAGCGTGGGGAGTATTCCTCGGCTGCCATGACTGCGCGGAGGTAAGAGATGGCTAAGCAGGGAGCAGCGTTAGCGAGGGCTATATACTGGAAATCACAGCTTCTTGTTGCATATTAACGAAGTGGCAACGTACCCTCGGCGTAATCATCTGGGTAGGCAATCTTGGCGAGGGCGTCTTCGGGCTCATCGTTGGGGATGGGGATAACGTCGTCCCATTCTGGGTCGCTAGCCAACGGCCCTAAGATTTGACCGTAGAGGTCTTTTCGCAGGCCAGCCATGTCTCGTCGACGCTGCTTCTCTTCTTGAATGTCCTTTTCGGCAAGCTTAGTTCCCTTTTGCTGGGCTAGTTGTCTCTTTGTGATAAAGTGCTGGTGGAGTAGTCTCAGCGCCGCCAGCTGAGCTTGCTTTGTGCTTCGTTTCTCCAGGTCGCCGAGCTGGTAGGTGCCGATATCCTGACCGCTCTTATCTTTTCCCCAGTCGTAGTCGTCGCGCAGTCGTCGGATGGGCAGAGACTCCTTGTTGACCTGCTTCCAAAACTCTCGCTCTGTCTTGTTGGACAGCGGCACTCTTTGCTGGAAGACGGGGAGGATAAGGTTGGTATGGGCGTACGTCTTCTTCTCTGCTGGTGTCAGAGACTGGAATCCGTCGGTGTCTACCTTTTGTTGGAGGGGATTTGTGCCGAAATATCGCTGGTGGGATCGATCTGAGACGGTGGTTGCGGCTGGCGCGGGACTTGTGGCTGTAGCAGCGGGCGTTAGCATGGGCAAAGGCGTGATGGAGGTTATTTATTTTCATTCTTCTCACCTTTTGTCTCCGGTTGATTGGCTTTGGCAGCAGCCTTGGGCTTTGCTGGCATTGTTTGGGGCGGCGCGTCGTCAGGTTGATGGTGGGGGATGAAGAAGGGCGAGCTTGGGTTTGCACCCCGCTATCGAAAAAAGAACAATGCTAACGTGGAGAAGGCTGTGGCATGACAGCGCCCGCCATTCTTCCGCCACTACATACGCAGTAGGCGGTTTTACGTGTTTCCCGACTACCATTACTAAATAATATAGAAATGGAAATATTAACGCGGAATTGGTACCACTGAAACTAAATTCAAGCTGAAACATTCCGCTACCTGCATTTAGCCCGCGCCTCATCAGCTCGTGACCTCCATTCTACGCCAAGCACTGCCTGGTTGTTCTACAGAGCCTTCTTTTTTTCCCCATTTACTGCCACGTTTAACTTGATCAAATTATTACTTATGCATCCCTCTATCAAAGAACAACACAATGGAATTAACCTCTTTGCCTGCAGAAATTCTGTACCATATTCTTCTGCACGTGGCTGCGGATGACTTCGAAAATGCTATACTATCCTGCCAGTCTCTCCACAGCGTCGCATCCATCTTGATTGAAAGGCATAACCACCGTCGTCGGAAGTATAACACCATTAGGGGTAGAACAGACGACGAGGACGATGTCGACACTTGAGGCCGGAGCTTCCCACAGATACTATACCAAATTGCACAGGAACCAGACTTAACCTACTATGTTGATTTTGCCGACTTGGTTAGTCTCAAGCGACCCCGGAGTATGGCAGACCTACCTGACGACTTTCAAATCAAACCGGGCCAAACTTCATCTAAAGCTGAGAGAGCCATCCAATCTCTACTAAGATCTTCCGACTATCTATCGCAGCTCAACCCGAGTCCCGACTTTGCTGACCAGTAGCTATCCCGAATATTAGACTACAGTGCGGATGATGATGCACGAACGAGTGATTACAGCGTAGTGTTTCTCCTGACGTTGCTTCCTAGCCTGAATGCACTGTCTCTTGGAAGTTGTTGGGGTAGCAATGACTCTATCGAGATGGTGCTGGCACGAGATGGGCCACATTCTCCCACAGACGACGTGGCCAAGAGCGTACCAGATCTTTTAGAACTGATTGTGCGGCGTGCGAATGACGCCACACTACCCAGACAGTCTCTTTAAAAACTAAAAGCCCTCTTTCCCGTTCGAGATATTGACCGTCAAAACACTCATGATATGGTCCTGATGATGCCGTTCCTTGCCCTCAACTCGTTGCAAGAGTTCCATCACAACTTTGGATACGCGGAGGTCAAAATCGGGCTTCTTGAAGATTCGTGTTGCTCAAAGCACACCCAGGACAGTCATGAAATTGATGCAGATGGAGACCAAACTAGTACTGATGCCGAAAGTGACAACGAGGCTGAACATGACTACATTGATGACTACATAGATGCGGATGACGATGAGGAAGATGACGAGGATGACGACAGTAGTGACTGTAGCTATGACAGCCATGAGCCACGCAGAGAGAGAGAAGAAGCAGACTATCACAGCTACGACGGGTGCTTTATGCATCCAAGGTATCCTGTCCTCGGCAAAAATGTGGAAATCATTATTATGCACAACATGGAACTGTTCCAGGATTCATCCTACGTCATGTTCAGAGACATGCACAAACTAGAGAACCTTCAAATAAGATATGCTGATGGAGATGATCATGACATGCAGTGGGACATCGCAGGGTGCATCACCGGTATCATGTGCTCCGTTGGCGCGAATCTGGAGGACCTCGTTCTCGAGGTGGCCGAGGCGTATGAGTTCGTTAGCCGCATTCGGCTGAGTCTGCATGATTTCAAAGTGCTTAAGCGATTGTGGCTTACCACAGTCTTCTTTGTCAATGGAGCCGCTGCAACGGCTGACTACCGCGACGAAGATGCTGAAGAAGACGACAAGTTTGCAAATGGGCCTATAGAGCCTCTAGTTTATGTTTTGCCCCCCAGCCTCGAGCATTTTATATTGACTGTGTCGTCTGACCATGGCAAGCACTTGCCCCTTCTATTTGAGGGGTTCGGTGAGCAAAGACAAGAGCATTTACCTCATCTCCGTAAGGTGACGCTACATATTCAACCCACCGACTATTGGGGGGTTCCATACGGTGGTGATGAAGACGAGATTATCAGATTTGCGAAAGAGTATGGCTTTGATCTGGAATAACGAATAGTACATCCAAAAGAGTACACGGATTACGCAGAGCTGGCCGTACTAGAGAATGAGATGACACCTGCGAACCAACCAACACACCAGCGGAGCAATGGCTGCCCGGAGCAACAACTGTTGTCAATTTGTCTCTCGGACATCCGGAACCGAGATGTTACAGTTACGGTAGATAATCTGAAAGAAATTGAACTGCGCCCTGCTGAAACTTGCGCTCGGGCTTAGTCACGGTTCGGCCATTGACCTAATTAAGGGCATCGCCTTGGTCGGCTAGTATCCCGAGTAGGTATCTCGCAGAGCGTCCCAACATAGATCCACATAATAGAAAGGCCGTTGCATATAGGTAAACGACACCAGAGCCTTGTGCAAACGTCACCGAGCGGTCGAGAACCTGTCAACACTGCCTGCCTCAAGCCTCCAGCCTCGTCAAAGTAAGGCGAACCAACGCCTTACGCACGGAATTTCCCAATGTGGTAAAGGTACCCTCGTCTAATTCCCCTCTTGTCACTTTATCGGCAAGCCCGAATCTCCCAATTGTGCATTTGTGGCAGTGTCTTGTTCAGATAACCTAGGTACCCGTCACCAGTGCGCATCACCAGTGGGCTGGTTCTCGGTTATGTTCCGCTGCCCTCGTGGTAGCCTCGTTGAGTTCATAGGGCTGCATTTGATGGCTTGCCTTGTTCTCGTTTATGGATTCGAGCCGAGAAAGTGATGAAATTCACTCTCTTGTATTCATCTGAAGGTGGCTGGCATGTAAACTGGGATGATACATGATCTGAGTCGCTATGATAGCGGAGAAAGCTATTGAGACATAGTTTGCTTTCAATTTCATCGACGAGAAACTAGCCACACAAGATTTCTGACCAAAATTCTAAGATAAATTGTTCGAGTGTTCCGATGAAATGGTTATGGTAGAAAAAGCTAATCTAAGCCCCCCTTCTTACACAAGGCTGCAGACTCTCGCATTCGGATTGCTACACTCGCGGAGTTTGCCTGTTTCAAAGCAATTCAGACTACTCTAACCCTATTTTAAAAAGCTTTGTAATTCTCTCCAAGGGTACATGCTTGTCTAATAGCTGCTCAGTTCGCAGGTAACGTAACGTGGGCGAATATAGCCACCACAAGTGTTGGCGGTATGGGAACTGCCAAGCCAAACGAGGTTAGAGCTTTCCTATTGTAGGCAAGGACCGCCTACCATCCCGTATTCTTCGCTAGACGAGCAGCCCTCTGAGCACGGTTCTCTTTGTCATGAGGCTACACAGCCAGCATCTTCGTGAGGTATCGAGACCGGCATGTTCGCCTTGTGATTGCAGCCGCGCAGCATGTTGTCTTGTAACTATTCAACCTGACTGTCGGGGACTTTCCGAGTGGAGAGCTGTACAATACTTGGTAAAGGTAGATTTGGAACAAAGGTAAAAGAATATAAAGCTCTCGCGAATTCCCATCAGACAAGCCAGTAGTTTCTCTTCACCGGCCTACAACTCACTGCCCACTTGTATACTTATTCCCAACAATTCTCTTTTTTATCCATTCAACTTATTTAACAACACCGAAGATGCAAGGCCTAAGTCAACTCACTGCTCTGGCTCTTCTTGCTAGCCCAATTTTGACCATGGCATCGGCTGTTCCAACTTCCACTAGCGAGCCATGCCCAGGTCCTTCTGAGCCTACGCCATCGTGCATAAAGCCCAATCCCAAGCAATGGATACCCAGGAACCTCACCTACCCAGCAGACCCTAATGCTGAGCTTGAGCGACCAACCAAGTGGGTTCCCAAAATTGGACAATCATGGCAGATTGTGCTCCGTGGCACTGTCGACGAGGATATTGAGCCTCTGATTCCAAACGTTGACATCTGGGATATTGATGTGGAATTAACCAACAATACTCTCATTGAAAAGATTCACAAGGCCAACAAGAAGGTCATGTGTTACTTCAGCGCTGGTTCATTTGAAGCCAACCGCAGCGACTGCAACAAGTTTCATGAAGAGGACTTGGGATGCCAGTTGAAAGGATGGGACGATGAGTGGTGGTTGAACACTGATAACGAAAATGTACGCAACATCATTGCTGAGCGCGTCAAATTTGCGGCCCAGAAGGGCTGCGATGCCATCGATCCGGACAACGTGGATGGATATGTAAGTACTACGACCCAATTTGTTCAATGTTAACCTATGCCAACCAACTTATGTCCTAGGACAATCCTGAAAATGGCCTAAGCCTTACTCCTGGACATGCCAAGAGACTCATCCAGTTTCTGCGCGAGGAAGCCGACAAATACAATATGGCACTCGGCCTCAAGAATGCAGGTTGCATTATCGACGACGTCTTTGACCTGGTCGACTTTAGCGTTAATGAAGAGTGCGCTGGTCTTAGGACTGGAGAATGCAAAACGTACCGGGAGTTCACTAACCCAACAAAGCCTGGCAGAAGCAAGAAACCGGTCTTCAACATCGAGTATGGAAACGAGGTAGCCCCTGGAAAATACGTCATTGACGAAGAGTTCGTTGCTATGGTTTGTAACCATACTGGGCCTGCTGAAGGAAACAAAAACTTCAGCATTGTTTTCAAAGACCATGACAATGTTGATGGTTGGGTTGAATACTGTGACAGAAAGATTTATAACACAACGCTGAAGTACCGAAAGGGTGATGACAAGCTGACGGCGCTTCCTCTTTAGATGAGCAGACTGGGTTTTGTTTCGGAAGTATTTTTTTTTTTTTTGAATTTCCTTATTCTTAGAGCATATACTGCTAGATAGATGGTGCGTTTGCTGCGTAGAATGCGATAAAAGTTGTCATTCGATACAAACTCTCAACTCGACAAGGTGACTTTGGATATTCTAGATCCTAATACAGTTGTAATATATTTCCAGACTCTACTAAATACAAAGATTTTACTTTTTATATAAATCCTATATTATCTCAGAATCAAGCACAGTACCTGAGGTAAGAACATAGCTCTGTTAGTCTGTCGGTCTATTCGAAATGTTGTGAAACGACTTGTAAATACCCAACATCTGGTATAAGGAGTAGTATCGAACCTGTAGATTGTATCATCCAACTTGACGAATCGTAGTGGCGACGAAGTTTTATATTTACAACGTCGTCGCACTCAAACTCAATTATGTACCTTGTCTTTCTGTTTCATTATCTCTACTCTTCTCAATACACCCTAGCTCGTCTCCAACAGAGGATATGCATCTTGTTTTTTATTTTACATTCAATCCACATAATCTAAGATTAAATCTTACACGCCGGCCTTCTTGGGTTGCCTTTTTTCCCACACAGTTCGCGCTGAAGCCAAACCCGGAGAGAACTGGACCGAAATTAGCTTCAGCGTCATTCTCTGTTACAGTTGCGGCCGAGTCGATCGCAAAATGGCGAATATTTGCTGCAGAATCCGGACAGGCAACATCTGCTTCTCCATGGTGTGAGCTATCGAAACGCACATTGCACCCTTTTTCCTTGCACCACAACACACTGATGCTACTAAGAAATTTCTCGCAGGATGCATGGAGGTACTGGAAGACCAAGGGATCGTTTCTATATACGGACTCCTTGCTGGGATAAATGTAGAGATAGTTCTTTTGGCTCCTGTGAGGAGTGATCTTTTTTGCATGCGATTCTCCAAACTTGATAACTGTCATAGTGCTATCTGAAATATTGGCTGCGTCAGCTGCATCACTCACAACTACTGGGTAATGGCAGTAATTGGTGATTATAACCAAAGCGTCGGTGGGAACGGCGCATTCATAATCATAATTTTCGTGGATGGATGCTGGCTGTGCTGGTTGATAGAGATCAGTTGCGCCTATAATAGACAAATCAGTCAATATTAAAAAGAGGCAGAATTTCTTCATATTTATTTGTTATTACACAAATAAGCCCGATTTGAAGAAGAAAGGGTTGACTTGTTCGAGGGCTTTCTACTACGCAAGCAACATTGGTAGCCTTCTTGTGACGACCGCTCGAGAGTATATAGATGAAATTTCTTAGTGTTCTGGAATTTCGATTATGTTATGAAATTTTATACGTTCTATTTATGCAAGAACAAGCTTATCCCATATTTAGCATCTAACTTCCTTTTTTCATGATAGTTCCAGACTTTTGTCTCACAAGGGTGCTCAGTATATGTCCACAACCCAGATATAGATAGACAAGACAAGTTTAAAACCGCTCCAATTAAAAGAAAGCAAGATTATGATTGAAGGTATTTTAAGTAATATCAGCCGTACGTCCTCGCTTCTCAGGAGATTGCCCCAGCTGTGACCATGACATATAGAATGGAGAGAAGCTCAAATATTTCCGAGGAACACAGGGAATGGGACAATCTGCCATTCAACTTCAAATCACAGACTTGCCTGAATTGCCTCAAATAAGTATTTTCCGACAGTTTACAGCCCTAGTTTTAGCTAGCATTGCTATCAATGCTATTCCCGGAGATGCACGCGTTGATATGAGCTTACTTCCCTCTCTTGAGTTTTCGAACCAAGAGGCCAACTGGGATAGGAAGTTGATATATCTTATAAAAAGATGCAAATTTCCAGTCCATGTGTTGCAGACAGTTGGTTTATCTACCAAGAAAATTGAATCCCTCCCCCAAGATTCGTTTACGAACCACACGCTAGCTCGGGATGCAGAAGCAAGTACTGTTATATATCGATTCTCGCAGTCGGAAAAGTTTTTATTGGATGGGAGCGGTGCAGTACACCTTTCATACAACTTCAATGAGACGGAGAACGCAATAGCCATGGACGCCCAGATGGATACCCTGTTTAAAAGTCCGTTTCCGGGAGGCAACGACTCTAGATTTGGCACTGCATTCGCTCATGAGTGTAAGGGATCGTGGAATACAGCAATAGAAATGGGACAAAAGTTAAAACGAGAGAAGAAATGCGAGTCCAAAATGGGCAATTATGTTGCACATATACTGGAATTATGCGTTGTAAAAAAGAAATAAAAACGAAATACAAATCTTGCTATTTTCTGCGGCAAAAGCATCGTGCCTGTTGAGATACGATAGAAGCTGCCTGTATTTCCTGCACCAAAACGCCCAAAAAACAAATAATGTGAGCGAAGGCTTCGTGTCGCTTCAAATCCAGCCATTCCATCTTTCCTGCTTCTCCAAACGTCAAAGTGTAACTACCAGCATAGTACCTCACAGAGCCCTAAAGTTTTGGGACATGATGAGCCACTTCTGCAGACCTCGCGGCGGATTCTTCTTCATTGAGTCCCAGTTTGGCACCAGAACAAACGTCTCATTAAACATCTTGGCCGGTGCGTCTTTGCCCGGGCCAAATTGCACTTTGCCGACAGTGACGACCACGATGCTCATGCGCGAGCCGTTGGATTCAAGCTTGGCGTTTTCGATAATGTTGCTGGGGGCTCCGTACTGAAAGGACGGGTTCATGACGTGGGTATCAAAGGACTCAATTTCATAGTGAACGCCTTCGCCTTGGCCCTCAAGCAGCTTCAAGTAGTCTTCTGGCGTTGCGACGACAGAGCCGTTAATAGAGATGTCCGCGGGGATTGCATACCGCGCAGAGGAGTTGACATAAAAGTTTTTGAGGTTGGCGCGTTTGTTTATCACCTGGTAGTAGTGGTTGATGAAGTTTTCAGCGGCTATGAGACTGGGTTAGAAGATGATATTGACTTTAGCAGTTGTTTGAGGCGGGGATGTGAGCTTTACCATCGCTGGAGGCGGACACCTCGACATTGGCATCAGGTAGAGGCATTTTATTTAAAGTTGCTTTCACTGTGTGTATATTTGGCAACCAAGTTAGAAGAGTTGGTGTGGCGCCGAGTTGAAAATACAAATGTTCAAGTTGAAGCTTGGACAACGCGTGCCAGCAACACATTTTCAGTGGCTCCACATCCGCCCGCACAGCGCAGCGCCCGCCACCACCAGCGCCCGGCAGGATTAGGCTACAGCGCCCGCCTAAATAAACTACAGGCGTCAAACTCCCCTTGTCATGATGAAATTCTCGGCTGCTATAGGATTTACCATGACATCGGCGCACTGTATAATATATCAATTACGTTGAGCTATGTTCTACATAATAATCTGATGCAAATCATATCCACCAACGAGCCTCATCTTACCCATACGAACATACTGTATGAGCAACTACAAAGGGCTAGCATCAGAGTCTGTCTCTTAGTTAACATCAACAATACATCGATGACCCGAAGGATACAACAGGAAATGATTCATGGGAACCATATCACGTTCCGTCATCCCCATCTTGGTTGACGCCGTCGCATCTGGGAATTCTAGAAAGAATCGAGCCGCAGTCCGACGCATCTCCTGCATTGCCAGCTGCATTCCTATACAAACTGTTTCTGTTAGACCAAGTACTCCAAATGCGAAGATGATGGACTTACTGCGGGGGCCCCTTCCGAATGGCATCATAGAGCGCTTCATTTCGTCTGTGGTATGCTCCCATCGAGATGGATCAAATACTGCTGGTCGAGGGAAAACAGCGCCGTTTCGATGCAGCGTATAAGCCTGTGTAGAAACGGTAACTCCTTCGGGGATATAGTGTCTCCCTGCCTGCAGACCTCCCTTCGGGACACATCGTGGCAGAGACGATGGCGCCGCCGTCCACAATCGCAATGTCTCTTGCAACACGCAGTCTAGATAGTTGAGCTCCTTGAGATGACTGTCTTCATATGAGTCAGGGAGTGTTTGAAGCTCCTCCACCAGCCTCGACCGAATAGAGGCATCTCGACACACGTTCCATATGAGATAGGTGAGCGTGTTTGCAGTGGTGTCCGTGCCGGCCAGGATATTCGACTGGGCCTCAATTTGAATGTCGTGAAACGTGACTTGGCCCTTGTCAAACGCGTCAAACATATCACCAAAGAGCGAGTGTTCAGGTTTGTCATTGCCAGAGGCGCCGCTCATGAACCTCTTGAGCGACTCGTCAGCATACTCATCCAAGTTTTGGCGCATCTTGGAAAACCTGTTCAGAGGCCATGGCAACAGCATGAGAACAGAGGCAACAACAGGCATGAATGCCTTGAATGCACCAAGTGTTGCAGAATCGCCCAAATCTTTGATATATTGGCTCTTCTGCGAGAGATTGTCAGCTTTGAAATAATGGCACAACAAGTGGGACAACATACGACTCCTTTTTCAAGCATTCGATACGATTTACCAAACGTCAATTCGCCAATCACGTCTGTAGCTAGAAGATAGAACCACTTGTGCACGTCGACGCAACCGCTACGAGTTGAGTCGCTCCTCATTTGCTGCATGGCAACATCAATTCGCTCAGTAGTCACATGGTAGACCTTTGTGAGTGACGACTCGGTGAGTCCACGAGCCAAGAGACGGCGTCGTTGACGATGAAAGTCTTTGTCTGAAGTGGTGAAGAGACCAACATCCTTGGCAAACACAAAGTTGGCATACCAGTCTGTCTTTAGAAAGTCTTCTTTCAGACTGTATATGGTTTGGACAACGTCCAGATCGGTGCAGCTAACTTCATTTGGTCCAAGCCTGACCGTACCACCTATGGTGCGTTTTGGGTTAGCAGAGCGGCTATCGGTAATAGGCGTTGTGCGAGACTTACCATATTTCTGGTGCAGTGCGTGAATGTATTCGCACCGAGAACCTACGACACTATGGTACAGGACGGTGGTGCCGGCGAACTTTGTGTGCCAAGGTCCAGGAATACGGGCGATTGGTGAAATGGTGCAAATGAAATAATGCTTGAACAAACGATAAGTATATATGTTTTGCCTGTGATCAATGGCTACATGGATTCACTTACTCTAACCACTAGTAAAAGAAGAGCGCCGAGGACGACGCTGACGATTACAGCCATATTTGACCTGTTGGATTCGGTTCAGAAAAAATACAAATTAAAAAGAACCAAGGTTTCTCGATTCAGAAACTTCAAAAATTCTTATGAAGCTGACAGAGTCGGCCGTGAACTAATCCCATATTATGATGATGCCCTGAATTTCACGTTCAGGTCGATCCGCGCTAGTGACGTACCGATTTCCGATCGACGCCACGCCCGCCATCTAACCTACCTGACTTATTGTACCACTGTAGATCGGGGTAGAATTTGGTGTATACCAAAACCTCACGGTAAATAATCCGACATGAAACAATTTCATTGACGGTCATTGTTCTACATCTAACTTGTACTAAGAACAAATAATCGCCTAGTCCCTGGCAATAGCCCCGACCATCTCTTCCCTTATAAGATCTGCCCCTCTTTCCGCTACGGCATAGACAGTCGTTAGAATATTGCCTCTAGGGATAATAGGAAAGATACTAGCATCGCAAATCCGCAGGCCATCGACGCCGTGGACGGCCAGATTAGCATCAACAACGCCGCCGAGATCTGACCTTGCCATCACACAGGTTCCGCATGGATGATAGTTTGTGGCGCTATACTTTCTGATAATCGTCCTGATTTCCTCGCTAGATAGTTCCTCAGGCGCCATATTGCCAGGGAACCACTTTCCACCAGCCTCAAGAATCTGGGCGAATCGCGGTCGTGCGAGAAATCTTTGGGTCTGAAGTGTGTGCTTTACTAGAATCTCCGTGTCAAGGGGATGTGACAAGAAATTCATATCAATGCGCGGATGGGACGCTTCATCGTTGCAAGTAATGTGCGACGAACCTGTGCTGAATGGATGGGACAGCATCGATAGAAATGTCAAGTAACGACCAGAGACGGGCGCTCCTGGCTCTTTGTAGCGTAGGGTTGGTATCATGGCCATGGTTGCGCTGGCTTCCACAGGCGAGCGAAGCATCTTCTTGTTGAAGTCGAATCTGGCCTGTTCTAGGGGATTTGCACTGGTTTTAAGCTCACCCACCAATCGTTCCATTTCGACGCCCTCTTCTGGCGTTTCAAGTAATTGAAGTGGCCAATATGCGTAATGATACGCTGGCCCTTCGGATAATATGCCGGTGCGATGGCTCTCATACTCTGCTTGAGCAGCCTCTGCTGTTGACTGACTCTGGCTGAGTACATCAAATGTTTCAATGTGCGATTTGATCTCGACGCTAGGTCCAAAGTTGATGTGATCCTGCAAGTTTTCTGCTCAAGTTAGTCATACATACCGTCTGTCTTCAACGCATCCTCTTACCTCCTACAGCTGGGAGGTGTACTATACACTCCACTCCAGCCTGTTCCAGTATATCCTTATTTCCTATACCGGAAAGTTCAAGAATCTGTGGACTACCAAAGGCTCCGGTGCAAAGCACAATTTCCTGCTTAGCTTGAAGGATAGTTGGCTTGCCATCCTTTTCAACCAATACTCCAGTTGCCGTTGGCTTGGTGTCTGATCCAGATACATAATCAAAGATGATCTTTTTGACAAGTGTATTGGGGAGAATAGTGATATTTTCACGCCCACGAGCCGCTTCCAAGTACTCCTTTCCTGCGTGGCTTCGTTCACACTTGCCAGGTCTCCCATCGATTGCGTTTGTCGTGATTGTGCCACCGATAGCGTTACCATCAGATGCATATCCCAGATAGAAGCAGCCCAGGGCTTCAAATGCTTCTTTCCAAGTCGCTCCCAACTCGGTACGTCGCTGCGTGAAAGAAGCCTTGATTGGGCCATTGATTGACGGCGCTGACTGTGTGTCGCTCTGATTCGGCGCCTGAACGGTCTGGAACTTTTCATAAAAGGGTTCCATCTCGTCCCAAGCCCAGGTATTATTTCCTGCTATATCAGCCCAAGCATCGTGCATCGCACGACTAGGAAATACGAGACTGTGGGAATTAATGGCTGAGCTACCGCCAAGCATTCGTCCTCGCGTCTGGATAAAAGCCCGGTTGTCGGCGTGTTTTTGCGGGATCGTATGATAGTCCCAGTCATAGCTTGGATCGCCAAACATTTGCCGACTGAGCATTGGACTAGTAACTTTCGGGTCATTGGTATGGTCAGGGCCGGCCTCAAGCAAAAGAACTCGTAGTGTTGGTGTCTCGGACAGACGTGAGGCAATTACGCAGCCTGCGGCGCCGGCCCCGACGACTATAACGTCGTAAACATCCGTTTCTACAGTCATTCGATGGTAAATCTTGATACAGATTACCAGTTTCAGTAAAAATATTAAAACTGTTGAGAATTGATGTTGATGCCGGACACTTAAATGGTGGGGGAGATGCGCTACTGAGCCTTATTAGGTGGATCGGCGCTTATAACAGATTAGGTGGCCATGCCTTTGACTCAACAACCGTCACTGAACTTCCAAAATAAATATAAAATAATAGCAAAATAATATCAAATAGCATATGTTCATCTATAAAAGAATATAGATATCGCTCCGTGACGTAGAAGTTTGGTGAATGAACCAAGAATCAGCGGCTGTAACCGTAGCCAGCAAAGAAAGCGTCATACGACATGTTACGACTCTTCCCCATCTTCATCCACGGTTTCAAATTTCAAGCACCTCTCTGGTACCTCAATTTCGCCTTCAACATCATAGACTCCAATCCACCACTGACCAAAAGCTTTGAACTCGCCTTTGGTTACACCTGATTCGGGACCAAGATCAAAATGTCTTCCGTCTGGGAGCCAAAACCCAGTGGCGACCGAATCCCCTGTACTCTGATCATTTAATATCATGACATCGCGTTTAATCATATCTTTCATGGTGGTGAGATAATGAGCAGCGTATTCTGCATCTGGTTCGTTGTCGCGGGGCGGAACATGGTTTTTGATTTCGCTTTGCAGAACCATAGTATTAGGGTCTGCACCCAAGGATAGAAGCCAGTCCCGTTGCTGTCTTGCATCCGCAGCGTAATCGTACGGTGTTTCATAGACCATAGGATCGTCGTCGTTGCCAATCTCGTGGTTCATAAGTCTACGCCGAGTCAAGAAGGAGGGCCGCAAGTACGAGAACTTCTTTTCAACCTCGTGAGCAGACAGTTTTCCTTGAACAGTGTCCTTGTCGGCATCGACTCTAGTGCCGTCTTGAGCATCGGGAGATATGGCCATGGCGTTGACAATCAAAAGATTGACGGCCAGAAGCAGGATTGCTCCGTAGTATAAGCTGCGTAAAAGGGACATTGATGAGTTTGTGGAAAGGAAGATGCAACAGATAGAGGGAGGGGTCATGTACGAATATGTAGCTTACAGCCTGACTTCCATTGGCACAGATTACTAGCTTCCACTGCGGCCTACACAGCCTCATCACGTTACTGTAGGTTGAGTCTTACGTCATTAACTAGCTGAACGATTTGCGGTAATTTATTTAACTTGTTTATACAAGAACTGCGTGCTATGGGTTTGAAGTTATAGAGCAATATAGTGCATATATTTATCTACACTACAGATTGTGCAAAACTAGTCGTTAGCAGCGCCAGTCGATATAAACAGTGAGGTTAGTATAGTATCAGTTATGTGATCGACGTAGAAAACATGATAAAAAAGGAAAGTATATCTCGCTATAGAAATGAGAATACAGACTAAAGAAATATATTACACTATATTCTATCTTGTATTACAGCTACTTTGGCTTACTATTATATAGGTACATCATGTCAATGACTCGTTTATCACGTGTTATTCTCCAAATAGTAAATCCCCTTTATGATCTAATTTCAATATTGTCATACTCCGCAACTTTTACTCTGTTATATTTATGAACATTAATATTTATATCTTATGTACAGGCCGGAGTGTTATTCACTACTTTGTGTCTATACCTCTCCGAAATCGATATTACCTTGGCTCTCTAAGTACTACACACAATGTCTACTTCCAATCCATCGTCAACCCCTATACAAACAGCACCACCTCCAAGCCTTATCACACAGTTTACGCAGCCATCAGAGTGTGTAAATCTGTTTCACGTCGTGACAGAAAAAGCATCTCTTGAGACATACATAAATAACTCGTCTCGTAACTTGACCACGACTATCCTTACCTCGGACAGCAACGACAACCGCTTCTCCTCATGCCAGCCCTCAGGATGGGATAAAGCGCACTTTACGTTTAGCCCGGGCCTCTGCGCAAGCGGCTGGGTCTACAAAGAGCTACAAGCGACAGTCTTGAGTACTGCTACTATATCAACTGCCCACTGTTGCGCACCGTAAGTTGCTTCGCTCTTAACCTATGGACCGTGGTATTGAATCTAACTATTTAACCTATCTCGTAGGGACTACAACCTTCAAGTCAAAGGCCCGGAATATAATGGTGTCTTGCAATGCAAAAAGATCAAAGTCGAAGGCAGCCATTACGAGACGCACTTGCATGACGCCTGGGTTGTCAAGTGGCAGGCGTCTGACAAGCTACCCATCTCACTTCCCAACCTACCCACCGGTTACACTGTTCCTTCTTGGCAACCAGGCGAGTCTGCTAAACTTAGTCCGGTTGACGGCTATGAGCCGGGCAACGCGAGGGATAGAATCGAATCTCTGGTCGTCCCTACGGTGATTCCAATTGTTGTAGTGTTACTTATCGCACTAGGCATTGCATATTGCTTAGTTAGACAAAAGAGAGCAAAGAAGCAAAGGCGAGAGGAATTGGCGCTCGAAGAACACGCTGAGAGTAAGAAAGAAAGCAAAACTACTGAATCATAAAGTTGGGAGCGTCTTTTTCTCCAATCCTTTACTCATTATTTACATCCAGTGAGGGGAACTCCAACACGTGCTACTCACAGAGCCTTGAGCACGAAGAATGCGGCCTTCCAGGCAAAGTGAGGCTGTCGCCTCGTCCGGCGAGACCAAAGTTACAAGAACTACATTAGTAGCAGGAACAAAGAATGCAATAGCGGTTGGAAGCCAAACCGGTTGGATCTTGCCGTTGTTTCTTCTTTTCATTCAATAGAGTATATAACGTAGTTGATATTTACATCAGGCCTAGGTCCGGTAGTGGAACGGGAACCTCGTGCTTAGTTTGCCTGCTTCATCTACTGTGTAGGTACCTTGAGCCGCAAGCTCTACGTTATGCGGTATAAAGAATGCCGCCAACAGCTTCGATTCAAGATCGTTTAATTCATAGCGCCACTCCGGGACCGTTCGATAGGCTGGAAAGTCATATCGGCGAGTGTATAGCCTTTCGGCACATATTTGCGTCCAAGAACCATCTGGCTGTCTCTCTTCAAATGTCTGGACGCTGATTGGCATATTGTCATAGTCTGGGTGTTGAAGGTAGTAGAGATTTTGGCGGTTATGTGTTCTTGTTGCCGTCATGATAGGATCCAATGTCACAGGACCACGGCTGCAAACGTCTTCAACGTCGGTCCAGGCTGAATCAAGGACAATTTCACCCCAAGTGCCTGGTGGCAGCTGTCGTAACCGGCAGCGTCGCGATGGCTGCTTAAACAAGAGCTGCGTCTCAAATATCCCATCGGCCGCCTCCCTATGAGTTGTACTTGCCACGACAAGTGCGAGGGTCTTGGCCTGTTTGGCGAAGCCTTGGAGGTAGCCGTAGGTTGCATGGCCGTTGAATTCGCATAGACCAGTGCGTATGGGGAGAGCCAGATGCTTCGATTGCTGCAGCAAGGCTATCGTTGCTCGTTCATCACTAGTGAAAATATACCTGTTATCCTGGCCAAGCTCATAGTAGGCCAAGGTTGACATCATGTCGTCAGCGTCTAATCCAATATACAAAACGTCAAGCTCGGGATTAAAACTGTGAAAAGGCACAGGGCACCCTGACAGCTTAGAATACCGAAAGCTCACGCCGCTCAGCGTGTGGTTTTGCACAAAGTCTCGAGCTTCCCTGCAGGTATCATGATGACTGGGAAATCTGTGTCGACTACCAACGGCCCATGCGGTAACGGTGCACGAAGTCCGCTAGGCGTTTGGCAGGGGTCTAGTACGGTTGGCCATGCTAGATAGACTTCTGGTTGATCATCCGGGAGCGAGTGCAGCCAAATCCGGTGGCGTATCTCAAGGGGCAAGTCGAGGAATCGTGAGAATTGCGTTGGCGTAGTTGTGCTTGCCATAGCCGTCCGGGATTAACAGGCCGTGCAATAGGACAAGATAAAGAGGATAACTGCAATAGAAGAATGCAACGAAGATAACATCTAAGGGAAAATTGTAAAGAGGGAGTAGAAGCAAGGCTTTGGTGGAGGCACCTTGATTGTATTGGACTTTTATTTTTACGTGGGCATGGTAAGGTACAGAAGTGATGGACGGCCCGTTTTGCAATCATTGCCTATCTATGTATTTATCGATAGAAATACGACAGTAGTTTTAGTGTATATAATTTATTTGATATAACTAGAACACTTTAAGAGAATTTATTTTGTACAATTACAAGAGTGGCGCTAGTGTCCCACTGTGGAAGGAAACCGACAGCCAGCTTCTCCAAAAACGCAGCACTAAGTAATTCATCGCTACCAGCTTCAACTCCTCCACAGCAAAACACCACCCGTCCGCTCCGCCGCCACGATGCAGGCTCTGCAGGCAAATGGCCTCTGCCGTTTGCAAAAATCAGCATCGCCTCTTGCTTCTCGATGGAATTGGCCGTGCATTCGACGCGCAGCCGCCAACCTCCCTGCGCGACGATGGGCAAGCGACGATGCCCCGACAGCTCCTAGCGCAAAGCCTTTTTACGTTACAACGCCCATTTTCTACGTCAATGCCGGTAATTGCGATCCTTATTTGCTTCGTTTTTATACAATTGCTCTAACATCAGCCTGTAGCTCCCCACATTGGCCACCTTTACACGACAGTTCTCAGCGATGTCATCAAGCGATGGGAGCAGCTCAAAGGTAACGAGGCCTACCTCTGCACCGGAACAGACGAGCACGGCATGAAGATTCAGCGCGCTGCTGCCAAAGAAGGAATCCCCCCGAAAGAATTCTGCGACGGAAACTCTACCAAGTTTCGCGAATTGGCGCAAATGGCCAACATCTCCAACGACTTCTTCATTCGAACGACCGATCAAGACCACAAGGATGCCGTAGCCCAATTCTGGCTCCAGCTGAAATATTCGTTGGCGGAAGGGCTTGGCTTGTATAAGGGCACCCATGAGGGATGGTACTGCGTTAGTGACGAGTGCTTCTACCCCGAAGACATGGTGCAGCCCAGCATCGTCCCGCAAACCGGCAAGAAGATTATGATCAACACCGAATCGGAAAACGAGGTGGAATGGGTCAAAGAAGAAACTTGGTTCTTCCCTCTGACCAAATACAGAGACGCGCTTCTCAAATTCTACGACGAGAACCCCGACTGGATCAAACCTGAGCACCGCATGAAGGAAGTCCGCGACTGGGTTGAGAACCACCTCGAGGACTTATCCATTACTCGACCACATTCGCGGCTCAGCTGGGGTATCCCTGATCCCGAAGACAGCAACCAGACCATCTACGTCTGGGTGGATGCGCTGATTAATTACATTACAAAGGCTGGCTATGGCAGCAAATGGCAGGTTGGTAGCAAAGACACTGGCATTTGGCCAGCCGACGTGCAGGTCATTGGCAAGGATATTCTTCGATTCCATGCCATCTACTGGCCTGCTCTGTTGCTTGCCGTTGGCTTGCAGCCGGCCAAGAAGCTCATCTGCCACAACCACTGGACCATGTCCAATCGCAAAATGTCGAAATCTCTGGGGAATGTCGTGAATCCCGTGTTCGCTATCCAGCGATGGGACATTGACCCTTTGCGATACTTTTTAATGAGAAACGGCAGCTTCAGTAAAGATATGAGCTACTCAAACGATACCATTGCAGGAATCTATGTCAAAGAGCTGCAGGCCAATATTGGCAACCTATTCTACCGCATTGCAAAGCCCAAGGCAAACACGCGATGGTCGCTGCAAAACGCCGTCAAGGCCTTCCATGGCGGCAGTCTAGGCACGGTTGCTGAACGCTGTAAAAACGGTACTGAAGAAGCAAAGTATATGAGCTTGGAACCCCATTTGGATGCCATCACGAGTCGATACGTGACAGAAATGGACGACTTCAATATGAGTAACGCTATCCGCGAAGTTTTCGAGCTGTTACGAGAGGTGAGTTGATACTGTGACTAACATATAAAGCCATAACTAACCACTCTATTTATTTGTAGACAAACCGATTCGTGACTGATACTGAGCCATGGAAAATCGCCAAGCTAGAAGGCGATGAAGCGCAGGAATTGCTCAACTGGGTTGTTTACAGCTGTGGCGAGGCTCTCCGTATATCCGCCATTCTTTTACAACCAATTATGCCAGCCAAGACTGCCCGGCTACTTGATGAGTTGGGTGTCCAGCCATCTCGGAGAACCTTGGAATGGGCGCATAAAAACAAGGATGATAGCTACGGAACTGAGACGGCCATGGCTGGCGATGTTGTAGCCAGAACTCACAAGTGGGATACCATCTTCCCGCCAACAGCCAGCGCCGAAATGACGGACCAGGAGGTCTTACAGCTTCTCAAGACTGAACTGGCCTCCAAGACAAGAAATAAGATGAACCAGATGGTTGAACTGCTTGCATTGGAGGCTAGACTTGGTGATGAAGGTGTGAGCAAGCTGATTGCTGATGCCAAAGTCAAGACTGGCACATCGTGAGGCAGCTGCGAAGATGAAATAAAAGTAAAACGAATCTGTAAATTATACAACTTGGTGGATTAAATTGGGTAGGATAGAATACCTGTATCATACTGTAACATTAAACACATTGCAACTCGTTGGTCTATATTGTATGCGCAGCGTGGTGGTTCTGTCCCCGGAATGGAGCAAGCGCTAAATATTTGTGTCTGCGCTACAGCACCGATTTTTAACGCCGCATCAACCGCCATAGCAGCATCTGCGCAACCCTCACAATGAAAGTAAATACAACAGCCGGTTAGTTTTCTTGTAATCTTTGAATTTTACAGCAACATTGCTAAGCAGTCGCTACAGCCATACGAACAAGCAAGGTGCTGCTGGTGCCGTATGAGGCACACCACGTTGACAGGTATCATCGCTGGATGCAAGATCCTGTGAGTTCTGACAACAGCAGCGCTCGGCATTCAAGATGCATATTAATAGATTACGATAAAGCATATTCAAGAGGCTACGGCGTCAGAGCCCATGACGCTGGAAGAAGAGTACGAGAACCAGCAGTCATGGAGAACATCCAACGACAAACTCACTTTTATCGTGTGTGCACCAATTGAAAATCCTGAAGGCAACATCACAGCCAAAGTCCAGGACTGCGACGTAAATACCAAAGGAGACGTCAACTTTTTCTTATACGCCGATGATGGTGAGGACGACGAAGAAGAAGGACGTGCACCCAGGACGAGTACGCTTCTTGTTGGCGAAGTAGACGTTATGATTGCAAGCGAGGCAGACCGTGGGCAAGGCTACGGCGAAGGCGCAGTTCGTGGGCTGTTACTTTACATTGAACGCCATCTGAAGGAAATATTGTGCGAGTACACAGGCACTGATGCCGCAAAGGACACACCACCGGCCCAACTAGACTCACTCATGGTCAAAATCAAAGAGTCTAACGCCGGCAGCAGAGCCTTGTTTGAAAAACTGGGCTTCAAGCAAAAAGGCAGCGTGAACTACTTTGGCGAGGTAACCATGACAATGAGCTGGGATGCCGGCGTGAGTCAACGGGACGCAGCCTGGAAAGCAGCAGATGCAGACTACGCACAACTCGAGTACAGCTACAATAACCAATAAAGTACCCAATTGAATTGAGCCATTGCCAAGCGAGTGCTGACTTTTTTCGGGGGCGTGTAGACTCGGCTAGTTTTCGTATCGTCGTCGTAGTCGTCGTTTGGGGGGGGGGGGG